ACTTATGTCCAAACCACTTAAACCTTTGACGTGTAAAATCTCAACAACCATAATGCCAATCTACACCCAAGAAGACAAAGTCATTCTTGCGATTGAAGCGATCCGATCGATACGCGCTGTAGGTAGTAACTTGAGCATTTCGCGTGCCGCAAAGACCTACGGTATCCCGAAGAGCACCTTAGCCGATAGAATAAATAACCGACCGCGACGCGAACAAACTCAACCCCAACGATATAAACTCGATCCGATCGAAGAGAAAACACTCCTCTAATACGTTATTGAACAGGATTCTAGAGGATTTCCTTTGCGCCTTGGCGGTGTGGAAAATATGGCCAATCTCCTGCTGCGAGTGCGTAATGCCGAGCCTGTTGGCAAGCGATAAGCCAGGCGGTTTGTGGACTCACAGCCTGCTCTGAAAACCAAGTTGAATCGTCCATACGATTATGAAAGGGCTCTTAAAGAAGACCCAGAGGTTATTTCAAAGTGGTTTGTGTTGTTACGCAACATGATGACCAAGTATGGAATCCAAGAGGAGGACCTATATAATTTCGACGAGACTGGCTTCATGATGGGCATGATCACCGCGTTAATAGTAGTAATACGCGCCGATCGACGCGGTAAAGCAAAGTCTGTCCAGCCGGGTAACCGTGAATGTGCTACAGTCATTGAATGTATCAATTCGGGCGGGTGGTGCATCCCTCCGTTCGTGATCGTCAAGGGCGTACATCACCTTGCCGGTTGGACCACGGAATCAGGTTTTCCGGGCAACTGGGTCATCAAGCCCACTGCTAATGGATGGACGGATAATCAGACGGGTCTTGACTGGATTAAACACTTCGACAAACATACTAAGAACCGAACTAAGGGCGTCTACCGGATGCTCATTATCGACGGCCATGAGAGCCATTTATCGGCCGAATTCGACGATTACTGCAAGCAGAACAATATTGTAACGGTCAGTATGCCTGCAAATTCGTCGCATCTATTACAGCCATTAGACATTGCGCTTTACTCGCCTTTAAAACGCGCATACGGTGATAAAATCAACCTATTTATTAGAGCCTCCATAAATCACATTACCAAGTCTGAATTCTTTATTGCCTTCCACCAGGCCCACAACAAGGTTTTTAATGAGGAAAACATCAGGTCTGCTTTCCAAGGCGCTGGAATTTCACCTTGGGACCCAGACTATGTTATCAAAAAGCTTGATGTGCATTTACGGACGCCTACACCTCCTATGGCCAACCCTTCAACACCACCACCTTGGCAGTCGCAAACGCCCTCTAACCTATAATAAGCCGTCTCAAAGTCTAACTTTATCAAAAGCCGGATCTCTGCTCATAAAGGAAGCTCACCGACACCAATTATTGCTGTAGTTGAGCAATTGTCAAAGGGTGCGTAGGCAATGGCGCACTCAATCACTATTTTGACTGATCGGCTTCGTACCCTTGAGGATGCGAATGTAGCACTTGCTAAGCATCGGAGGGCTAAAAGGTCGCGTGTGCAGCTTGGAGGGGCACTTAGTATAGAGGAATCTCAGGGTTTGCTGGAAGAGAAACAAAAAGGTAAACGTCCAGCACCTCGAGAGGATGAGGAGGGGGGTCCATCAAAGAGAGCCCAGCCGACTCGGAGACGCTGTGGTACGTGTGGTAAGACTGGGTATAATGCACGAACCTGTTCCAAAGATGTCAAATCATCAGGAGATTCTGATAGCGATAACCAATAATTGATTTAATGCGTTGTGGTTGAGAAATACTAGATGTTGTTGTGGACGTGGGAAAAAACGTCCGGCTGACTGGTCCGGCCGGCTGACTGATGAACCACGTTAGTCTTATTAAAGATGTTCTTAAGAAAGATAGATAAAAGCGATCGTAAGATCTGATACGAAGTTAATTGCTAAAGAAGCTATGGGAAGTCTGTCCTTGAGCCTGGCTCGAGTCTATCCTATATACAAGTCCTGATTCTGAACATATTCTTTATTCCTTAGGTCGCCCTGGATCATTCTAATATAGAATGATCGTTTGGCCCCCAAGTCGTGTTAGATCATATTAATCCTAAATAATCCTTATCTTATCATCACGTGACTTATAATATAGTTCTTCCGTTCCGTAGAGGGTTACTAGTATTCCTATTTCACTTATATATATAGTGCGCTGTAGCCGCCGTGTCCTGCCGGGCAGGCCTAAACTTAGTCATGCATGTTGGGTCGTAACACTTAAGAACTACATATAGAACTATAATAAATATAGGACTATAATACTTTTAATATTACTCTTTTATATAATACCGTCTCTCTTAATAATACTTTATTTATATATAGTATTATAGCGTAATTATAGGCTAGTTTTAGCACCTTACTAATTATGGATCTCCATCTACTATATGGTAATGTAGGAGCACTGTAAGTGGTCCCTACCTATTTCTACTAAGGCACACTTTATTTTTTAACTAATTAAGGTTATTCTGATAATGGCTTGAAGGAGCCTTGCTGTCGGTACTAAATTGCGGCACAAGCGCTAAATCGTGACGCGCGCCTGTCGGATCTACCGCGGTTCCTCGTCAGTCGTTACTCACAACGCGTGAATCACAGACCCACTAGCCAAGGACCATGGTGGAGAAAGCCAGAAATAGGGGCTTCTCCCCAACCCTCAGCTTTCAAGTGCCTACGCAGTAGCTCGCAATACCCGTTAGCCAAGTTTTGCGCTTGGTAAGTGATTATTGTTGTTTCATTGGTTGATCCAATGTTGGTCAGTGGTTCGTCACTAATCGATGTCTGAGCCTACCATGGCTTGGACGCCCTCGTATGAGAGCGGGACCGCAAGGGGCGGAGGGGCGATGTGTGGCTCAGTGGTGTTTTTGTCTTACGCCCAGGCTCGCCCAGGCAACGGCACTTCATTTGAGAACTTTTGAATCTCACTCATTCCCTCACTCACAAGCCGTCTTGGAGCTGGTGTTCAGCGTATCTTGTTTCCACCCTCATGCACTTCGGGGCGATTCATTAAGTTCACTATGACTGGCTGAGTCTGCTTCTAACCACCCTCGTTTTGTATTCCGTGCTGTTTTCCCGGTGAACTTCACCCGCAGTCGCTCGTTACTTAGGCCTCAACACGCTGCGCTCCGGCGCCCTACTTCGACAGAGTACAGATAAGGAATAATTGGACAATCATGGCATTTGCATTTTTCTCGGCCTTAGGACTTTTGTCCACATTTCAATTCGTTGGGCTCGTCGCTGCGGACTCACAGAACATCGACCTTTGTGGTCAATCAGACTGGTGGAACTCGACTGAAGTTCCATATTCATGTGTGTAGCCCCTCGTTTCCACGCGGTTGTTTTCATCCCCAAGATCGCCGACTGACAAACGCCGCAGTTAATAATAATGCTTGGGGAAATGACAGCTCGGGCTACCAATGTATGGCCGTCCATGATAATGGCCGGAGTTTCAGTGTCTCCTACAAATGGACCGGGGATGCATCTCTTGTCAAAGGCTATCCCTACATGAAGGCTCATCCTACGAGGCTCCCTGTTCAGCTTTGGAACGTCACTCAGCTACAGGTTACTGGCAATTGGCAGACCTACGTTACCGGCAAGGAAAAGGCTAGTGCTGAGCAGCAGGCTCAGGCCTTCAATGACGTTGCACTCTACGCCAACGTTGCTGTGGACATGTTCCTGTCCGACAACAAGGAGAACTCAACCATGGTCGGCGCCCCCATTGAAATCATGATTTGGCCCTGGTGGACGCCAACTGTAAAGCCGCTAGGATGGGCCGAGTCTACTCCCGACAAAGACACCGTCACCATCGATGGCACACCTTTCTCATTGTACCATGGCTGGAATGATGGGGGACAGCACGTTTTCTCATGGCTGGCTCGCACCAATCTCACCAAGACCGACGCCGACTACGGGCCTTTGCTCACCTACATCTGGAAGAAGGGGATGCTGTCCGGCGCAATATGGCTGGGGCAACTCGAGCTGGGCACCGAAATCAAGCACGCCGCGGGCGACATGCACTTTGAAGCCAGCAACTACACCTTGAAGGTTGTTAGACAAGGAGACCCAGAAGACAAGACCACCTCAACGTCCACAACTCGAGCCAGTACTAGCCAGACCGCGACGACGAAGACAATGATGACGACGGCCGCAGCTGAGGCCGCCACCACTTCTGCGCCGTCTCCCACCAGCACCAATGCCGCGCCCGCTTTATTGCTTGCAAATCTGTCAACAGCTTGGTGGATCTCACTCGTCACTGTTTTGTTGTACTAACATATTCGGTCGCCAGGAATGTATCAGACGTTCAGGGACGAACTATCATAGAGAGAGAGTGTGTGTATTATAATTAAGCATATTTTAATCGAATGCCACCTTTGTTTCCACAGGGGAATCAGACTCCGTGCGACGGAATAGTGCCTAGGCCTCCGGCTTCAACAGCATTCAGTGGCTGATCGAACAACAACAAGAGCATAGGAGGACCGTACTTCTGATACCATCTTCAGAAACAGCGTCAGGGCTACCCTTCCAAACCAGGTACTTGTGTTTGCTTAGATCAAGCATGAGTACGGATACTCTTGTACCTGCCTCTGCGTGAGGCCATGCGGACTGAAGCTAGCGAATAATACTTGACTGGTGGAACGGGCCCTGTGAGCTATACAAATTTGTCGCAATAAGTTTCATGCCCTATTCTTCACTAACAGCCATACGATGTGGTTGTAGATATGGTCCAATTCCAATGCCCATAGTGAAACCTACTGGGTTATGGATGGTAAGTGGCGTACCAGCGATGTTCAAGTATCGATGCTTGGGCACCTAGAACCGTTGCAACGACAATGCCGCAGATACGTCTCTTTCTGGCAACTGAGGGTCAGGCTTAGGGCGACACTGCAGGTTCAAAGGAAATTCAGAAATGTTTAGCGTTAACTGCTAAAGTGCCCTACCAAGGCTACCAATTGCTTGCCCAAGCTATAATACACCTTCGTTTGAACCCATATAACACCATCGAATGACATTATGAGCTAGACTTTTGTGCACGCTCAGCTTCAAGCTCCCTCTCAGCCTGCTGATAGTACTTGGCCGTGTCAACGCCATGTTGGTTGTGGTTGACAAAGTTGAACCAGGGTATGACGCCCATGAACAAGGCCGAATACCTAGACTGTCGCGCAGCGACGCCTTGCATATGAGGGGTCAATCTGCTCTCTCCGTAAAGCGGCTCGCCAGCCTTGACCTTGGATACCATTTCCTTCATGTCTAGCTCAACTTCGCGAGCGTTCTCGGTGGCTCCGTAAAACCGCACTGCAAGCCCAATTAGTTAGCATTCTGCGTCTCTTCCGCTTCCTTCATCCCCGAAGGTCACACGGATAGACATCCTTACAGCTAGAGCGCTGGTAAAAGTATAGAAAGCCGCCAGCGACACCAATGGCTCCAGCCAAGCGTAAAGCCTGAGCCATGCCTCCCTTGCCGACGTGGGAAGGAGCAAACTTCTCCAGGATGAGGAGAGCGCCGGGGCCGAAGGCGGCAGCAACAGCACCGTGGAGATAATCCGAAGGTCTGGCATAGCCGACAACTCTTTTGAAGTGGCTGTAGTTGTTCTCTATTAGCTTTTGATCCTACGGAGGCTGCGGCGGGCGGGTCGGGGCCTACGGGTCGTTATCGATGAGCTTTACGAAGAGAGACAGATGTTAGCTAATGTTTGCCTTCAGAAGAAATTCAAGCACGAGGATCTTACCGGGTAATCACTCCTCACGACCTTGGTCGGAGTGTAAATCTGCGCTTGTGCGGTAGCCATTGTAGCGGACGGCAATGCGTAGCCCGATTGCGTCGATGATGGCCGGTAGCTCTATGTATACGACGGTCGATTTGGACGTCGAATTGGATATGAGCGGACGCTGATTGGGGCTAAGCCACGAGAGTTGCCTGAGGCATGACATATTTCTGAGCACAGACCAGTATAGGTGTGGCTTTGCACACGAGTGGGTACGTAGATGAACCACAATGGCGGGCACCTTTGGAGGGCCGAGCTGCACCGACGCGTCGTTTAATTGAAGACGCGACTCTTAGTGACATTCCGCGTTTATCGAAATCCGCAAGAAGGCAGCGACTTTGCTTGGACGATATCCGATCAACTACGACAGGTTGAGTAGGGAAATTTGACCGATGGCTACCAGAACCGTACCCGAATATGACGATCTCGACGTATACAACGTTGACGACGACTTCGACGACCCTTTCAAGTCCCCACCGCGCGAAGCGAAAGATGGAAGCACGAATAAAAGAAAGCAGGCCGAAGCCTTGGGTCTTGATGAAGAGGTCGAAGTGGCTAAAAGAGCGCGGGTGCCACGAGTAAAGCTGGACGAAGCTCGGTTGGTATCTCGTTCGCTCGACACTATGGGTTACTGATCTTTAACAGGCTACTGTCGGATAACGGGATACCCAAGCTTCGAAAACGCGCCGGCAATCTCAAGTTCAAGGGCAAAGGACACGAGGTAGGCCTGCCCTACCTTCTGCTGTGATTCTAATTCTTTGATTCTTTGCTGAGACGATATCCTGCAGTTCTCCGATGCAGCTCGTCTTCTATCCTTCTATCAGCTTTGGCTCGACGACCTCTTCCCCAAGGCCAAGTTCCTCGATGCTCTGAGCATGGTAGAAAAAGCCGGTCACAAGAGGCAGATTGGACTGAAGCGCATGGAGTGGATTAACGAGGGCAAGCCTAGGCCGTGGGAGGCAGACGGGGACAGAACGGAAGATCCAGTGGAAAAGGTATCAGAGCAGACAGCCCAAGTCTCCACAGCACCAGTCTCAGCAACTGTCCTTCTACAGCAAAACATGGGAACACCAGAACGCGGAGACACTATGGGCTTAGAAGACATTTATGATTCGACACCCTTGGCTAGGAAGCAGGACGAGGACGTGTCCACGCTACAGCCCGAGGAGCCCGACGATGACGATCTCGACGCGCTCATGGCTGAGGCGGATGTAGCAACTCACGCACAAGCACCAGCTACTCTGGAGCCCAGCGGCAAGTCGGCAGAGGAACAATTCGCAGATGAAGAAGCCGCTATGGCCGAAATGGATGGATTGTGGTGACAGGACTAGGACTGAGTTCACAGCAAATACGGCTGTATGAGCGACGATGGCGTTGGTATATGAGTGGGTTGCATGGAAGGCGTTCGGGTCAGGGTTCCAATTTAGATTTACATCAAGCACCGTCTCGGTAGCCAGGGGTAGTTAGTACATGGCTTATACGGAGTAGACCGCTGCCCTTATTTCGTCGTCAGGTCGCCAGCATGGCTTTTTACACCGCAACAGGGACACTAATACACGAGGAGAATGAGCTGTTACATGCAGCTGTCACATTAAGAAGCGGTATGGAGATATTATGGGGAATGACTTGAAAGTTCATTGGTCGCAAGGCGACTTTTCATTGAATCAATATAATGTTACAATCCACCAAGCATTGTCTATACTGACTGGACACCATGCCTGCGCCTATACACCGTTTTCCCATCCCATTCAAGCCAACCGAAAACGCTTCCCAGTCTCATTTGTATCAGTTACTCCCCGCTTCCTCTTGGAAGCCGAAGTAAACATGTGATTATTAGTTGGTGTTGAGATGCTATCTGCCGGATCGGGCCCTTGAGCTCGTAGTCGGAGTGAATTCCTGCGGTTCATTTTCCGCTCTTCAACTCTCAGAGCCCATAACAAAGTCAAAAGAACCTCCCTAGACGGTAACGGTGCGCCGATTATCCACGTTTGTGGTGTTCGGCTGCTGTCGCGCTGCGCCGAAGGTTCAGCCGACGATCCCCCGACCCGGTCATCGCATCTCTCAGACACCAACCGCAATGCCTCCATCGTCGCATCCATGAGCGGACGCGCCAGAGTGGGGCTGCAGGTTAGGATTCTCTGAAGAGACTTGAGTCTCAGAGTGGGTGGGTTCGCGGCCGAAATCCGGGTCCGCTGCGACGGATGCGCCGTTGACGTCGTCGTGGAGGAACTCGTTGATGTCGAACGGGTCTTGGAGGAAGGTAGAGTCACCAACCAAATAATCGTGTTCGTAATCGAGGGAGTTGGGGGAAGAGAGAAGCCCGCTTTCAAGGACATAGCGATCTGCGTCAAGGGCCGCCGACAAACTGAAAGAATCACTGATGAGGTGACTAGTAGCGTCTGAAGCTGCAGAAAGAAGACCAAGGTCGGATGCAGAGGGGTTTGAGAGGCCAGCCATGATTGCGGAAGCTCCTCCGACGTTTGACACTGCAGGTCGCACAACATCGCTGCAGGACGTTGTGTCAGGTCGGAGGAAGACTTCGCAATAGAGGTCTCGGCCGTTTGCTGCTCCTCACCGCTCTCCTCAGCACCCTCAGCGATGGGTGAGAGTTCTGGGGAGAGCGATGCGGGGTTGACGGTTGCGTTGGGTTGAGATGTGGTCATGAGGTCGTCGACGAGAGACTTAGTCTCGTCTAGCGAAGCACGGTGGCCATCGTGGGAGCTGAAGAGCTCTTGGGACAAAGTCACCGAGTTCTTGTGTAAGGGATCATTGGGAGACGTTGAACGAGTCAACATGCCAGAGTCACGGCGGAACTTGTTCAGTTCATCCACGAGTAGCTGGTTTGCCTTTGTAACGTTCTGGAGAGCCGACTCAAGCTCTTTGTTGCGTCGCTCCAAGGCCTCAACCTCCAGTCGCTTTCGCTCACGGGATGATTGAGCAGCCCGACGATTGCGAAGAACCCGCTCAACGCGGCGTTGTTCCTTCTCGTCTTCTGTCTTGGCGCGTTTCCTACGAGTTGTCTTAGGTAAGGTGAACAGGGAAGGGATGAGGTTGACCCGATTAGGTTGTTGCGACTTACCTGGGGGGAAGGTTGGTCTTGGGCTCAGGAAGAACCTGGCCCCATGACTTGCGCTTCTTCGTGTGCTTCTTGTCCGGGGATGATGATCCTGCATCGTCTGGAGCTGGGGTCGAAGCCGTCGATGCAGGGAGACCACCATCATCGTTGAATGACGGCGGTGTCATCATATCTGAGGGATCGAGAGTGTCATCGTTGGCAATATTTGCGTCGCCAAAGAGCGAGGGATATATTTCGCCGGGTGTAGAAACGAAAGACTCGGCAGGCGAGTCCTCGAACTTGATCATTGGTGATGGTTGCTCCCAAGATGCCATTGTGCGTTGAATATTTATTGCGTCGGGAGCTGAACTCTCGACAGGCTCGTGTTCTTTGGCGTACAAGAGAAAGGAATTTGGGAGATGTAGCATGCAGTCAAGCTACTTGTGTGGAGCGGATTGGCGACGATCCGGGGGGTAAGGGAGTGGTAAGGCTGATGGGTAGAGCAGGTGGAGGCAGTAAAGAGGTGCCGTCTTATTTCCTCTGATGATATAGCCAAAGCCGCGATGCTAAGTAGAATGCATGTTGGGGGCAATGACGACTCGGTGAATGAGTCAGATATGGATCAGGTGAGTCACCGAAGCAAGAGGCAGCAGCTTAGGAAGAAGCGTGGTAGCCGGACAGTGCTTGGTTGAGGCGTAGAGGACAGAGTGTTCTTTGCTGTTTTGTGCAGAGGTGCAATGTGTTCACAAGATGCGAGGTTCAAGAGCAGGCGATGTGGCCTCTTTTGTAATTTGGGACCACGTTGGCCCTTTCCCTTCCAGCTTCCCAAGGGGGTGCCAGGAACCAAGGGACGGCCGGAGTGGTGTTGCCTCAGGTGTCAACTTCGAACGGCCCCCGGCTGAAATGGCAGAGACCCTCAACTTCCAAGGGCAAGGTCGAAGCAGGGGTTAGGAGATGGGGGAGATGTGGAGGTCTTGAAGGCAGCAAGGGTTGAGTAAGGCACCTACTTTCTTTGGTATTTGACTACCTATCCGTACCTCCCCGTTCTGAACTGGTGGCCGACCATACTCCGTAGTCCATACGGATACAAGCACATTGGCACGCTTAGCTAAGGCATGGAAGGTGGGAACGGTACCTTCGGATTCGCCTGTGTCAGAGGCAACATAAGTGTAACCGTGTGGGTGGAGGCAGGGCCTCCTCCCTCATTGCCACACTCTGGTCAGTGGTAGATTGTATTGTTCGTAGCTACCGAAGAGGCAGCTCAGGGCAGGCCGCAATCCGCAAGCCGCAGGCCCGCAAGGGGAGAGAGAAGTCTCCAGAACAACACGAGATAGGGAAACATGATTGGTGGATCTGACCAAAGACAGTAAGTTACCTACGGAAGGTGAGGGAGCGTGCACTTGGCCAGCAGTTTCACTGGCTCGGGAGAGCCTCCCACTGGAAGTTCCATACGAATAGGTGGAGCCATGCCGCCATGATAGACGGCGGGGTGGTGGATGGTGGGTGGATTGCGGGACACAACTTCCATGTTGGGGTGGCACGGTGGAAACCTGGCGGTCCATAATAAGGTTCTAGCGATGCCAGCAACCAGCGACAGCCACAGCCACAGGTGGTACGCACCACCTTGAGGAACTTGAGGTAGACTCGTGCGATCCCCCAAACGGAAGTCAGTGAGCAAGGGACGTTCCATTGCATGCTCCTGACTTTTGCCTCCTGGCGGATATTACCCCTATCTTTCCAAGTGGAAGTCAAACACTCGAGGAACCTACCTTAGACCTATTCATGTCTCGTATCAGCTTCCCTACCTACCGATACCTTATTACCCATCGACGGACGATGCCTTGAGCAAAAGGCATACACCTATCTTTACCTGTGCTTCTTGGATGTGAGATGCCCTCCTTCTTTGAGTGTTTCTCACTCCACTGTTTGCTTGCTCCAGCCTCACCATTCATGGCTCTCGTCAGATAGATAGGCATGTCTCGAAGCCGTAGGTTGGTGTCACTTGGAGAAGGGGAGACCTTGCACCATCAGCATTGGTTGATGGTCCGTACCGCTCGTAGACTGAAGAGGAAACACGGTAGCCACGGAACGGAAACACGCCTGGCGCGACGTCCCCTAGGCGGTGCCCATGGGCCGTGTGCCCGTGTACCCGTGTGCCCGCGTCGACTTTCAGGGGATTTCCTTCCCCCATCCCCATCCGCATTTGCCACATGTATGAGGTGAACTATGAATATACCTCAGACTCAGAAGTCAAGACGGGAGTCAACTGTATTTTGATTATATTCCTGTTGCTTTCCTTGGCCGGCTAAAGCCTCAACTTGAGTAGCAGTGCGGCATGCCACTGCCGTGTACTCCGTACTCCGTAAGGTATTCGCGGATCCCCTTTCCTTTGCCTTCCATAGTGCCCGCAATCTCGCCCGAGGCAAATGAACGGGGCTCCGACACATTGATCCGACCAAAATAAGCTCAAAGGCCGCTGCCCTTCAGCACCTCATCTGGACTGAGATTCTGGACGCTTCGTACCGCCTCATTTCTCCTTCACCCTCGGCAGTCCGCAGTCCGTAATCTACAGTCAGTCCACCATTCACAGTCTAGGAGTCATCGTGTACGGAGTACACTACCACGCAAAAGGAAGTAAGCAGACCGTGGCACTGCGACACAGCTTACGGTGCCGATTTCTTTCTACGACCATCTCAACCCTCTAGCACTCCCCTTGTGCCCTCCTCATTATGTGCCGTATTTTCGACTTCACGCACTGCATTGCTAAGTCAGACTTGGCTGACGGCTGACATGCGACACCTGTAAGCTGAGCTTTGCACCTATGAGAAAGGCAGTTTGGAAGGTTGCTGTGCGTAGGTTTACACTACAGGTACGCACTTGTGTCCATACCTTACCTCAAGCACACGACGCCCGCACATGGAGCACATACGCGTTCAGTCGTTGCGCCGCCACCGCCGCTGCTGCTAAAGTTAGCCACCCGTTGTTCCCCGGCAGAAGCGGCCATTCAACACGCCAGTTTTCCTCCTCGCCTGCTAACTTGTGGGCTGTGGCACCTTGAGGTCCTGAACTCAGCCATTCGGGTCTCAGAGCTTCAGAGGTATTACTCGTTGGACTCCATAGCAGGATGGGGGCAATGGGGGCCTTGGGGGCTGATTCTCAACTCCAAGTCTCCAACCGATGCCCACCATCCCGACGCTTTTATTATTACACTCGACTCACTCGAGCAATCGTAATCTACCTTAGTCACCCCTACTCTACGAAGTACGGATACAGATGCTTCAAGCTGATTGAGAGGTGTGACACATGGCACTCACTGGCTTAGCACTCCTTAGGTATGGCAGACGACGAGAACCAATTATCGTGGAACTACGAGGGACAACCTACGCGAGCCTCAAAAGGCGGCATGATTGCCATCCTCCATGAACGGAAAGCAGATCTGGAGTCAGATAAGGGTTAGAACTTGGTACGGATACTGGGCTCTGGTCACCCTTGAAACGTTCCGGTTGGTTGGGTCCGGCAATGTGGGTTACCGCTTGCGAATTGCATCGCCATCTACGGATACACTATGATCTATTGCCCGTACCATAGCCAAGATTCGCGCCCTGTTGTGCTTTCTTTCTACGCCGCCTCACAGGGAGAGCTTCTTCGCAGCAAGGGAGTCGGGAGGCATCTCGTGTCGCGCGTCTTGTCTCTTGTCAGTGGAGCTTGTCGGCGTATGAACAGTATCCGTATTCATTCTTCTTAACTCACTTCCTGTGGTGTCAGACTGTCAGTACCTCGACGTGCTCGAGTACCTACTACGGTACCATCGAGCCACAAACCACCACAATCCCTGGCTTCCCGAGGCGATCTAGGGGTACAGAATGCCGCAGATCCGTGGCACTGGCCATCTAATGAGACTCAGGGTTCCAGAACGCGACTCGTTTACGAATACCTTACATTATTGCCCTGAAAGTGTAAACGGCCTCAAAGCTCCCAGCCTGTCCGGCCGGTCCGATATCTATCAATGAACTAGCGGATTAAACTCTGGGCAGCTCGCAATTCAACAGAGAGGTAATTACTCGTCGCAATATCAGGCAAATCGTGCACCATCGCTCTCCGTAGTGGTGTCTACTTGTCTCAACTTCTCAGACCTCTACTGGTAAGGCCTCACATACCAGCCGACTACGGATCCTTGTTAGATGAGAACTAGACTGGGGATGCCGATACCTCTGGCTTGACAGTGGTTGAATGGTATGTGTAACTTGAATCTTCCAAAGGTCCAAACTTCAAATAAGCTGCGAGACCCCTACTGAACCCTCAACGGCCGAAGTTGTCAGTCCCTCACATGTCCTTGCAAGCTTTTACACGAGCTTGGCAGAGGCCTATTCTGAATTTCTGATGACAGTGGACAAACTTTAGAAGTCGCCGCCTGACGCCTGACGCCTGTCCACTGTCCACTGTCGTGCTTGTAAAGGATGAATCGGCCCATAATCTTGACACTGGATGGTTTAGCTTCATCGCAACCTTGTCGTCGCTGTTGATGGCTTTAGAAGTTCAGACAGCATGTTCGTCTGTCAAAACCTAGTGACTAGATTCGTCCCTGGCACGCCTGGTTGGTATATGAACTTCCGCAGGGCTCTCCGCCGCCGCCGCCACAGCCCTATCTTCAATTGAGAAGGGGCATTTCAAGTCTTTTAGTAGCAGTGCTCACAACCTTGACCTGTCTAGCCTGCAATTGCAACTGCACTTGACAAGCTGATGACAGTATGTATACCAATCTGCTTCAAGGCTTCTTCTCACCCCCATTTACAACCTCGTGCCTTTGTGGGGCAAGTTTTCTGAATTACACAGTAATGGGGCTGTAGATCAGAGACTTTTGTTCATTAAAGCTCGACATCACACAGCCATGTCGATCCAGGCTGGATTGGGCGGCAGACAACGGGACGCACGAATGCTGACCTTCGATTCCGCCACAAAGGTTGAGCAATGAGTTTCAATCTTGGCAACTTCAACCATGACTACATAAGACGGTACTGATGGACACAGACATCCGGTCAGTAAGGCTATGGTCAGCAGGGAATCTTGTCGGTACACTTCTAATAAGAGCACCCGATGACGGTGTCTCCATCCAGCACGGACCACTTTGTCCTAGTCCCGACATTTGAACATCATACCACAGGGTCCCAATTGCCATGAGCCCCCTTCACGATGCCATCGATCTCTGAAGTCACCCACCCCCCGTAAAAGTCACCCGGCTGCGGCTGGACTGCCTCATCGTCGACGAAGCAATTCCACGGGTCGGCATAGAATGACAGGTACCCTTTGATCGCCTCGAACCCCGGTGTTGGAGATTCATAAGACCAGATTCGGTTGGAAACCACCTCGGGCGTTCTTCCGGACGATGGTGCAGGAGCTGTGATTGTATAATATGTAGCCGCACCTTTCCATTCGCAGTAGGTGCTTCGACGCGTCGGGGTCAGCGGCACCTTCAAAGCCGCCGGTGGTAGGTAGTACGCTGTTGCTCATGTCAGTCGGACCACTGCTACACATTTCGGCACCGATCCAGGCCAAAGTTATGACGAACTCGGGGGGTGATGCGTTTCCAGAATCCAATAGGCATCTCGAGTTTCCGCAATCACTTGTCCGTTCCATACAATTTGTAAGTGACGCGGTATCTTCTCTAACAGTGGCGGCCGTGGAAATGTTTGCACATTCATCCTCGCTCGTGCAGCCATTCTGTTTCACGACACAAGTGTTCAACGTGGAGGAGCAGGATAATGAAAATATTCAAGGAAATCTGGGTTGTTCCTGTAGAGTTCCTTTGAGGGCTAGTATTGTTCTGATGATACAGGTTACTTTGGATTATCACAACTCCAGAGGCGGGGCATTCCGATTTCCTGTGAGTCGTGACATCTTAGACTTCGGCATATCAAAGGCCCGGTAACGAACCTAATACCATACGAACTGTGTCCGTCCGTACCTACTGATGTCCAGTTCTGACGACGACATATGACCTGGTCTGCGCAAATGGGATACTTGACATGGAGGCGCATGTGGCGGGGATAATGTGGCTAGTAAGGCGGTGCACAACAGGTTCTCATTGCGTCATCAGCCTGCCAGCCGGTCCCACCTGGGACGATTGTCGGGCCCCGACTACGGGCTGGCCAAGGCTATGTGTCCCCGACAGGTGACGCCTGGCGGTCCGGCTCTGTTGCTTGATGTCTGGCTATCCTCCAAACCACAAACATTTGCTATAACCTTTGCGCAACATCACCCAACCCTCACTACGTACCTTTGGACATACGCTTCCCAATTAAGAAAACCCCGAAACCATCGAAACATCGCTTGCCATACGCTATACCGACTGCCCGCCGACTGAAGATAACCCCTCACTACAGACCCCGCCACTCAGTATATCTCCGACTCCCGGTACGATAGGCATCAGTCACCATGTCGAACCGCGCACTTGCCCGCGATATGCAGGTCGAATTCCAGGCACGGGTATGTTGACATACTCGTCCATACTAGATCACCTACGAATACCTGGGACACTTGCGGATCTTTAATACCAGTAAACTAACCGGCACTCAGTTCCAAGCGAAGCAAGCCCGGAGAGAAGCTCAAAAGGCCGCCAAACAAGATCCTATACTAAAGAAGCAGATTCAAGACGTAGGTTATCGAATGAGAAACGCATTTCAAAATGCTGACACTGAACCGCACAGCTTCTCAAGAAGGGCGAGACGGCCAAGGCCTACCAAAAGGCCAAAATGCTCCTGTCTAAACAGGCCTTGGCTCAACAGATGGACCAGATGGCTGATATGGCCGAGCTTTCTGCCGCGCAGATTCAAGCCAACAATTCAATGAATCGCATGACGCACATGATGGGTCAATCATCTCGTACTATGTCTGTGGCACAGAAGAACATGAACCCCGAGAAGGTATGCCACCGAGCCGTGACCTAAGAATCTGTTGTCGCGGCCCATCTCTCTAACTGCCTCATTTTCAGACTCTCGTTACCCTCGAGCAATTCAAGCAACAAAACGAAGAGTATGCCGTGTCAAACGGCATCTATCAGGACGCCATTTCGCAGACTACGAGTGCGCAGGTATCGGATGACGCTGTACACGAGTTGTTGGGAAAGCTGGCCGATGACGCTGGAGTGCAGCTAAATGCTGAACTCAACAGCGCGGCGCCAGCTAAGGAAGAGCCAGTGTCTGCTGAGCCTACTGCAGAGGAGGAAGATGCGTTGCAGCAGCGGCTGCGTGCGCTGAGGGCTTGAATTTGGGGTGGAACAATGTTGATTTGAGCATGCTGGGATGGCTTCACTCGTTTGGTAATTTGGGCACTAGGCGTTATAATGGGCGTGGGCACGCGCGTAACACATTTCGTATTGAGAAGAGCGAGGGGTCTCCAACCGAACCTCTGGCGTATAGTTGCACATCAAGGCGAAATCGAGGCGGTTGAAGAGACAACTGCTACGTTTGATTCCTAAACTAAACTAAACTAGCTTTCCTAAACCCCGAGCATACAAGCAACCTTGTGCTTTTCGTGTGTAAGACAGGATTTACATGTACAGACTGGCGACTGCCGTGATATCGCGCTTGATCATCTCTTGCGCTGTCTGCATCTTCTGGTACAGTTCCGGGTCTCCAATGATGCGAGCGGCGTTCTTCACCTCACGGCATGTTTCGTCCAGACGTGTGATGGTCCGCACAATAGTTCCTTCCAGGACATCGGTCAGATCAGTGATGTTCTTGAAGCTCATGCCTCGCGCCCATTCGTAGACCACTTCCATCAGACCGAACCGGGGACGAGAGATAAAGTCATTCGAATCATCCGCAGACTGAATGACTTGGTGGAGTGTCTGGACTTCGTTGACCTTCTCGCTAATAGCAATGATGGTATCCTTGCCCCGCTCAAGGTTGCCCGTTAGGTTCGGTTGAGTGTCTGTCTTTTCCTGGAAGACAAACGCCGAAAGTAAGGCAGCGATTTCGGCTGGCTCGTAGTCGGCGAGCACATTGTCCAAAATCAACTCTGTCAAAACGAGTTCATCGCCCGAGTGAATCTCGCAGGCCACCTTACCCTTGAGCAGTATCCTGGCGCTATCGTCAATGAATTGGAGCTGTTTAAGCACCTGAATACGCTGCTCGTAGTCCGGCAGAAGCTGAAGGTTCTGATCCGAGAGGGATTGCCGGAGCTGAGAGATGTGCTCCTTGATGAGCCACTGATCATGGCACATGGCAAACTGTAAATAGTGTCAGCGATTGCTCTTTCTGCCGGGTCAGCCATGCTACAACTTACATGCTTCAAGAACTGAGGACACGAAAGAGCAGGCGAGGACGAGGCAACGACTTCTGCATCCTTTCTCTTCTTCATTATCTCCTGAAAAGAGAGATTCTTGATTTTGGAAAGATCCATCTCGTCCCAAAGATCATCCCACGATCGACACAGCGCATGAAGCCTGTCCTTTGCCTTTGCATACTTCTCCCCGCCTTGGAAGATCTCTGGCACAATGCCCTTGGTGACATATCTCGTCAAACATTCAACATCACTCAGAGGAACCTGCAGAGTCTTAATCCGCACGTGCTTCTTCGCCTGCGGTAGCGGTGTAAAGTACTTGCGGAAGGCCGGGATGAAAGGCAGAAGGTCTGTGGAATCACGAGTCTCCCTCATGAGTCTGATCTCACAGACATGCAGAGTAGGACCACCTTGCCCCTTATCACTCGCGCCATCCGACAGCAAGATGCCAGGTGTGCGAATACCATCCCTGTTGTATACGATCAAGCGGGCCTGACTGAACATCTTGCGGCCAATGGTAATACCAATCAGAGACTTGTAAACTTCGCCGGTGAGTTGCTTGTAGTCCTCCGACGCTTGGTGACACTCGTCCATAGACACGTCGCAGACGCTGCACGAGTCTCGTTTGATCTTAGCCAAGTCGGCCTCCGAAATTTTGACTGCCTTCTCGTGCTCAGGGAGCAGCTGCTGGGTGGCATGTTCCGAGAAGCTACGTTTGATCATCTCTTCAATCTTGAGAGCCTCAACCCGGAGTAAATTGAGGATCATGTTGTAGGTGAGACGGAACTGGGATCTGAGCTTCGACGGCTCTCCTAGAATCATCTTCTGAAGGTCGGCAACAGGGGGGGCTTCGTCCCCCCCTGGTGGAACGATAATGACCGAGCCGACTGTATCCAAGCCACGACGACCTGCTCGGCCGGCCATCTGTGTATACTCGCCAGGAAGCAGGTTTCTGAAGGAATGGCCGTCGTGTTTACGGTATCCAGAGAAAACGACTGTTCTGGTTGGCAGATTGAGACCCATGGCGAATGTCTCCGTGGCAAAGAGCACCTTGACAAGAGTTTGGGCGAAGAGAATTTCGACAATCTCCTTGACGATTGGCAACAATCCTCCGTGATGAACCGCAATACCTCTAGACAAAAGCTCTCGCAGTCTGATAATCTGTGGCAGAGCCCGATCCTCGGGCTTGAGTCTGGCAATGGACTTCTCGATAGTCATGTGGATAGCACTCTTCTCAGTCGCCGTGCAGAAGTCCTGGTTACTGAGTGCATCGGCATTCTCCTCGCATCGCTTCTTCGAGAAGACGAATATGCACGACGGAAGGAGGCTCGACTTCTTTAGGAACTGAACCAGATGAACCCAAAGGTTCTTGTCTTGGGCTGCAGAGGTAAAACCACCCTGGCGGCCGGTTCTTCCCATGTGACCTGGATTGTGACTGGCGCGCGGCGCTCCACCACGGCCTCTTTGCTGAGGACCGCCGCCACGCTGCCCCCCTCGCTGCCCGCCGCGCTGGGCTCCTCCTCCTCCTCTCTGGCCACCGCCGCCGCGAGGCGCGTTGCCTGGCTCGGGTGCCCTGGTCTTTTCTTTGCCCTGGATTGCTGAATTGGCTTCCTTCCAACCCTTCTCGATGAATTTCTTGTCCGAGTCAACGATTTTATGAATGTTCTTGCCAGCCCACAAGTAGTGCTCCAATGGTATGGGCCGCTTTGGGGTTGAGATGACATAGATATCCTTTTGCTTGGTGCGTCCAACCCAGGAGGCAAATTCGTAGGTATTGGGCACCGTTGCTGAGAGGAGAATGAGTGTTACATGTTCGGGGAGCATGATGATGACCTCTTCCCAGACGACACCGCGCTCAAAATCATTGACGTAGTGTACCTCGTCAAAAATGACGAATTCGACATCTCGGATAAGGTCAGCTCCACGGTAGAGCATACTTCTTAGAATTTCCGTCGTCATGATCAGGCAACTGGCCTCAGGGTTGATTTGAACGTCACCCGTCAGGATACCAACCTCGTCGAAAGTTTGACGGAAATCTCGGAACTTCTGGTTACTCAAGGCCTTGATCGGGGAGGTGTAAATCGCCTTTGTCATGTGCTTTGTTGCGAGGGCGATGGCGTATTCGGCAACGACGGTTTTACCGGCTGATGTGTGCGCAGCGACGAAGACAGAATCGCCGCTCTCGAGGTGATAAATGGCCTCCTTCTGAAAAGTATCGAGCTCAAAGGGCCAGTCTCTTGCCATATCGGGCACCAACTCTCTGAAGTTGGTGATGTCCCTGTCGATATCAACCATGTGGGCCCACTCTCGGCCGGCCTTCCTGGCACTCGACGCAGCTAAGGCACCGTGGGGTTCGAGAGCTGGGAACTCGACAGGCAAAATGGCGTCAATATCCTCGCTGTCTTCTTCATCTTCGGACTCGGCCTCATCCACCTTGTCGTCGTTCGTCTGAACCTCGCCGTCTGCCTCGTCAACACCTGGTGGTTGTTCCGGCTCCTGGTCCAGCTCTTGCTCAATCGCCCTGGCTTCGTCCTCATCAGCCTTCTTTTGGCCGATATTGAGACCGCGACTTAGTCCAGGCGCAACCTCGAGTAGGCCGCCCTCGACACCGAGTTTGATGACCCGCTCGAGCTTGTTATTTGACAGAGCTGCAGCCTCTCCACCTCCAGACCGGTGAACCTGGTCCTCGAGTGCTGCGGTTGCCTCGATTCCATCCAGGCCACCAGGTGCGAAGGGAAAGAATCCGGCAGCTCCACGGACGAAATCAGCTCTGTTGGCGGGCTTGCGAAGAAAAGAGGTCGAATTCTTGGCGGTAGCGCTGTTGGCGGGAACGGTGACATTTCGGTAGCCACTCACTCTGCCCTCAAGGCCATGCCTTTCAAACCGTGTCACAGTCCTGGTTTGAGGATTGCCGATTTTGAGGAGCTCCGTATAATCCACGGGGCAATCCCAGCGCCTAGGAGGAATCAGCTAATGGACATGGAAAGCAGAATGTGTTCGTGTTTGGAGGGCCATACTGCTGCAGGCCATTGAGCCATTCGGGTGAGAATTTCATGCATGGCATGAGAAACTCAGTCTCTAGACTTGTCTTCAGCTCCGAAACATCTTGCTTGACGCGCTTGCTTGGCCGTTGCTGGAATAAGATGTCGTCAATGTTGGAGTCGGGAAGGTCCTCAAGATGGAGACCTTGAATGGCCGCGGCCAGGTCGGAAGCCATCTCGAAGACAATGAGCGGCAGGAGAGGTATAACACCGTCGAAAGTAGGAGGCGAGACGAGGTGAGATGAGACGAGACGATGAGTTTGGCCTTGAGCCTACCTTACCTTGTCATTGACTAAGGTAAAGTACCGGTATAGGGAGGAAGGAGGGACTTGACGTGGGATGAAGTGAGGTACCCAGCTAAAGGTACCTTAGGGCGGGACTGCAGTGATCACTGATGACGGTGTGCGGGGTGGCAGCGCTGTAGTCTAGGTACTGCCGTACCTGTACGAGTCCATTTTTGTGCCCCTCCTACCTTACCTTACCTTACCTAAGGAAATAGATCCGTTAGATCGGACAGCCAAGGCACCTAAGGTAGGTAGGCACAAATTGACGATACCCTAGGTATTTAGGGTACCTTGCCTCATTTGAAGTAGGTTGTTTGCCTAATACATCTTGTCCGTTTCCCACTCTGCTCTACATCAGTCCTCACTCGAGATGGCCAGCCTTGATGGACGGCTTTCGTCCCAGATCGCCCATGAAGGAACTCTCTCACGAAGCGATTTTGATTTTCATGGTTTGTTATGATCAGTCTCCTGGATCTCAGTAACACATTCACCTCATCGCCGAATAGCTTCAGGCTACAAACAGCGCACGCACGTGGATGATATCCTCATTTCTCCAAATCCTGAGCTCTGAACCTATCTTGATGAGGGATGGTTTGCTAAAAACACTCCGGTATACGTTGGCCACTTCAGCCATGACATCAATGCACTCCATAATGGCCAAGTGCTCACTGCTTCGTGCCATAGCGTATGGATCATCGCATACAATTGTAACCCCAGGGTATGAGATGTATATATGACAACTAAGCAACATACAAGTACAAGCTTCTTCCCCAAGTCTATCGAGCTCCACGGGCCATTATAGATCAGCTTCCATCTCGGAAACCTCAAAGAGGCAGCTTGCCCACGCCTTCATTCTCTCGTTCACGACACGCAACTCTCTTACAGGCGCAGCATCTTGGCGACGTAGTTCTCAATGATCTGCTCAGTAGGGAAAGCCATCTCCTCGAGACCAGCCGCGTAAGGGGTAGGAACGTCGGCACCAGTGACTCTCTGGGCGGGCGCATCGAGGTAGTCAAAGGCGTACTCCATCGTCACGGCCAGGATTTCTGAGCCGACACCGTAGGCGGGGAATCCGGACTCAACGGAAAGGAGGCGGTGGGTCTTCTTGACAGACTGAACAATGGTCTCGACGTCCAAGGGCTTGACGGAGCGCAGGTTGATAACCTCAACATCGATGCCGTAGTTCTTCTTCAAGTTCTCAGCGGCAACAAGAGCCTGGCCGACACAGCGGGAGAGCGTGACAATGGTCAAGTCCTTGCCGGAGCGCTCGATCTTGGCCTTGCCGAAGGGAAGAACAAAGTCATCCTTCTGAGCAGCCTCCGACATGGGGAAGGTCTGGCCGTACATGAGCTCGTTCTCGAGAACGACGACGGGGTTGGGGTCGCGGATAGCAGCCTTGAGCAGACCCTTGGCATCCTCGGCACTCCAGGGGGAGACGACCTTCAGACCAGGGATGCTGCCGTACCAGGCTGAGTAGTCCTGGGAGTGCTGCGCAGCGACACCAGAAGCGAAGCCATTGGGACCGCGGAAGGTGATGTTGCAGGGCTGGATACCACCGGACATGTAGAGTGTCTTGGCGGCGGAGTTGACGATCTGGTCGATGGCTTGCATGGCGAAGTTGAAGGTCATGAACTCGCACTAGAGGAAACACAAGAGTCAGTCACGGACAACCAAAATCTAAGACGTGCCGCCGCATTCAACCAGTCAGTAGCTGTTCAAATGATTGAACAGCCAACTGCCAAGTCCGTATGCCTTATCGACATGCTGGAGGAAGCAAACTTACCACAGGGTGCAGTCCGCTAAGGGCAGCGCCAACGGCGAGACCGCAGAAACCGCTCTCGGTGATGGGTGTATCGATGACACGCTTGTCGCCGAACCGGTCCAGAAGACCCTTTGTGACCTTGTATGCGCCGTTGTACTGAGCGACCTCCTCGCCCAAAACGAAGACCTTGTCATTGGCCTCAAGCTCCTCGGCGAGGGCCTCGTTGAGGGCCTCACGGACAGTGTAGTCCTTGGTTCCCTTTGCGTCGGCATACGTCCGTGACTGGATGGCGAAAGCAGCGGGCAGGCCTACGAATTGGGAGATGGGGGAGGTGCGGAGGGAGGCAGCTCTGGCTGAAGACGCCAGGCGGGCTGCGGGACGGAGGAATCGGGACATCGCGAATTTGGTCTTGGGAGGGTTGGATGGTAGAAAAGACGCCCAGGTCGCAACGCGAAAGAAGCTGGATAGCCCAAGAGGATCTGGAGAATGAGGAGACAAGAAGAAAAATGTCGTGGATGGACAATGCGTGACCTCAGGGTGGGGTTGACTATGGCCAACGACGAGAATTGAGCGTCGAGGTGAGAGGGATGAGGAAGTCGACGGGGAGCTGTCGAGGGATTTCGCAGCTTTTTTTTTTTTTGCTCAGCTCTATGGGCGTTGAGTCCGTTGAATTGCGGCGAGCTGCCAGACAACAGCGTTGGGGAGGTCCCGGGCGTGGAGCTAGCCCTATTTGGCCTTAGCGGTGTTCTTGGGCATTAGATAATCGGCAGCACCTATCCTGAACCAATCACGCTGTATTTCAACGATTAGTCCCCATCCAAATTGCGCTCAAACCCAGGTCCGATTTAATCCCGATAAGCTCCGCTGGCTTGTTCTCCCTTCCATTTGCTGCGTTGATAACTTAATGCGGATACTCTCTGTATCACTCATGGCTAGCCCAGCTAACGGGAGTGTTTGCATCGGCCTTTCTTAGTGCTCCTTTGTCGGCGTCGGGCTTAAGCTCCCCCTCGAGGAGTGACCGGACACGGATCTCCATAAGATTTCTACTCAGCAAACGCGTTCTGAGCACCATGCACCCGGTGCCACCCGCTTCCATCCGAACGGCGAGCCACTTAGGTCCGAGCAAGGACCAACGAAAGGGAACTCGATGAGGTGGTCTGGGCAAAGGGCATGCATGTTCCACAGAAACTCTTTGAGCAATACCCTGAATTGCGATGGCGATCATGTGCATGGCTGGCACTATCATACTCAAACCTAGTGCGCTTTATTTTGCGGCCTGTCATGCTGGGCTTTTGGCCATTTATCAAGATTGCTGGCAATCTGCATACTGACTTGCGGGACAGACTACCTAAGTTTCCTTATCCATAACCCCAGCCGGTACAGAATATCTAAGGACGCGTCTGACACAGAATACAACCAGCGGCAGTATTCGACCCGCCTCCATAGACAATGTGCTGGGGAGCGATTGGAGTTACACGAGCAAAGGATAGTCCGCCAGACGTGTGTGTATATGAGACTCTCATGTTGGAACCGTATTTCATTATGTGCCATTATGTAGTAGCCAGTGACTTATGCCAGGTAATCGGCGAGCGTATTTTTCTCTATAAGAACTCTCTCCCACTTTTCCCAAGCCAACTAACTTCCTTCCATCATGGCCCACCATGAATTGTCGTAAAGCCGTCCGGCTGTAGTTGCCTAATTACAATTATAGTACTGGTATAACACTCATACAGCGAGTAGAAAAAGTCATGGCCTCTTTATCTTTTTCCGTTGGTGTCCATCTATGCCATCATCTCTGCATCCAAGGCGTACAAACGCGACGTCTAGTTGGCGGGCTTCTTTCCGACCATCAGGTACATAGGCGTGAACAGGTGCTCTCTGCCACCAGCAACAAGGCAGTCACCAGCCCATGCCAAACTGTCGGCCGTTTTCTTGGTACCGGCAGGGGCAATCTTGAGAGCCTCGAGTCCACCAACCACGTTGTGCATGAGAAACCGGCCCACCTTGGTCATGCGAACAATGGTGAAGATGTCAAAGACGGACTGGATGTACTTGAGCTCGCCTGACAGGGGCCAGTACCACGGCATGGGGTCGGGCCTGTCGGCAAGATCTTCGTGGTGGAGCATCTCAAAACCGGCAGTCTTCATGGCAGCCAGACCCTCAGAGACCTTGCACATGTTGGAAATACCATCACCCTGCTCGATGCCCAAGCGGATCTCACGGTGGGCCAGGTTATCGTTGTCGTACTCGTCCGTCATCAACCACTCGTAGACACCAAAGACGCCACCAGGCTTCAAAACACGGAAGATCTCGCTGTAGATACCCTCAAGACTGGGCGCGTGGACGGTGGCCTCAATAGCGTAAACGGCGTCGAAGGAGTTGTCGGGGAAAGACATTTGCTGCGAGAACAACGTTAACCATTTGAACACGGATCTGAGCACTACATCAACCACGTACCATGAAGTCTCCCTTGACGAAGTCGAGCTGCTTCGACAGGCCCTCCTTCGCAGCGTAGTGAGTAGCTCTGTCGATTTGGTAGTCGTTGTTGTTCAGCCCCGTGACGTGGCAACCGGTGAACTTTGCGATTTCTCGGGCAGGGCCGCCAACGCCACATCCGACATCAAGCACCTTCATACCCTCCTTGATGCCGACCTGGTGGGCGAGGTAGTGCTCATGGCGGGCAATCGCCTGGTAAAAGGGCTCGCCGTGGGAGAAGCGGCAGAAGTGGAAGGACTGGCCCCAGCCATACTCGTACAAGTCGGTCGCCAGGTTGTAGTAGCTACAAAACCATGATCAGCTTGTATCTCGACAGAAAAGGGGGAATGGGTCGCGTACTGTCTGGTCAAGGTCGCATATTCAGCTGTACGAGCCTATGCCAAGCAAATGTCAGCGTCTGCAACGAGTTGAAATATGTTCATGGCATAACAAAGGTCGGATTGCATACTGCGCGCTCCTCGAGAGTTTCGTCCTTTGCGGCCTTGTTGTCCCAGTGCTTGAAGTACTCGTCGACGGCAGCCTGCTTCGCATCACTGCCCTTGCTGAACATGGCGGCAAGACCACCGGTGGCCTGAGCACTGCTACCGTGCAGGGCCTTGTTGAATTGAGCATCGCGAGCGTGGTCCTCACGCTCGAGGTTGGAGGCTGTTGAGGTGACCATGTTTTCAAGTAGTGAATGAACACGATAGAGAGAGAGAGAGGCGTTGGTAGGAAGAGGAGAGTGGTGGAGAGCTGGAAGGTTGTAAAGTATCTGGTCTGGCGAGTGAAAGAGAGAGGGAAGAAGGAGAAAGATTAAATTGAGAGCAGGACAACAAGATCGGTAAGGTAGGACGGGCAATCAGATTGGCACTCGGGAGAGCGGGGGTGTAGGCTTTTTCAATTGCGACAAAATATCAAACGGGAAAAGGAGTCGAAGGGACGCGGCAGCGGTCGATATTGTCTCGTTTTGGCTGTGTCAAATTTCCAACATCCCCCTCCTAGTCCCTCTCAGGCTCTCCATCCACTGTTCCTAAGCGGTCTACCAACTAAGGATAGGCCGCAGCACGGTAGCACCAAGCAAAGTCTGTGCAATAAAATGAGATGAAAACTGCGAGGCCAGACTGTTTGTTGTCCAATGTCCATTTAGCGGTGCAGGGATCTCAAGACTTCAAATTGACAGAGACCCGGTCCCAGGGTCCCATCTTTGGCAATTGTCCAATCGCGGGGCGCAAAAGGCTATTAGTACTTGCTTTGTTGAGCAGGCGGTGAGACGACGGCTGGGCAGGAAACATATGCATACCGGCCAGGGGCAGTCCAATCCGAATACGAATTCGAACAGCTAGTAATACTTAATACACCTCCTACCTTACGGATAAGTTACAATAGCTTAATTTTTACCCAGCACGATCTGATAGACTGACAACACGCCTGAGCCTCCGAGGCGTCTTCCAGATTATTCCCTGATGTGGTTGGACCTGGGCACCCGCCACCTGCCTGGATTTTGGGGATTCACACGGATGTCTATCGCCATCAAGCCGCGTCAATAGTCGCTCTACTTGATGATGCATTTCACGGTTATTTTCATACTGAGTTCCTCGCTTGAAAATCCCCTGTAGGTTTCCAGGTAATACTCAAGACAACATCCTCGAAGCGATCTCCGGGGCTTTGGAGCCGATCACCTCATGTTATACTAGGTAGACTAGAAAGAAATTCGGCCGGGAAAAATCTCTCTCTCCTTTCGGTGCTTTATAAATGCACAATACATAGTATTCACGATAAGGTACCTTGATATTCCAGGTTCCCCATGTGGCTCTCCATGAGCAAGGTTGGCTGGGAACATTCCATATGATACTCCGTATGGTGGCTGGCGAAACTTCCGAGTGTGGCGCATGTCACGTGGTAGAGTCAGCACTCATAGCTCGACGCCACAATTCTCGGTACGTACTCTGTACAGTAAGGCAATATTGTGGGTAGTGAGTAAACCCTGCGCGCGACTGGGCCCGCGTTCAAGATCGCTTCCTAGTTGCCTACGTAGTTTGCGAGCGACACCACGATCCTTCGCTCGCCACGCTGAACAATCTCACGATCTGAATCGACAACCACCTTCAAATTACGATCCGTACTCTAGGAGTTTGCACCGCTTTGCGGCTTTCGAGGCGCCATGCCACCCCAGATCAAACAAGACCTGAACCGCTCAGGCTGGGAATCGACCGATTTCCCTTCTGTTTGCGAAAACTGTCTGCCGGAGAATCCTTATGTCAAAATGTTGAAGGAAGATTACGGCTCTGAGTGCAAATTGGTACTGCCACCTTCCCACCCCACTCTGCTCAATATTCAGCTTTGTGCTAACATTGTCCGTTGCAGTGTACGAGGCCGTTCACCGTCTTCAGCTGGAGTGCTGACCGAGCCCACGGCCGAAAGAAGCGAACGAATATTTGCTTGACCTGCGCACGCCTCAAGAACTGCTGCCAGGCATGCATGCTGGATCTTTCCTTTGGGCTACCCATCGTGGTACGCGATGCAGCGCTGAAGATGGTAGCCCCTGGGCCATCGTCCGACATCAACCGGGAGTATTTTGCGCAGAACAACGAGCTCGCCATAGAAGAAGGTCGCGCGGGGGTTGAAGAATACGAGAAGACGGACGAAAAGGCCAGAGAACTCCTGCGAAGATTGGCTGCGAGTAAACCGTACTTTCGAAAGGGCCGCACCGTCGAGAGTGCCAATGACGAGGTTCAAGCAGGCTCCAGCTCGAGCGGTGGACCAGGTGGCAATCCAGCCGTCGGCGCCGGTGTCGGTGGACCAGGCCCGATTCGAACCAGGGACTCGAGAGCTGCGGCAGCTCTGGGCGCGAGGCCGGGCAGGGCGAAGCAGGCTTTTCCAAGCGCTGCACAATTGCCTCCTGGACCACAGGATTGGATGCCCCCGGCCGACAAGAACATCATGTCCCTTTTCATCACCGGGATCGAGGATGACCTCCCCGAGCATAAGATCCGAGATTTCTTCAAAGCGCACGGCAGGCTTAAGAGTCTCGTTTGCTCCCACATGTCACACTGCGCATTCGTCAACTACGAAACGAGAGAGGCGGCTGAGAAGGCTGCCGCGTCATGTCAAGGTCGTGCTGTTATCGCAGGATGCCCGTTGCGTGTACGCTGGGGTGTTCCAAAAGCAATTGGTACGATGGACAAAGAGCAGCGTTCACAAATGCTCATGGACGCTCGACGAGGGCAGGCGAACGCGCGCAGAGCGGATGGCAGGGGTGGAAGAGGGCAGGTCGCAGGTCGCCAGGACGCAGGAAACGCCGCCCACTCGACAGCTGCACCAGTGGTTGCACCCCCACCAGGCGCAGACGATGGCGCGCAATATGCTAGTCTGCAGGGCGACTGAGACGTGAGGAATATGGACAATCGGGTAGCGTTTTGGGGGAGTTTGGGCGTCATTGATTTCGTCAGGATTTGACGACTGGAAATCGGGATAGAGTGGAAGGCTTCATACCAACTGCCTGGGTATCATGTGTTTAGTTATACAGAATTACAGCACAATTACAGGCATCTCTCCTATGCCATACTCGCCTCGACGCCCTCCCTTCAACTACAGCCACACCCGCCCATCGTTGCCGAGCCGCCGCCGGCCGTTTTAATAGAGTCGTTGTCCCCACGTTCGGTGTCCTCGTGAATGCGCAACTCTGCAGAGTCATCCGTCAGCATCATAGCCAGCACAAGCTACAGCTGTAGGAACTTACTGAAGACGCGAGAATCATCCTGCTTCCCCTGGACCACATTTTCTCTCAGGATCTTGGCAACATCTTCCGCTTTCTGGATGGCGGAGCTGTATGCAGGGTCTGTCGACTTGAGTGTTGCTTGATCTCTAAAACCTTGCCGTATCTGCTGCTGTGCTGCTGTGAGGACTCGGTCGTCGCCTACGAAAAAGACAATGTCAACAATAGGAACTTGAGAATATGCGAGAGAGATACAAACCCTTGAATGCGATTCGCGCCGCGCGCCAGAGTTGTCGGTAAGCAGGCAGAGACATAGTAAAAGAAGTGAAGGTGTCAAGTAGCTTAAGAGACAGAGAAGATACGAATTGAGTAAGTTTCCTTACGAGCGCATGTGTTTCGGGGAGAAGACGTGATATTCCAAAGATGAACAGGGTGCCGTCAAGGACATCGGCTCAGGCATTCGACACAAAAATGTTCCCGGCATCCGGAGAATCTTAGGTACACACCCCTCCAGCCTTAGCGCCACCCACACCTTCTCCAAAGAAAACTCTACCCCACGTTCCTGGAATTCTTTTTTTCAATTTCAACGACGTCCTTGCTCTTCAAGACACGCAAGCCTCGATCGCGATAAACCAAGTTATTCGCATCTACCGGAATGGCTTCCGCAATCGTTGTCCCCCACGTCCTCCCGGTCGTCCCCGAGGGATGGTCCGCGGAGAAGGACTTCAAGACCGTTGGCAAGGTCTCTGCTGCTACTCAGCGAAGCCTGGAGCCTGTCGGCCCTCACTTCCTTGCCCACGCTCGCCGGGCCCGTCACAAGCGCACCTTCTCCGAGGATGATCGCATCCAGGCTCAAGAGGCTACCAAGAATGTCGAGAACGAGGATGACGGCGAGATCAGCGAGGCTGAGGACCCCATGATGCTTCAGCGCGATGCCAAGGACTGGAAGGTAAGTGACTGCCTCTCATGTACAAGCCATTGCGCCCGTAGCAATTGACGACTGACTCCCGACTTCCACAGAACCAAGACCACTACCAGGTTTTGGGTCTCACCAAGTATCGCTGGAGGGCCACCGAGGACCAAATCAAGCGCGCCCACCGCAAGAAGGTTCTCAAGCACCACCCAGACAAGAAGGCTGCCGCTGGTATTGTCGACGACGACAGCTTTTTCAAGTGCATCCAGAAGGCCACAGAGGTTCTCCTGGACCCCACCAAGCGTCAGCAGTACGATTCAGTCGATGAGAAGGCCGAAGTCGACCCTCCCACCAAGAAGCAGCTGGCCAAGGGTGGCAGCACATCCTACAAGCTTTGGAGCAACTGTTTCAAGGCCGAAGGTCGTTTCTCCAAGACCCAGCCGGTACCGACCTTCGGTGACGACAAGTCCTCCAAGGAGCACGTAGAGGACTTCTACAACTTCTGGTACAACTTTGACAGCTGGAGAACTTTCGAGTATCTGGATGAAGATGTGCCAGACGACAACGAAAACCGTGATCAGAAGCGCCACACGGAACGCAAGAATGCCAACGCCCGCAAGAAGAAGAAGGCCGAGGACAATGCTCGTCTTCGCAAGATGCTTGACGACTGCTCGGCCGGCGACGAGCGCATCAAGCGCTTCAGACAAGAGGCCAACGCTGCCAAGAACAAGAAGAAGTTCGAGAAGGAGGCCGCTGAGAAGAAGGCTCTCGAGGAGGCTCAGGCTAAGAAGGAGGCCGAGGAGAAGGCTGCCAAGGAAGCGGAAGAGAAGGCCAAGGTCGACCGAGAGCAATCGAAGAAGACCAAGGAGGCAGCAAAGAACGCTGTCAAGAAGAACAAGCGTGTTCTCAAGGGCTCGGTCAAGGATGCCAACTACTTCACGTCTGGCGAGCCTTCCGCCGCTACCATTGACTCTGTTCTCGGTGACGTCGAGCTCGTCCAGGGCAAGATCGACGCTGACGAGATTGCGGCCCTGGCCGGCAAGCTCAACGGCCTCAAGGTGGCTGACGAGATCAAGGGAGTATGGAGCGAGGAGGTCAACAGATTGGTCGGCGCTGGCAAGCTCAAGGATGGCGATGCCAAGTCTCTGACTCAGTAAAGGAGGCTCATCTTTCAATGAGCTCCGACACGCCAAGCTTGGTATGGCGCGGCGGGCTAGCAGCGTAAAACATGATTAGACGCAATAGAATAGAGAATGAATGTCGGCTTTCAATAGATGACCCCACGGCTTCGTCCTCTGAAACGTCTTACGCCAGTTACATCTTGTGAGTCGGAGTGGCTCGGTATGTGTACTCACTGCCTTCGGATCATGTGGCTTCCTACTTAGGGGGTTACATTACGGGCTTCGGTCCTAATCCACAGAGATAGACGGGGCGTTGCTTTTCACGATCGAGACCGTCTGTTGGCCAGTCGACAATAGAAAGTTCAGCCCTTTAGAGGAAGCTGCCACAAGGTTGTTCGACGGCTTGGTCTCGATGAAAACACGGTACTTGCCTCCTGCCCCGCTGTCGTCTTCGAGAATATACCCAGGCTGATGCCTCGTTGTCAGTGTTTCCACCCATCCTAATTCAGACATCATGGGATGGGGTTCCGGGGGTTCGGAGATGCCGTGACCCTACAGCAACAAAGACGGAGCAAACAGACAACCTTTGTGCCAGTCATCCCATTCATTGGATCATAGCCCATCCCATTTCGTTGGATCCCGAAGGCCGCGTCTGGTGTCGGTTATTTGACGCTATCCTAGGTCAGATCACAAGGCTGAAGATGAAGATCTTGTTTCTTGCCAAGTATCGACTAAGTTAGGAAGCACTTCACTGATTCCCCAGACCAGGTTTGCGGAGCCACTGACCTTTAGGGGGGCGGGAGGGAGGCTTCTTCTCATATTGGGAAGGCAGGTACCTATGCTCCGTTCCCCATCTCTTTCCTTGTGATTGTCTACCTTAGTACCTTATTGAATCAACTATTCCCAGCTGCGTATTCGTCTTCCGAGGGTCATATATCATCTCGCAGTGAGAGTCACACGGGACAAACTTCTTCTCTACCATGCCACGCCCTACCCCGTCACCAAGCAAACAAGCACGCACCACTCATTTTCTTGAGAAGTTTCCCTTGCCACCGCGTCGGCACCAGCAAAATTACACGGACTAGCAATCCCTTGAGATTCTATTTTCACTACGATACCAACTCATCTTCAGATCTCGCCAAACACGCCTTCTTCAGCAACCGCACCTGTCGTCGCCCTTCGCATCGCACCTTCCCTCTTCCGCAGTCACATCCCACCTCGACCACCCAAACCCGCGGCCACAGGAATTCAAGCTGCCATGTCGACGATTTCTAGCAGCCATCCGGGTGGCGCCAACTGGGTCGAGCAGAGCAACAACCCGCTACCGCAAGTGGTCGTCTACTCTGCTCCTGAGGCCGTGAGCATTTCGATGAATAACCTCGGGACCGGCATCGGCAGCGACGGCACCAAGGACGGCACCAAGGTTCACGCAGGCGAAGATGACGCCTCGGAGAATGACGCTGAGCAAGGCAGCCCTCCAGAGCCTCCTCCTGGAGAAACGTCGCGTCTTTGGAATTGGAAGACAATGATCGGCATCTGCATAGGCCTTCTCATCCTCGCCATCGTGGTTCCTCTCACAGTCACACTGTCCACCAAGAATCACACCTCTGGTCCAGATAAGACCGAGAACCTTGCTACTTCTTCTGCCTCATCGCCATCGTCTTCCCCCACAACTACCTCTCTGACCTCGCTCCCAGCTCCATCCTCGACTCTCACGCCGGTAAGCAGCATGCCCTACTCACTACTTGCAGCATCACGTATGATGGGCTGTGTTTTCTTCAGCATCTAATCACTTATCACAGGCCCTCGAGTGCGTCGAGTCCAAGTTCATCCGGGAAGTCAACTGGCTCGGTATCGACAAGGGTGGCGGCGGTTGGCTGTACAACTTGTACCCAGCCAAAAGCGCCCAGGACTGCTGCACAATCTGCCACCTTGAAACTTCTGACGGATGCAATGGATGGCTGTACATACCGGAGAACTCATCGACGCCATCATGTTCCATTATCCACGGCTTCGACGGCCCGAGCGATAGTGACTCCTGCCCGAAGGGCCGTCCAGATATCGTCTTCACAAAGGCTGGCAATAAGGAGAGCTATGGTGGACCAGGTCCTTGTGCAGGCTCAGTGCGAGGATGAGAATCTTCGGATAGATAAGTCGGATAAGACTTAAGTACAATCACTACATCTAACTTACGAATGGGTATGTGCTGGACGAGGTTTATGAGCACCAGGGGACACATGAATACAGGGATTACAAGGGCGTCCGGATGTGTTGGCGTTTGCTAGTTGCAGGATACCCCTATAGAGGCAACAATTGAGACATTTCACACTCGTCATTCTTTGCAACAAACATCTGTGCCGCATCCCATTTACTCCATTACGCCGTGCACTGTAAGACGGGTAGTCGTTAAGAAGCCCTCGACACCTAAGGAGGGTCGTTCTTCGTGAGCGGCATGTACAGTCAACTCCCCTAAGACAGGGACGACAGTGGCAAGACAAAGTTAGTGACATATGTTTGAAGAGAACCCAAAAAAAACTAGCGGTATGGCAAAGAAGCAAAATTGAGATTTTGGCCGAACAGCAACTACCTTACTCTATGGAATCGTCCACTTCTTTTACATACTAATAACATACGCTGAGAAGTTGCACATGACCAGCTTTCTGCTGTGCCTAGAAGAGATAATAGACAGGATATCTTGTCCGGGATCAATGTCCGAAGGGGGTAATAGAGGCATCAGGGCTGTGGCAGCGTGGACTAGGGACCACTCACATGAACCCTCTTAAACTACCCATGTAAGTGGGTGGCTTAACAGTCTGCCAAATCCGAGGTTATCAATGGCAGTCAAGGCAAGTGAGTAATAAAACGGGATGCCGGTCAACGCACGACCAGCCGCCTCTTTGTAACCATTACTATCAATATAACTCCCAAAGTCCGCCATCTAAAGAAAAGTATACGAGGAATACATAGGAAAGAATGAAGGAATTCTAGTAATAGTAGAAGTAGAAGTAACAGTAATGATAAGAATAGTAGTACTCAGAATAGCAGCAATAGACATGGTGATAATAGAAGTACAGCCACTTATCAGATGTCGAAGCTCAATGGACCACTCATTGTTCCCCGCCATCTAGCTAAAATATAAGGAATAGAGCCACGTAGCCCAGCACTTCCGAGCCCTCGGTATTTAACACGGACACGGTCACGAAGCTTCGCGATTTTGCCGTGCGGCATTCGAGGCTCCGGACGAAACGTCATCGAAGAAGGTCATAGTTGCAGTACGCGAGGACTATGTCGTTGGAAAATACCGACTTCTGTGGAGTACATTTGGGCCGCCACGACAAGATAATAGTAGAAAATGGGAAGCAAGAGATTGGCTGTCAGTGATACAAGAGTGATTGCGATACGACTTGACGATCCTCGGAACAACGCTCAGGGCTCATAATGTGACGTCCGTTTCAATGACGCTGACTTCGGAAAACGTCTCGAAGGTCGCTTACTTGACAGGCAGCCGGCGAAGCCTTCAGAGAATGCTCAGATAGAAGCACAGCCGTTGGGTGCTCAGTCATGTTTCCGTGGGGCTTTGACGCGGCTCTTCGTCTTGCAGTTGCCGCCCACGCCGTCATACGTAACCACACAGTCCTCTATGCGGTTCGAAGCGATCAAAACGCAGGCCTGTGCCTCAACCGAACGGCTCGTCCCATCACTTCAAGTATTTCATGCAAGCTAGGCAGTGAAAGATTCTCTAGCACCAACGCCAGAACGGCTCACCCATGACGACTAATGTGATTGGGCGCTGACTGCCAAACCCAGAAGATCCTTAGGGTGCTGATTCACAACACTACTGGGCTGTGTCGGCGGAAAACAATGGAGCAAAGCGTATGGAAGTTGGGATATGGTCATTGCCGATTACTCTCGGCCCCAAACAAGTTCGTGATTTAGGTTTTAGGAACAAGCTCCTGCGCTCCTGTGCTCCTGCTCGGCGGAGCGTCGAAAACCTAGTTGATCAAATTGCGCGGTCAACTTCTCCTGATATCCAATCAACTTGATGTGATGAACAAGGCAATGCCAAAAGCTCCATCGTCGCTGTCATCGACGATGGAACCAGAACATACGTCAGAGGATAGGATCAGAAGGATGAGAAGAGAAACAATCACCAAAGACTCCTGCCTTGATACTTGTCCGAATCGCGTATATAAGTGCTCGCAACGACCGCCTTTTAGAAGGAATGCTATAATTATCACTCAGACATCGCAGCTACAACATAAGAAATCCCCTCGACAAACTCATATACACTAGTCTCAAGACTTCACCATACTTTACAATCTCTCAGCAACCCCAACATAATTCAAAATGAAGACCACATTCATCGCCATTCTCGCTGCTGCCGCCGGCATGGCCATCGCCGACAGCCTTGACGTACCCGACTGTGCGAAGCAGTGCGTCAATGATGATATCCAGAAGAGCGGCTGCGCCCAAGATCAGATCAAGGACTGCTACTGCCAAAAGGCCAACGTCAACTCACTCGTCAACTGTGTCAGTGGTGCTTGCAAAGATCAGAACGACCTAGTCAAGGCTGCCCAGGCTGCTCAGAAGGCATGCCCACAGCTCACAGGTGGCTTCATTCCCGGCACCAACAACGGAGGTGGAAACAATAACGGCGGCAACAATGGAGGAAAGAACTAGGCTTCGTCTGACTTGGCTTGTTAATACAAACCGCTCTGCTCTCTTCTTCAAAGCTTGGACTTAACTTCTCAATAAAATCAGCACCGAAAAAGATTTCCCTTCGCGCATGTTCGGCTACCCCAGTATCTCTCTTATGCGATGCACATTCCTCCTATGCAGCACCATGATGGGTTGAGAATCAGAGGTAATGGTTCTTGTCAACAGATAGATAGGTGTGTGATAGTGCTGGGTAGTCGTCATGGTACAATAATTCTTCTCCTTAATTTGTGGCGACCTCGCACCGTAGCCTCTGAAATATTGAGTGTCTGTGGCCAACTGGAAAGTTTGATACTCCATCATGTTCGGCTGATTGTTGTTGTCTCGGTGGCTAACGACACATGTCTATCTGTAGATACCGGTACTGCGAGTTGCCGCATTGCTGTTGGCTGGGTATCATGCGTTTGGTATATTATCTACTTACCTCTGATCACAAGAGTGGAATTCTGCTGTATATATCATCATAAATCTTCCCAATCCATCCGTCCGTTGAACCACCCCTTGCTATGATTCCCAATCCCCCGGCAGCCCAGACGCCGGCCGCTGCCACAGCGGCGCCGTGAAGCGCCCACCACGCTCTTCTCTTCCGCCGTCGCACCTTTTTGTCTATCACATTGCGTCCACTACCACTCCACCCCATAGCCGTTGGCGCCAGGCCCAGCCATTTTGCTGCGCCCCAAACCATATGTCCGCAGCCTATTGCGAGAAGACCGGTGTACGCAATCCACGAGATGATGGGATGCCGGGCAAACCCATGAGAAACGAAACCCAAGCCAATGTTCGAGCTGTCGCCGTCAACTTGCAGGGGGAGGATGCGATTGATGCCTGCATGGGCAGCAAGAAAAACTGTGAAGATGTAGCCAGATATAGATATGTAGCTGAAGGACGGCCATATCCTGCTAGCGGAGTTGACGCTGTTATAGGTCAAGGCTCGTGATGTTTTGCCGGTCTGGGCTCGATACAAAGCGTACATGCCGGGTGTGTTGCCTCCATAACGCTTCAGGTTCTGAGATCTGCGAACGAGGCGAAGGGCAAAACCAGAGGCGATGTGTGCAACGATGGGCAATGCCACGAGAAGCGGTTCCGTGAGGGATGTTTGGTATATTTCTCTCGAAAGTAGCAGGTATGCCTCGGAAGCTGGGACTGATCGCGCAAACAGTGGTATTATGGAGGTGTTGACAACGTGAAGTGAGGTGAAGACCGGTACCAGGTAGGAAGAGAACTTCTGGATTCGTGTCACTGTAAAGTTTGTACGCATTAGCCAATCTAACTTCAGTGCCATTGGAGGTGACGGGTCTTGTCTCTGCATTCGCATTTGACAGCTTACGGTAAAAGATCGCGCTGTGACCACTGCCGCTTAAACCGGGCGCAGAAGAAGTCGACCTGAGGGAACCAGTGCTATTCTCCAGGACATCTTCAGGCAGGGGAGGAAGATCTTTGTCAACGTCGGCCGGTGGTGTCTCGATGGGGGACGGATCTAGTTGAAGGAGCGATATGAGAGTCTCTTCCGACGGCTTGGAGTGAAGAGATCTGGACTCCATGGCTACGCAAGCGCCGGCACGACTGAGACCGGCTCTTTGAAAGCAGACCAAGCGCAATTCGAACCCGGGCTGTATTGAATCGATATTCGGGAGGTGAAGTCAGAATTGTCGGATAAAGATTGCGATTTGTTTGGTAGCCTCCAGGTGTAAAACCAGGCAGCTGATCAATCCTCGGGACGTCATAGGTCGAAGTTGCAAGGGACCAATTTCCGCGTCTGGGCTTGCAGGTTTAGTGGACCTGGCGGCAATCCGGAGAGCCGCAATACCGTCGCGCAACCAGCTTTGACAAGGTACCTTGCCTTCTCGGCCCTTGTCTTACCTTCGCTGACTCGTAATCATCAGTAGTATTGCTTTATTTGGGAAGCATCACAAAAATTCCCTTTGATTTCCTCTTGAATTTTCCGAAACTAAGACGTAGTTGGTGTTCTTGTGATACATACTATCGAACGGCAGGATGTAAGATACGTTGTACCTGTGATGTTCAGGGCCTGCTGCGGCTCCCCGCATAGCGTTATGGGTCCAAGTTGCTGGGAGCGGAACATGCGCGCTCGACAATAACCAGCCAGCACTCTTAAATGTGATGCTATCTTTTCCCCATACCCACCAGTCCTCACAGAAGCTCGTCGCCCCCAATCGGCAGCTCTTCGCGATCACAAACCTGCAAATATGCCTCCGGTAAGAGAAATGACAATGTTCCTACCTGTTGATCAAATTCCTGATCCATGCTACTTTCCTAGCGACACCAAACACTACCCCCGGCGCAGACCGCTGCAGCCCGCGAAGCTCTGCAATCTTTCTACTGCAGCCTCTGCTCAAAGGGATACTCTCGCATGAATGACTACGAGGCGCATCTCGGCAGCTATGACCATAGCCATAAACAGCGACTCAAAGATATGAAGGCTATGGTTCGCGATCCGAACGCCGGCACCCGAGCCCGAAAAGCCGAGGCCAAGGCGGATGGCCTCGTCAGCATCAAGCTCGCCAACAACGAACAGCCACAGCAGTCTGCCGGAGGCGGAGGTTTTAAGAAGGGCGGTTTCAAAAAGTCGGGCTTCAAATCGGCATTCGCCCCCGTCGACGCCCCGAATGCGCCAGACGCCCCAAGGTCAAAAGCCGGCCAAGCCCTAGAAGCAGACAGACTTACGAACGCACGCGAACGGGATGCCCTTATTGAGAGTGATACCGATGACGAGAGCTACGAACATTACGACCCGCGATACCCCACCGAATGAAAGCTCAAGCTAAACGCAGATCATATAACATACGCAGTAGAGCAAAATAGAGCTTGGTTGGATACCGGAGCAAGCCAAGGCCTTGAGGCTTTTCGACAATATTTCCTTTCTATATGGTCTCGCAACACCATGTGGCGAATCCTGAAACCATCCGTTACCCTTCGTATCGCTGGCCGTTGCCTAGCCTCGCACCGCAAAACACTCTTGAATAACAAGATCGTGTCAGCGAGGTCACAATCGGCAATCTGGACTCATTCCGGTGGGAATGCGGCGGCCCGCTCCCGGCCGTTCCTCCTCAGCCAGCTCAGTTGAACTGGGACAGGTCTTCTTCAAGCAAACCCATCATGTACTGGCTACCCGAGAACCAATTGCCTAGTTGAGCATTTTGGAGAGTAGGCTGCGAAATGTCGCTGGTGTCCATACCCTGAGCAGGATACTCCGTGGGCGGGAATCCTAGCGCACTCAGATAGACATCAAATTCGTCGTTGATGGGGCCACGCTCATTTGATTGCTGCGACTTGCTCTCCACGTACAAAGTCGCCACGTTACAGAGCATTGAACAGAGCTGGTGAAGCTTCTCCACCGGCTCCGACATGGCGCACGCGGGTCGAAGGGAAGCAACGAACTCATTCAGCTTCTTCAAGTCGTCAGCGCTGGAAGTGTCGATGACGTGGCAGAAAAGGACGAAGAAGGGCGTGAAAGGAGTGAGAAGGATTGCCCTTGGAACGGGTCAGCATGGATCGTGGTCAGAGTACTGCTTCAACTGACCAGTGAATATAGACTGCTTTAAGGTGCCGCCCTTCCTCGGCAATTCTTTGCATGCATTCAAGGTGCAGCTGCATGGCAAATCGTGCCGTGTCTATACATTCCTGAGAAAATCGTGTTGGCGAACCTTCGGGCGCTGGCAACGCCCTGTAGATGAGAGTTAAAGTAGACTGAAACGTCAGTTCGTCGCCTCGCAGATGTATGTCCAAAATTGATGACGCGTTGAGGGCCTTGAGGCCGAAAAGAGCCTGTTCCCGTACATGCGACGCAGCGGCCATGATCGTCTTTTGTTCGTTTTCCAGGCGACGCACGGTTTCGATGCGCTCTTCCTGCGACTGGCCCAAAGCAAGAGGACTGTATCTACCGCGGAAGTTAGCTTGATGGTTTACATCACTGGAACAGAGGAGTCGAACAGTTGTTCATAAACTCGGTGTTGGATCTCAGCCTGCATGATCCATGTTGTTATGACGAGACCCCATGGATCCGCAACCATGGTGTTGTCGACTCGCCGCGGCAAGGTAATGTCCCAGTCCTGTATGACCGATGCCCTCCCTGTTCTCAAAGACAACGTCTTATCGAGCATGTACACATGCCAAAACAAAAGCGTCTTGATGTCCCTGGGCCCAGCGCTCTCACTCCTGACTTGCGATACGCGGTGGTAGCCAAGCGTCTGACACAAGCTTGCAGCAGTCGATGTGAAAAGCCACGCGAGGGATGCTTTCGAAACATCCACAGCATAAACGGCCTGCAGTCACTGTCAGCTGTATAATCTACAAATAGGCACACAAAGATTTCTCACGGACCGCCAGGAGCAAGGCTTCTATGCTCTCGATCTTTGCAGGGAGCATCAAAGGCAAGGAAGCTAGAGCCATTTCGAGGTTATTTTGACACATGTGTTGATACCTCTCATATTCTTCCCGCGCAGTCGCATCGGATGCCAGGTACGCTTGTTCCATGAACAAGTAGAAGAGCGCACCATTCACTATGATGAAGGTGGTATCAGCAAAGTTGTCGGTGCAGAAGTACACTCTCCGGCAGAGCTCAGCCAGATCATCAACATCGAGGAAAGAGCATGCGAGTGAGAAGATGCTGGGAGGAGAGACTACTGTCATGTCAGCCTCTTGAAGTCTGCGAATCAGAAATGAAAGAACCTTTCATGTGCTTGAGCAAGGCAACGACGGCGTTCATGGGCGGCATGGGCAATTCAGGCAAGCCACCCGGAGGAAGCGGCTGTTGCGTACGGAACCGAAATTCTCGGTTGGAAGAAGCCTTATTCTGCATAGCGACGATCTGTCGGAGAGAGGAGAGCGCCGCTTGCATGTTGGGCGCCACGTCCTGGAGCGAAGTCCTCTGCACGGCGTCTTCGATAAAGTCGCTGGCGAACATGGTGTGGGCAGTCAACGAGAGGTCGCCCTCGAAAGCTGAATCCGAGTCTGCGCCGTCGTGGGATAGGACAGAAGCGTCCCCGATAGTCGAGGCTGAGGGGGTCGTATGTCTGGCCCTATTGGCATCCCATGAATGACCACCTACGCCGGGAGGGTTGTTGCTGAGGCTCCGCAGGAGATCCTCGATATTCGAAAGTCGTTCCTCGATTAGATCAATCTTTTTCTCACTAGCAACAAGAATGTCAACATTGCTGTTCTGTTGCCCAAGATTTCATGAGTTGGATAGTATCAGAAACAGTGCCGGTGAACGCAAGACGATGAACCCAGCCGGCATTGGTTTTATGAAATGAGGTGTGTTACTCAGAAAGGGGACAAACAAAGGCAAGGTGAACGGCGTACTATTGAAGGGAGATGAGCACGCGATGTCTCTGCTCTTTTGGCTTTTGACCAACGCCGTTTGAGCTGCAGGAGCGTTGAGTTATACGGCAGTTGGAACATGGCGAACTCTTATCACAACGGATCTGTAGCGCAAAGCCAAAGCGTGCGTCCTCTGTCAGCAAACCCGGAATTCAATTTAATGCGTGGGCTATACCTCCTTGGCGCGAGGTAGGAGGGGGAAGGAGGGGCAACGGCGGGCAGGAAGAATGCCCAGCTCGGCGCACTCGATCGAGGCCTGGTGAAGAAAGAGTCACGAGTGGGATTGGGGGCACCGACTTTACGGGTGCGACATTGATCACACTAGACGACAAAAGAATTAGAGTCAGTACTTGGTTCTAGCGGACGAGTTTTTACTGGTGAGAAGGAGGTCTGATGGATCTTGTGAAGCAAAACAGTCTGAATATGGATGTATGTGACATACAGCTCGACGGAGGCCCTGGTCATCGGGGCCCGCGGACCGGGAATCAGAATCCATGTTCTTTATGAACAACGCAGACCCGACACTACAGCGTGCCTAAGCCGTGCTTTGCGCGGTATGTGCCAGTGTGTGCCAAGGTCTGCTCTGAACTATTGGTTCGGAAGGCGATAGGCCAAGGCAGGGCCCGTAAATAAGGCGCTGCAGGGCAGTGATTGAATGGTCCCGGAAGCCGAGAAGTCGGGCGGGCAGAGGAGACGACGGAGTGCTTGTTGCGTCGGAGATGCAGTTGGCTTTGCGATACTTCCTTCAGACCGAGAGCGAGCGAGTTGCAGTACGAGTGGTTGGCAAGCAAGAGATAATTAGTTGAGAGGAATGTGGAGTGAATGGAACCGACAGTACGTACGGTAAGGGTGTAGGTCTGGGTCATGGACACTGGGAAAACACGGATCCTCCTAGGTGGTCCGTGAGGAAGGGCTTACAAAGAGCGAGCGAGTGAGTGAAGGATGGAGAGAAGAGCGTGAGGGATAGTGAGAGGGTGTGTTTGTGTGCGGGAGGAGACGGGAGGGGTGTAAACTATGAATCGAAATGCGGCAATGGCAGCGGCAATGCAAGTATTGGAACCGATGAATGAGCTTATTTCGTCGATCCTTGGCGTATACAACGTAGCTGTGGCAGTGTAGCTCGATTACGAGGAATCTGGAACGGTTGAGCTTTGGTAGAGGATAGACTTGACGGCTTAGGCTGGCGGCCCGGGGTTGAGATTTGGATGAATGTGAGGCTGAGGTTTGAAGTCTCCTAGTGTAAAGTGAGCATCGGTGCTCTGTACTGTACGGTAAGATAGTTGAGAAAGGGCAAGGCTCACTAGCGACCCCTCTCCTCTACTAGGTGTTTACAAGTTGGGCAAGGTACGAAATACATTTACATTGGTTGCTTAATCATGCTGCGCAAGCCTGCCCAGGCGGACCTAGGCGACCAATGAAATACGGTATAGGACGTGGTACTGATCTTGACGGAGCATACGTAAAGCGGCACATGAAAGTCACCGCCTTCTCATTGCTTGTAGACGTGTTAAGATATCACGTACATAGGACGGAGTAATACGGATATTAGTCTTTCATTTCAGTGAAGCGAGAGAACGACCTAGAGACAAGGGTTGAATGCACTAGTCTCGATGCTTGACTCGCTGTCCGTACGGAGTACTTGCGCGACCTTGCCTACCTTAAGCACATGAGGTAAGGCACTTTGCGAGGGCTTGCTCCAATGCATCTTGCGAATGCTGAAAAACGTACGGTATGGCACTACTTACTTCATTGGGTTATGGCCTCAGTATTGAGTTAAGATGCGTGTACATACCGACAAGGTGCCCCTTGGAAGAAAGGCAAATGTTCGTATGTACGAATACTCTATTAGCCTACGGGTAATGATGACAAGGACCTGTCGGTAGCTTTACCGAGAACTGCCCACTTCGATGATGGGCTGCCGGCCTGCGGCAGCTAAGCATTATATCTCGGGCACCCGCGGATGCCATCATTCAGTCACCAACCACCATGTGGTCTCTAGCATACAACGGAGAATACATATTCTGTCAAGAGGTCTCCGCCGGGCAGGCAGAACTATACAATCTGCATGATGCAGTCCGAATTTTCTCTCACGCAATCCTCCCGACCTCTTCCTTTTCTCCTAAGCTTTCGCCGGTGCTTCAAGCGTCGGCACGCCAGCTAGGTACCCTAGCTTACGGGAAAACTTCATCAGCCCATCTTTTTCAGATCCCATCGATGAGCTACAATCCATCTAGTGGGATCCAGTCGAAGCCGAGAATACCCCACCCTGTCCGAGCTGTTCGCTCTCCCGTCAATTTCGGCCACCTCCACTGGCAGTGCGATTCGAATCATTCAAGTGGCCGGTCGTAAAGCCAGAGAGGTTCGTTACACTACACAGCCCCAGCGCCGTCTCGGAACTCCCTCCGCTCAACCAAGTACATTGTGCGTCGTAGTAGGCTGTAGTCCGGCCGTGCGCGACCCCGGGCGTTGAACTTACAGAATCTTCGTTGCTTGTGCCCGAATTGGAACGTTCGGCAGTGACTGCTGTTCCACCGGGTCTATTTGGATAGTTGTTGGAGTGATGTACGGATAATCTATACCAGAGGTACGTGGGCCTCGTTGTACCATAAGGTAGTGCTAGGTAGCAACAAGCCGGGGATGCGGCGAGAACTTGGTTGCCCGCCTTCGGCTGACCCACCAGACGGAGATCAGAAAGCGCCGGCCAAACCGGCCAGTCCTACTGCCCAAGCAAGTATCTTACCTTATCTTGATTGTGCGGAAATAGGCACCTGGATTAAGAGTACTATAAGTAGGTACGTAGTAGAACCATAGACTCTGGATATTTGCCAAAATTTGCAGACCTATACGCACCTCTAGGTTCGTTCTTGATCATTTCCCCCCCCAATCTTTCCACTTTTCTTCAAGATTTTCTAGTCCTGGCGACGACCTACCTCACTTACCTGATGAGTGTTTAGTATTTCACAGTAGTTTGGTATTCCTGAGTTCGACCGCTGCTACGGCCATGTGCACTCCCATGGCCTTTCAAATGGACCCTAGTATAATTCCAATGACCATCGCCAAGTTTGACCACGTAGTCAGCCTCCGCTGATATGGGTGTCATACTCGCTACACAACTCCAAGCAGGATATATCTTATGTGTCTTGTGGGATACGAGTGAATCCTTCACTCAGGCCACGGATGAAGGATGCGCAGCCCCTCAAGCAGGCGATGGGAAGCCTGTACTTTTTCCTTTGTTTTATACAAGGCTTTGATATGTCAAGAGCGAGTGAAGATAGCTTATTTCGTCCAAGTCTCACCACGTATCATATTATAACCCTTGAAATGCGAAGCAGTGTTTTCCGAGATAGACACTTTGCGATCGAGCTCAAAGTCATTCGAACAGGAACGCGGTAAGTTAAGGTATTAGAGCGTGCACAGGCCCCCTCAGATCGAGCTCTATCTTATCAGTGACCGCATCTTTCGCCTCGTGGCTACTACACTATGATCTGTGACCATTAATAATGCCGCCTTCGCACTCCCTTCACCTCGTCCTTGTGCTCGTTGGGGACCTGACCGTCACCGAGTTTGTTGATTGCAATCGAAGATGCACCTACCGCCAATACCAGCTTTGACCAGAGTCCGTCTTGAACAAGGCACCTAAGGCAGGCTGCCGCAAGCGCTTTGCTCGATCCCGAAAATGCAAGGGAAGCGGCGCCATGCGCCCGACAGCAGTGACGAGCGCCCCGGACCTGCAAAGCGCGCGCGCTTCACCGCAACCCACCCCGACGATTCGAAATCGAGGCCCCAAGGCAGGGCCGTCTTCGCCGCCGATGACTTTTTGTCCTCTCTGTCGGACGAGCTCCTAATCCGCATTCTATCATTCCTGTCGACTTCTAATCTTTTGGGCATATCACCCGTTTCGCGCCGATTTTACCGCCTCTCTGCCGACTCCCAACTATGGCGCACGCTTTACTACCACCGCTTCGTCCTGCCGCGCGCTCTGAAGATACCCGGGTTTCGCGATGGTTCTGCCCGAGACAGCAGTCGAATTCAGTTCTCTACACGGCGCACCGTCTGGGCCGACGGTGGTTGGGGTCGGAGAGATGCCCTGGGAGATTCAGTTGACTGGAAGCGCCAGTACAAGCTGCGGCATAATTGGGCTAGTGGCAATGCCTCGGTCCAGGAGGTGAAGGTGGGGGAATCTCTATACGACTCTGTGGGCACAGGGAAGACTCTGGTCAAAGTGATTGAAGGCATCGCGGTCACTGCCGACTGCGTTTCTGGCATGCGAGCCTGGGATCTCAAGACCAAGGAGCCTATTGCCCAGATTGACTTCAACGATGGAAACGACGGATCATTTCCCACTTGCATAGCGATCGATGCCCGGAACCTTGAGAATAAGAGGCTTGACGTCTCAGTCGGGTTTCTGGATGGGAGCTTCGGCGTTTGGGGGCTTGATTTCGAAGAAGGTCGGTTTCAGAAAAGATACAGGCACGAAAAGTCCAGTAACGGCCAACTGGTGGAGATTGTCTATCATCACCCCTTTATCCTCACGGCAACAGAATCAGTTCTGGTATCTCTGTACGATTTTGAGCGAACCACCTCTGGCCAGAAGCCAGCGACTGCCAGCGGCAAACGAGATACCATCACTCTAGTAGAGAGGAAGACCGAGGCTGCTTCGGGAAGCGCAGCATTTCCGGAGTCAGAAAGCCCTATGACAGCGTTCCCATTGCCAAAGGTTGGCAAAACCCGGGAATCACCGCAAGGAGTCACTCTACTCCCTGCTCCTGTTCTTCTGACTTCGCTCAAGTCACACACGTCTCGAGCCCCATTGGCTCTGTCTATTCGCCAGGTGGCTTCACATGTGATCGCATCGATTGCATACACATTTTCTACACTTGAAGGATGGTCCATTGGTATACAGGACCTCCAGATACGGCGACAGGGCGCAGGCCAACCGTCGTCAGAGATCGCCTCAACACGACTTGCTTTCACTAAGCCCGTGAAGGCTGCGTCCTCAATTTCTTCGACTTCCTCAACTGCGAGCCCACAGCTTCAGTCTCAAACACATATGCCCGAAGGTCCGACGACGCTATGCTACAGCCACCCGTATCTTTTGGCCGCGATGCCAGATAACACTATGATTCTACACATTTGTACATCAAATGCCACGAAGTTTGATCTTTCTTCAGGCATTCGCCTCTGGGGCCATACGTCAGGCATCAGCGATGCGGAAATCACGGCACGAGGCAAAGCCGTGAGCGTCAGCTCTCGAGGCGAGGAAATTCGAGTCTGGGAACTCGAGGGACGCGTCAGTGGCAAAAGTATCGAAATTAGACCAAAATCAACCTTGGGCTCTGCTTCCACAGATATCGCTTTGTCCTCGCCTGATGCGACAACAGAACGCTGGGATGACCGACGTAACTGGGTGGGCTTTGATGACGAAATGGTCATCGTACTGAAGGAGGCCAAGGATGGGAAGGAGAGTCTCCTTGTTTACGATTTCTCATGAGCGATGAGGGGACATAACCAGCAACATCCTGCCTGAGGTTAGACGAGAGGTTTCAACCCTTGGCTAGCCTAGGCAGCTGCGGCGTGGACATGATATTCTTCAAACCCCGCCTCTGGGCAATGGGCAAAAGTACGCAACGAGGCCACGTCATTTCACGAGGAAGACTTCTACGGACTCGGTTGTTCAATTGATGGGACCTTTCCACCGTTGAACAAAGATCTTGTCCCCACCGGAACGCAAGGGTAGCCTCATGCGGTCAACGAGCTTGTGTGACCAGCGGTAGGCAATAGCTGCGCTGTCGGGCAGATAGGCACCAGCGGGGTGCAGGAGACAAACTGGTGCCTGGAAGACGAAAAGAAGGTCACGATGTGTCTCATCGTCCCTTTTCTGCGCTTGCTTGCATTACCATTAGTGAGCAACCAGCTACGGGTCAACACAGAAACATCTACGCCAGGCATTGACAATGTCGAGATGGCGTCTGGGTTTGATCACAAGTTAGACGACAGCTTGGATAACGACAATGAGTACCGTACTTCCTCGGTGTCATCTACTGTCCCGAGAATGTTGGCAGTGATGAGACTCTATACATGCCTAGCATGGGCCTCCGGATATCTAGAAGAACCCCCCGGGGCTAAGCAGTTACGACTGAAGAACCACCTAATCAGCGAAGCACCCATTACTGAGGCTTTCTTGTGGTGGGGTCCATCAACCAGGAACGCTTGGCCAGTGTAAATGACTGGACCTGCGGTTTGGTTCCGCGGTTGTGAAATCGAGGGCCGGGCTGCCAGATATCCATGGACATCTACGTTGCGAACAGCAAGGTTGATCCGACATGAGTTCTTATCTCAGCCTCATCGATATGATCTTGAAGTGCAAGGTAGATAGATATATCATGGAAGAGGCAAATGTGAGGCCCAACTAGTCTGAAGATGTCGACCGAACCCTTTTTTTCTAGAATGCGTCGTTGCCGAGTAACACTATTAAACGTGGTCATGGGTCGATCACCTTGCTACGTTGGAGTACTCAATTTTCTCCGCTCTAGACTTTATATACTTGAACAGAATAGGGCAGAGAAACTAAACAAACACTTGAACAGAATACAAGATAGACCGCAGAACTGCAAGCATGGGGATATATATCGCCTCAATGAGCATGTATCATTACTGGGAGCTCGACAAGCTTGAGCGGCATTCGGAACAGGCCTTTTGAAGTTGTTTATGCGTAGTTCATGGCCCTGGCAAATTGGGCTCTTACTAGCACGTGTGGAGATCCTTCATTTCGTAAATATTCTTGACACAGCTCATTGCCAATCATGAAGGACAAAAGTCACAAACGAGGCGACATCATTGTTCGAGTTGCGGCCAAAGACTATGTTTACTAAGCATAGTTTCGCCGGCTAGACGTAGCTAGCGGTTGCTGTGAGGTGATGTTTAGAAACATGAGTCTCATTTGCAGGATGATTCAAGTTTCATTAACGGGACCTTTGATTGCCCAGGACGTTGATCTCTTCAGGTAACCCATGAAGCCTATAACCGGGCGGAGATGTCAGTATGATAACGAGGCCTCGTCAGCAATATCACCGTCAGCTTCGCGACACAAAAAAAAATGATATGAATAACAAGCACATAGCTGTCCTGATCAACATTTCGAGTCGTTGCCTCAGTTAAAACGCATTCAAGGTGCGTGTGTACCGTAGTAGTGATCTCCCCCCGCGAACATGCGTGGGGGCTTTGAGCCCATGTGATGTGATGTGATGTGATGGACAGTGATTGATAAGATCAGATCCATTTCTCTCGTACAGCCGAGACAACCTGTCTCAAGTTTGGCCTTGGCCGCTTTTCACCTGACAAGTTTTGAGAAACAATCCATGTTCATGACGATAAGTACGGTGTGTATTTGGAGGTGAATTGAGTGTCTAATGGATTGTATTGAGTTTGGTCAACTTAGTGAATTGTGTACGGAGTAGGGCAACGTCGAAGCAAGTCTCACCACAAATGGGTTACCAGCATTCGTTCGTGACATGCACAAATGTCGAGAATTGGCGTGTTCTTTTGCTGAGGTAATCCAGGCCCCATTGGGCCCCCGCTGAACCACTGGGTCTACGTCCCTGCTTGCTGTATGAGGCAGGCCGTTTGAATGCGGGTTGTATTAGTGTGCGTACATAGGTACTCTGTACCCACGTACCTTCACATGTGAGAATGCTGAGGGGTGTGGGAGGAGTGAGAGGGACTGTGGGAGCGGTTGGGAGGGGATAAGATAAGGCAGCTATCTAGAAGGAGGGGTGATAAGGAAGGCTGGATATCGATACCGCCGCTTCACCCTTATCCCCCTCCTTGTGGCGGCGGACAGTGAGTGAGGGATTGGCGGCGGCATTGGCCGACCGCACTTGGCTGCCCTGTGACAAGATCTAGATCCAGCACTCAATGGCAAGCTAAGGCAAGGCAAAGAAGAAGAAGAAATGAAGATAAAGGAAAAAGGGACTGGAAGAGCCGCTGGGCCAACAATGTTGAACCAATCAAGGCGGTATGTGATCATGGCGGTGCGTATCGCGCGTCTCGTCGATAAATCAGTGCCCACGGCCGATATGAACATGAGAACGAGTTCCAGGTTGGGCCAACAATTCGACCCCGTTGACCGCCATCTTTGTTTTACCCCTCCTCTCTGTCCCTCCCCTCTTCTCGGGAGAATTGGGCAAGAAAGCGTCCGTCATCCTTTGCCTTGCGATGTCGCTCAACTCATTGGGAGACGCCGGGAGGGTGTTGGGAAGTGGACTGCTGATGTCGCAATTTAGTGCCGCGAAGAGTCGCCAAGTTCGTGGGTAAGTGCGGTATGCGTGAGGCCAGTAGAGGTGGTCAATTCCGAGCACCTTTTTTTGGCATCTGATGGGGTCCGATTGGGAAACGGGGGGGGGGGGGGGGGTCAGAGTGAGCGAAGCCTGATCCATCAACGGGCACACTACGGCGAAGTCCTAGGTATACCGATAGCTATCGTCAGCCATAGTCGAGAGATAAGAGGTCAATGGTAGGACAAGGTCTGGTATGGTGGTCTCACTTGAGATCCGGGCCTCGTGATCATCTCGCTACTACAACGGTGAGGCAATCAAACCCACGAAGGGGAACGAACGACATGACGACAATGCGCCGACGGGCTACGAGCGAGGATGCGGAGGTCGAGGTTTGGAAAGACGGAACCCGCGCCAGAGCACGCCGTTGCTGCCGTCTCATGCCTGCCCGCAAGCCCCCCCCCCCAAGCGGCGCGTCTTGTCCATCCCACGAGACCACCACCTCGTACGCGGTCCGTTGGTGGCAAGGAGGGGGCTTGGGGGACAGTCATGTGGCCGTAGTCTTGGTCGGGAAGGGTGTGGTCGTCGAGCATATCATTGACACCATCTCAGGTTGATAGACGACCGTAGTGAGTAGTGAGTAGAGGCTATGGTGTAGTGTAGAGGTCGTGGACGCCAGCTGACAACGAGGATGAACCCGACCACCACCGACCACCCGAGGGCCTGGTGATGTGCTGCTGCACGGCGGCTGCTACTGATAGCGCCCGTTCCCGCTATCGATAAGTTTCCGTTGATGCTCTAACAGAGTAATGAGACTACCTCGCCTGAGTTAGACCGTTGGACACAGTGCGCCTTTCGCCACTTGGGGTCTTTGGGGCCCTTGGGGGCATCTTTGATCTGGGGGGGGGGGGGCGGCATCTGGGGCGATGATCTGGGCTCTCTCAAGATTTCAAAGCGGCCCGGCTAGTCAAACTCCAAATGTCTCGTTGCCTTTGCTACCCGCGAGAACCGCGCCTCGGATTCAGAGCAGGCAGCCAGCATCGATTGCGCGTCCGATTGCTGCCGAGAGAGCAATGGTCATTGGCGAGAAGTGGTTCTGTGTTCCCGCCGTTTCTTCCGCAACTTATCGACCAAGCCATCGCTGCAAGCGCAAAGAGAAACTTTGAGTATCATCCAATGTCCTTGTGACGAATGGGATATCTCAAGGCTTCCTAGACCAAGACGAGAGGCAGTCATCTCAAGAAGTCGCCTCAACAGCGACTCAGTTGCACATTGCCTGCCGCTTGATCCTAAAAGTTCGGTAACCCAAGATCTTCCATTCTTCAGACTCGCCCGCCAGTCTCCTTTGGTCTTACCTTGGGGCCGCAGGTGCGAGACATTGGGATTGTACTTTGTTCCAGGGACGTCGCAGCGCTCTGGGCGGTAGCGAAGGAGATGTCACTGACAAATGTGTATTAACCCCGGAGCCCCGTTGTCGTCACTTATTGCTGCCACAGTCATTGTTGAACTCCCATTAAATCCCCCATTCCATGGCGACGCCGCTCGTCCTTCCGGGAAGTTCGGGGCGTCGGAGGATTTTGGTCTTGCCCCGTTGCGGTGTTCGGGCTTCCAGAAGCCTGCGCATGCAGTCATTCCAAGGGGATGATGGCTCCGATACCTCTTCTACAAGGGTGGTGTGTCTCTGCGACAGATGCGTCGTGAGATCGAGGTGTGCTCTGCCATTTTGGAATTCGGCATTGGCCCCTTGCTATTTCTTAAAAAAGTAGTTGAATCGACCCGTGCTGTTTCCTCTACTGTGAGGAGCAGATATGGCAGGTGTGGCTGTGCCGAAGAGTAGATATTCGTGGGCTCAAGGCTGGTAGAGATAGGGATTATGATGAGGGGTGTAATAAGGATGGGATGGCGTTGGAAGCGCTGAGCTGGACACATTGCTGGGTGAGATGTTTGGTTTGGGGGCTGGCTGGGTGCGTTGCCATGCAAGGTCCTTCTTCGGGATGGGCTGGATGCATTTCAGGCATTCAAGGACGGGGATTTGGCAATGGGCAGACCGGGGCCTTGTTGACTGACGAGGGGCATCCAGAGATGCGGGCTCGCGTCGTTGTTGCTTTGCTCGGGTCATTAATTCCTCGCGGATCCATCGAATGGAAGAACGTGGAAGACGTTAGACGTTGAAGCATCACCGAGCGCCTACCTTACCGCATCGTACTTTACCTTACAGTGAGGTATCATAGGCCCCGGGAGGGACGGTGCCTGGCAGTTCAGGTACCTTAGTTACCTTCCATGGATTGTAAGTGTACAAAAGGTCAAAATGGCACTTTCCAATGGTAACAATCTCAAGGGACCACGAACAAAGGACAGGAAGTACCCGACCCCGAGCGGTACTTGCCCTTTCCAGTCGTGCCAAAAATTGCTTGTATTCGCAGGCCGCAGCCCGCACCGCGCAGGGCCGGTGCAGCTGGGCCCCACCATTGCCGTGACGTCTTATCGATAAACGACGATCACGCTAGGCCGAAAAGAGCTACAGGGGTTAAGTGTTTCGGCTTGAGGCGCGGCAAGACCAACGAGAAGCACACAAGCACTCCAGAGTCCAATGGAAGTCTCCGTGATCCATCAATCCAGAGTCGCTTTTTCCCTGTGACTCACACAACCCAACTGGTGACTCCTGCATTTCGTAACTCTGCGCACATGGGAGGGTCACTCTGGCAGCTGGCCGCGCCATCCCGCCCAAAGTCCACCTCATCGCCACCGTCGATACCCCCCGGCTCTACTTTGTACAGTGCATTTCACTGCTGTGCGTCTCTGCCTGTTACTGAGGATTGCCGTCCCATTGAGTTGGACAGGAAACGTTGTTTTGTTGCTATTGGTGTTGGTGTTCGTTTGGCCCTGCTTTTCAAAACAAGGCACGCCAACTTCACACATTGAAAGCTACCTAAGTATACCAAAGCTACCGTAACTTAATCAAACACCTCAGGCCAACTCACGTCAACCGCACCTGGGAGGCCGCCCATTGCCTCAAGGTTGTCAATTGGCCCTCTTGTCATTCTTCCATTAGCTGTATGTATGGCTTACGCGCCCTCACCGCACTTTGCGCACTTTGTCGTCTGCCTCTCCTCCTCCTCATTCACTCATTCCGTCACTCCGTTTCCGAGCTGCATTTGTGTGTTTTAGCATATTGACTTGGACCCGTCGTCTAGTTCCAGTTCTCAGAGTCTGCGGAGCTAAACCAATGTGCAAGATTGACATTCTCCAGGCACGAAAATGGAGCCTCTGATGCGCAATTGAGCGGTCAATGGGCCCACCCATTGGTCAATTGCATCTGCCCAACATGGACGCCCTGTTCGCCTCTCCTTCTTGTGCCATCCCGTTGCCGATTGCCACGCTTCCTGCAGCGACTGGCATCAGCGGTATCAGCCAAAAGGGAAAACTTGGGTGTCAAGGTGTGTCTTGACCGAATCGACGGGATCTCCATTCATCATCCAGGGGACAAGGGACCAGCGGCCAGCCCAGCCTGCTGTGTCTGTCCTGTCTGCGCTGTTGCCCCCGCCTTTGCCTTTTGCGGCTCCATGGTCCTGATCCATCCATTGACTGCTTCGTCGTCCCTGATTCTGCCCGACTTGTTGACATGGTCGAATTGAATTCGCCGACAAACGGCCCCCTTGCCTTGCCTGCGGCTAACAACACGGCTGCTGCATCACATACCGTAAGATTGCCCTTCTTTTCTGCACAATGCCATGCGTTCCATGCCTGCCAGTTCCCTGTCATATACAGCCCGTCCAGGCGTGCCAGGCCAATCTGGAGTCACAACGTGTGGCGCATCGAACGCGACAATGCTTTCCAAGCAAAACTTCACCAGAAGCAACTAGTCTCTCAACTCTCTCCACCTCTGCCATGATACTTGGTGTACATGGTACGGATAACATTCTTCTTGCTCCACGGTTCTGAGGCCAATGTGCGCAATAAACCAATCCAATGCGCCGTGGTAAAGTAAGGCAAGGTACCTTGCGTCGAGATTCGTGCCAGGCATCCCCTGCACTGTACTTACTGTGTTACCCACTGCATCGCTTTATGCGTTTGTTTGGGTCTTTCTGAATTCTGCCCCTCATCGGATTCGCTAGGCCTTGGCAAGGTTGCATGGCCAGGCCCCAAAAAGCCATGCCAGTTGCCCATAATTGTCGCAATCACACTCACGCCTCTGACTGCTGATGGAGCTGGTTGGTAGTCTTGGATCCAAGCAACTCACGCACAGCATCAGTTCGGACGAGTGTCGGAAGAGAGACCCATACCTCAACTCAATTCATCCCCCCCGCTGGTCAATCTATGAGCAGTAGTCGAGGTTAGCTCGGCTCACACATAATTACCACTGTAATAATAGAGGCGATGAGACGGGCACTGGCAGGATTGCCTCGAGACTGACCACCACCGCCGAAAGCTTAACGACGCTCCTGCTTGGCTGGTGGTACTTTGGTACGTTTCCCGTGCCATCCCATCTTCTCAACGAGGATAAGGCAGCCCGCCCCTCCTTTAACTATAGTCAATGGCAGCGCCATATCGACTGTCAGCCTGCCTCTGTGCTTGTCTGCCTGCTCTAGTTGGTACTTTCTGCGTCCAAGTAATACTGCCTTCCATCTAGGCTCCTGATACTTTGTCTGTCTGCCTAGTAGCAGTGGGTAGAGAGCGAGGCATGGGACGTTTTCTGAGTTCACTGTAATACACAGCAGCAGTCTGTTCATATGAAATGGAGTAACCGCCTTGTTCGGGCTGTTCCTCGTCGCATGGCCCCAGTCTTGGGTATCGATCAGGTACGGCAGCAGAGATACCCGCGCACTGCGGCAGCGAGAGCGGAGTTGATTGGGCCGGGCCGGATGGGGAATCAACTCTAGTCTCTGAGTGAGCCTGTGTGTGAGGACTTTGGGGGGGCGTGGCCCAGAGCCCGTTGGAAGCTAAAAGCTGAGGCTGATTGGGCGTCTGGCGACGAGCAAGTGACTCGGATTCGAGACCCAGAATCAGAGACAGGCTGTCACCCGCCCACCTCGTTTGACACACACCTCTGCTACGTGCCGTCAGATGCACCGTTCGTAGGTTCGTTGTTGAGCCCGTCGTGCCCGTCCACCAAGAGACTTGACCGTTCGTTCGTTTCCTGGGCGGAGAAAGAGGGCACGCACGGCACGGAGGTAAAAGAGGGTTGGTTTCCAGGTTCTCAAACGCCATGACGGGGCCATTGACATGATGCGAGAAGCGGTGTTGTTTGTGGTGGCATCAGGTGAGGAGAGAGAGAGGGAACGGAGGCGGTTCCGTCGCTCGTCGCCCCGAGGCACACCGTCATCACCAAGTATCTCCGTACCTAATCTACCCCACGGTGAGGCACAGAGCAGATAGAGAGAGAGCAAAGACCACCTAGGTACTTGATCCCTGCGAGACTCAATTGAGAGGCATTGTCAAAGTCAATGGTTCTACCGCCCGTTCGTCCCGCCGGCATTGGCGTTGTCAAACCGAGCACGTCTATTTCAATTCATCTACCTTCTTGCGATTGCAACAAATTGTGTCTTGTTGGTTGAAATATGTCGAAGAATGGCAGCAAAGCGCTTCGCCGCCAGGTTGGTTTCCAAAGGTCGTTCATTCCTCCCAAACGTTTGCATGGAGGGGCAGCGGGGGAGGGGCACGGCGGTAGGGCAGAGGCTGGCTGCCTACCCACTACGTTAACTAGTTTAGGTACCTTCCCTTCCATGGCTGAAGATTAGGTCGAATGCCTTGAGCGACCTGACTTTAAGCAGTCTTTGTGATTGAGGAACATGAGAGGCCATTGGATCGAGGCAAGGTACCCAGCAGTCCAAGTGCGTAGTTGGAAACCAGGCGCTTAGAGACATAAAGGCAGAGAGGATGAGGTGCGCAGAAGAGAGCGGGGAGGTGTCGATTGCGGAAGCATGTACCTCATCCTCAGAGGGACATGGGGTGCTGGGATGTTTAAGTGTTTAATGCCCAAAGCCACTGTGACACAAACCCCCTTCCTTCTGTTTCCAGAGTTCTTTGTGCTTTCTAAGCCCAAGTATCCGTAGACTCTGCAGGTAAAGTGTGGAATGGTATCGGGGCAATTAATGACACACCCTCCGCCTGTATAGTTCCCTTAGTCTTGGTAGCGCATGAAGAAGCAGGAGCAGAAGCAAGGTCCTGTGCGGCAAGAGACTAGGTACAGCGACGATGACAACAACAACCAAAACAACAACTCCGACAACATCAACAACTCATGCTCAATCCTGGGGGCTTCCTCGACTTCTGCCTTGAACATTTCATATCAGAGTGCAATGCCAGGAAAATGAGTGGTGAGGTGTGGCTCGGTCTGACTGGGTAAGCCTGCAAGGCAACACATCGCTCACTGGACGCAAATAGAGGGCGTGCAATTGAGCTGGATTGGGGGGTGTGGGGTCACACAGATGATTCAGACAAGGAGCGGGTGCACCTTAGGGAAAGAGAGTTAGGTGGGCCAGTCGCAAGGGGTGTGCGACTAACACTTCGATGGGTGACTCTTCTTCTTTCCCAGCCAGAACAACCTGAAGACCCCAAACACCCACCTAAAGCAGGAAGAGGGAAGGGAAAGGGAACCACTTTCCACATTCGCATTCTACCTTACTGTCTACGGAGTACGGGCAGGTAAGCAGTGGGAGACATGGCAGGGTCATCGGGAACATCTGTTTCTCTGTTTCGGCCTTCTCTGTTCCAATAATCCCGTTCTGTGCTGTTCAGTGGTGACCCGTTCTCTTTCTTACCTCAATGTTCCAGGTCCGGCCAGGTAGATTCGCTCCAGGCATCGTTCGTGCCTTGAAAGTTCCCCCGACCGTCTCCCGTCTTCTATCTATCTTCCCGAAGGTCCTGCCTGGTACCGTATTCGTCGGTACTTACACCCACTGTGGACTGTGACACCCTGCACGCCCTCCCCCGTCTCCATCTTCTTCACCCTACCTTACCCTCTACCTACCTTACTCCCCTCACCCTACTCCTCCTTCTACTCCTCCTCCTCCTCATCCTGTCCTCATCCTCCTGCCCAACCTGACCTGGCACTCACTCGCTCACTCGTACTCACCTGTCTGCACTTCTCCTCCTTCAGTCATCCATCATCCACTTTGCGCCAGGCTTCGCTTTAGACCAGTCCTTATTATTCGTCTTGCTGCCCTCCGAGCCACGCTTTGCGCTCCCTTCTTCCTCTTCTTTTCCACCAGTTCTCTCCGTTTACCGTGCCAAACATCGACATAACCAGCTCTCGAAACTGTGCCGTTCTTCTGCCCAGCATTCATCGCCACTACTCGAAACCTCTCAGCTGGTAAATACCGCCACCAACCCGCCCGCCCCTCCACACAGATATCAATTCGCTTCGGTCGCCTCGCCCCGCCCCGAATAACAGTATTTATCCATTCTGTGCCCTCTCGCTCCTCGTTTGACATTGACGCACACTTCCGTCTACTGTTGATTCAATTCAAGTCAATGGAGGTTTGTGCTTGTCATCGAGCGCACAAGTAACTGGTCGATTGCATTGCTCCCCACTGTCCACCATCTTCAGCACGGCTGCGTCAGCACCCGACCGCAGTAAAGCGACACTCGATCAAGCTTCCCGCAGCGAACGTCATCATCAATTGGGTCACAAATTCCCACTGACGGTCCTCGCTCCTCCTAACACATTCAAACCTTCTGGTCAATTAAATCTCTTTCAAAGGCAGCCAGACGCTTAGAGCGAAAAAAAAAAAACTTTTGCTTTTTCAAACCCGTCTTCAGCCCTGAACACGCAATTGTTCTTCCGCTGTCCACCGGCTTCCCTTACACCCGAAAGACCCCAACTCCGATATCTCCATACTCCGCCTCGCCACCAACAACATATAAGATGGCTGACAAACCCAACCATACCGCCGCTCCGCAACCTACAAGAACCATTGACTCGACTCACGCTCCCCAAATCCCATTCAACTTCTCTAGGATGCAACCGTCTTCGTCAACCTCAATCTCACAAGCGATGGAGCCCAACTACAACATGACGCCGCATCAAGCAACCACGATGGCTCGCGAGCCGAAGAGGACTTTCGACATCAGCAATCTAATGTCTCCTCCAGAGCCGATTCCCTACGACAGCTTCAGCCAAGGTCAACAAATCAAGACACAGATTGTATCGGGTGCTTCTCAAGCCAACGAATCGACCAAGCCCCACATGCCCATGTCGCCTCCAGTCTCGCCTTACATCACAGAGTCCAGCAACGTGATCATTCCTGGAACACCTGCAAAGGATCCGATCTTGTACCCTCGTGAGGAGGCGGCTTCGAGTCCGACACAGCCACCTCTATTTCCCAGCACCGAATCCATCGAACACAGGCGCATTGTCGACGAGCACATTGTCACGCGGCCTCCTGGCCTGTTCCGCGAGGGCTCGCCTCCTCTCAGAGAAGATTACGAATTAGCTCTACAACTCAAGTCGCAGGTCATGAGACTCTTTGCGAATAAGAGGAAGTCTTGGTACGAGAAGGAGAGGGACCAGGTCAGAGCCGATCGGAAGCTGAACCACGCCCGGTGGAACAGCGTCGTGCGATATCAGAACATCGCCCCAGCCAAGTCCGCACCCGTCAAGGCCTCCAACAAACCAGCAGTCAGCAAGCCTAGGATTCCCTCATCTTCAAATCCAAAGCCTGAACGTGTTGGCAAGCCCCAGGCTCCCCGGCCCATCCGCAACAGTCCTCCTACTCGCCATGCTCGCCGTGTGAGCTCGACTCCAGACCCTACTCGTCGTGTCGTGGCACCAAACAGAGAGGACCGCGACTTTGCTGCTCTTCCTGACTACTGCCCTCCGACCTCCTCGCTGCCAGACAAGCCCAACTGCTTGAAGGTAGACTGGAAGGGTGCTCCCATCGATCTCAGCGACGACCCTAACGTCCACTTGCTTCACCCTGACGAGGTTAACCTTGCCGCCAACCTTCGTCTAGACTGCGCCACTTATCTTACAAGCAAGCGACGCATTTTCGTCCGCCGGGTCGAGTGTGCAAAGGTTAGCAAGGAGTTCCGCAAGACGGACGCTCAGCAGGCCTGTAAGATTGATGTCAACAAAGCCTCCAAGCTCTGGACAGCTTTCGACAAGGTCGGCTGGCTAGACCTCAAGTGGACGGCCAAATTTCTCTGAACATTGCAAGCATCTTGTTCTTCAGAACCATGAATCATCTGGCATGATCCGTGGTGTTTGACTTTGGTATACCTATATTTACCTGCGTCATATCTCGAAACTATTTCCACGACGCCACTCTTACGATGACTTGAATAGACTTACGACATACGACACATGAGAACAACTCAAGTTATCCCCTCCTTCTTTTTTTTTCCTTTTTTGGGGGCACTTCTATGCATACAGCGATTTAGGTTTTGGATTGGTCTCTACACTCGGATTTCCTAGTTCCAGTATCGCGGGATACGGTACACTTACCTCCTGCGCGTTTCTTTTGTTCAGCGAGAGCGGAATCAGGTTTCACTCGGTTTTGATATTTTGGGTCTGTTTCATCACGCATGCGGCATCACATCACGGACACACAGCCTTTTCACCACATCAGAGCATTAGGGACATTACCATGATACCCGGAGTGCGACAGAAATCTGATTACCCCAGTCTTGTCACCCCACTCCATCACAATCTCCTTTCTTTGGTTTGCATTTGTGTCATTTGGTCATCATACCCCCCTTTCCAGCAGTTTTGGTCAAAGGACAATCGGTTTCGGGTCAGGGCAGGTTACGTTTGCGGCCAATGTATCAGCACGTGGCTGAGTCGCTAGGATAGTCTGAAGATTGACTATGGCTGCTTTGTTGTTGGGTGGTTTTCAGTTGTGGTATGGCAGCTATTTCTCTACTAGGAGGACAGGACGGTCTTAGGGTCAATGACGCCATAACATTTTGTCCAGGATTTTACTGTGTGTCAACCGTCAATAACCACCCGTCAGGGTTGTCGGGCAATTTCTAGCGAACTGAGTATAGCAAGCTTATACAAGATATCATGTGACAAAAAAAAACATCAGTAGTGGCAGTTCCGTGATGGTCGTGACCTGTGAAGCTGTGATGGCGCTGGCAAGATGTTATTGAAGATGCTAGCTCAGCCCTATGAGATGGACCTGTACCAAGGTTGTGTTCTTCCCCATTTTCCCTTCCCTCTTTGGAGGGGCGTGTCAAGACTACGGCTCTTCAGCGGAGCCCGGGTTCTGTTGATCGACGCTGGGGTGGGGGGGGGGGAATTGGACGTTCGGATCGAGCCAACACAGGTGTCAGTTGCTGCACCGTCATGCTAGGGCGCCACGGCGGTTGGGCGGAAGGGAGCCTTGGCCTGCCCCCAGGATTGCCGCGGGCTCGGGGGTGTGACTGTGACAGTCAACGGGTTCGTATCTCTCTGCCTCAATTGCCTGAGGCACATCTCATCCCCGCAGCATCACTCATCTTGCTCCTTTGGCGGCACCGGGGGCCTGCTCACTTATCCTCACATTCCTTCCCCTTGATGGAATGTCTGATGAGCAGGGCGACTCGTCCTACCAAAGCGTTCAAGCTTTCTCGTCTCCATGATTTTGTTGTCGATATTGCCTTATGACAGTTGACTGTCTGCTCGTCTTGTGGCCGACCCAGGTTCGTCCGACTCACTCGCATTCTGTATGGAAAGATGAACACCACCCAAGTCTCCCGGTGATGTGATGAGCAGGGCGCAAATCAGCCCGGCAGATCGATTGGTCTGCAAGATTGTAGACGAGCACACTCGCTCTCGTCTCCTCTGGCCGCCGTTACGGGACGAGAATCATGGGATGGGCAATGGCATTGACCACTCAGACGACGCAATTGACCTGCGATCGGGATGGGGAAGAGTCAATGACGATGGCGACTGGCTTAACCTTCATCTCGAGATTCTCTCTCAGACCAAAACGCCCCAAACAGAAACGGTGAGAAACGAGGTCCCTGCCGAATCTTGTCCTCGACCAAGCTTGCTTGCCATGAAGGAAAAGCTAGATATGTCATGCAGTGAGAAACGTTCGTGTAATACACCCCGACTCGCCTCGCCTCAAGCCGATCTCGATATAGACTAGAAGTATTAATTGGCTACTTTGCACAGTTGGATGAAGAGAAAAAGAAGAGCTCCTAGCCGTTTCTGCCTCCATTCCCGCCTCGTGCCAAATGCAAAGAAAAATTTCGCTTCCGCTGGACCGCTCCCCGGGGGCCCTAGGACTGCGCTGCCGTAGCCCGCAGCGGGTGTGGCCCCTACCATCCCGGACGCCTCGTGCTGTGTGGGTAGGTCTGTTCGATGCCTTGACCAAAGAGGAGGGGGTGTGCAGGTATTGGAAATGTAAGTGCGGTCTCTTGCAACTTATTACCGTGGTACTGGTGCTGAAGGAAGGCGGCCTCATGGCCTGAGGCAAAGAGGATTGAAAGGTCACTTCCATCTCGCAATGCACGATAAGCTATCGATAAGACGGACGGAAAACATTTCTGGAAACAACATCGTCCGAGGGCTCTGTTTCTCTCTTCTCTCGCACAACTTCTTTTGTTACTGAAGCGTTACTTGGGCCGCGAAGCGGTTGCGCCATGATGTCGGTTTGACTCTTGGCAGCTTTTGACGTCGACTCGATGGTTCGATGCAGAGCATCATCTCGGGAGGGAAGACTGAGTGGTTGAGCCATGTCCATGGAGACGTATTCGCGTTGACTTGGCTCATCACGTCTGATTCTAGCTGGTTTACTTCGGGCCACGCTTCACTCGTCATTAGCTTTGATGCAGGTCCATGTTTGTTGAAAGGTCTCGGGCTTGATCATCGGAACTTGTTACATTGTGCCCTCCCCAAGCTACTACTGCCTGGGTCTGTGATCTGCCTCAGCGGCCTCGCATTGCTCTTCTAGACGTCGATCTTCAGCCAGTCTCATATGCCGTGTGCAGACCGACTCTTGGGTCCATCTTCCAAATCCTCACTTCTGTCTACCCACTTCCAGGCGTTCCTCTCAGTCAACCACCCTAAACACCACTAAGGTCTATGAGATCTATCTTCCTGCTCTGGAGGGCTCGAGATGCTCGTCGCAATGGGGAGCTCAGAAATTGCCCGCGCGTTGCTGTCCGTGAACGCGTCACTGACCATGGGCTTGCAAGAACCTCTAAACGCCAGATCCAGTTAGCATTCTTTCTTATTCAGTTAGCATTCTTTCTTGAAAAGGCTTTGGGACCAACGTACCCGTGGCACTTTCGGCCGCATATTGCTCCTCGTGCACCCGTCGTTCGCCCACAGCGCATACTACAGCCTCCCTTACCCGCAAGCCTTGCCCAATCACCCGGCTGCTGGATGCGAATCTCACTCCCGTGCGCTTTGCAGAAGACGGGGATGTAGTCCGTGGGCGGGGCCTCCATCCTAATCAAGACCTCGCTCCAGATGGGTCGAGCCGATGATGCTAGCAGATTCTGCATATCGCCGAGGATGACGAGCAGATGTCGAGGACGACTGAGGGCCACGATGGCGCGTCTTAGGTCGTTGAGGAAGCCCGCGTCCGGTTTTGAACGGTCTTCTGGGCTTCTGGTGATGGAGATGAGGATGATGCTGTTCTCTCTGCCCTGGTACCCGTCTACGGTCTGGACCTCGGGCCCGAGGCGGCCGACGCTGCGGGTTTGGCGGAGGCCGTTTTCGATACAGGCCTTTTGTCCGCTGTAGAAGGTCAGGATGGTGATTTCTGAGGGGCTTGTGCCGTTGGAGACTAGGTGGCTGTACAGCCCGACAATCATGTCGGCCTCGAAAGTGTTGACTTTGCTACAGTACCGGTTAGATGACTCGGGGCGTTGGTGGTTGAACCACAGCAGGCTCTTCGAGCCCATACCTGGAACGGCTTCCCGGTCTAATGTCGAAGGGTGGTCCACCAGGAGAGGGTACCACGCGCTCAGCAGCTTGCGAATGTCGGGCGCCATGCGTCTCTGCACCTGGAGGGTGGAATGCTCCAAGCCGCGCTCCACAAGCCTCTGGAACAGAGACACGTTGAGGTAGAAGGGGGGCTTGCTGAGCTCCAGGACGTCAGCGTGGGGCGCCAGCTGCATGTGGTCGCCGACGAGGATGATCTGCTCCAGGGAAGGGAACAGCGCGGCGGTAATGTTTGCCTCGCGGGTCTCGGCGGCTTCTTCGATCATCATGATGCGGGGGCGTAGCGCGGCGATGAGCTTGCGGTACTTTGTGAGGCCTGTTGTCGTGCATCCTATGATGCGGGCCTTTGAGTCGCGGATGGCGGTGATGTCTTCTTGCCAGCGTGTGACCTTGAGCTTCTGGACGACGTTGTCGAGCTGTTTGAAGACGGCGGAGAGGGCTAGCTTGGTTGATGTGATGTATCTACGTTCGAGGTACTGGTATACCATGCCACGATACTTGGGCGCAATCAACCAGAGGTTCCCGTTATGCGCGAGCAGCTCTTGTGCTAGCTTGTCGCTGACAGCAACACCGCTTGAGTCTTTAATGCTATTCCATCGCGCGATTGGGATAGGTTTGCCTGATAACTGCTCCTTCTTGTTGCAAGCAGAGCCCTTATCGCTGACGCCAGACCCTGAGGCTGCCTCTTCATCGTCAACACCGTCGCTGATAGGAACGTGGACGCTCCTATGCGGCATCTTTGAAAGCAGACGATCACTGAGCCACGGCCCGAGCGGGTGTCGGGATCCCTCTCCGGCGATGGATTTGAGGTCGCCATCCCAGCATTTCATGACCGAGACATGCTGCTCGGCGCTGATCAAGCCAACCTCCCGAAAGTGCTCCGGTAAGATCAATTGCTGGTGAGCGGGCGGGAAGCAGCGTTGAAGGAGGAGCCTCGCCTGAGACCTGAGAGAGACGAGACGTTTCTCGAGCGCGCTCTTGCTCCAGGTCTTGCCGCGAGATCGCATGCGGAGGTTAAAGAGCGTCCGGCTGGCGACGACCTCATCTTTAGCCTGGCCTCCCAGACGTACAAAGGCCACGCCGAGCTGGTGGCATCTGACGAGGAGCTCGTCGACGGTGTCGTTCTTTTGGGCTGTGACGATGATGGGGACGTTGGAGCGTTGTGTGCTTAGCAGGACTTTGAGCGCGGCCATGGATGTGTGTGTCTTTCCTGTTCCGGGGGGGCCTTGGACTATGGCGAGCTCTTTTGTTGTCATGCGCTGGAGAGCTTGGAGCTGGGATTGATCTAGTCTTGTTTTCTGTTGGATGTGGATGGGTATGTCGCCTTGGACAGGGATGTGGATGGGTTGTGGGCGTTGGAGACCATCGTGGAGGGCTGAGATGTCCAGTGTGGTGGAGGAGGGCGAGAAAGAATTAGGCATGCCGACGATGTTCAGCTGGCCGACGAAGTACTTGTCGAATGGCGAACTGGAAAAACACATCAGCTCAATGACCCCTTCCAGAGTCTCTTCTTGTCTTACTCGTCTTCTGCCGTCTGCTTGAGGCCTTCCAAAACGTGCCGAACGGCTTCAAAGTAGTTGGAGCGGGCTTCGACCATGACATACTCCTGGTCTGGCTCCATAAAGCCGGCCGTGATGCCAGGATCGGAAAATTCCAGATCCAGAGGAGGAGGCGCCGATGAACTGCCAGCGAGTTCGTCGTAGCGACCCGTCACCACTGCCACGATACACTGTGTTCTAAAGCGATCCGAAGCTGGAGACAGGGCTACTATCGTGCCGGGGACCACACGCTGAGATGCTGGCCAGTTGATGAGCTGCCGTGCGCGGACGGCGGACAAGGTGACGCGGACCATGACTCCGAGGCGTATGATGTTGACTCCGCGGACAAAGACCTTTTTGTATTTCCCATTTAGATACAATCTCGTGATGGTTCTGGCAAGATTTTGCTTACATCGGTGTATATGGATGTCTCAGTGCTCTCTGCCATCTCGGGCGCGGACTTGTACTCTTGAACGGCTCTGCGGAGAGGCTCGACGCCCTCGAAGCGTAGGAGGTCATACTGGGCCCGGAGATATGCGCTTTTCGTCGGGTAGACGGCGTTTAGGCCGTTCTTCTTTGGGAGTATGCAGGCTTCTTTCATGATCTCCTCGGCCCGTGGCAGTTCGGGTGTATCGCGCCAGCTTATCTCAGAGTGTGGGCGGGCATGAGGCGAGCTGGTTGCGATTTTGCGGTCAGGGGGCGGTTTCTGGGACATGATCAAGTACAGTCCTGAAGGTAGGTCAGTATTTCAAGACCGTGAGGTGAGAAACGTGTTTGGTTATGTGACTGAAGAAAGTATTTTTGAGCCTCGGATAAGGTACAATACTTGCTGCTAGCTGAGGAACCATACATGTTTTGAAACAAAGACTTGGCAATCTAGGAATGGTTTATAAAGTACCTTAGGCCCGATGGGCTTGTGTTAATCGACGGGCTATGCTTTAACATGGAGAGAGCGACTTACCACACATAAAACCATAGGGTCCGCCACGGACTTGAACAAGTTGAGACTCACGACAGTTTCCAGGGGAAAGAAAATACAATGATTGCAAAAGAAAAACTCCTGACAAGCTAGCTTGCTGAGAGCGGTAAGCTACCTACATTATCTCAAGTGTTTGCAGGACAACGCAGGCTTGGCAAGAGGCTTATACAGCGACGGGCTCCTACATGAGAGCCTAGCAAAACCATCAAGCGAAGATACAACCCATGCAAAAAAGATACCCGCAACATGTTTGGAAGGGTCCTGCCTGGCATGGAGGCTGCAACGGGGTTGATGCAAACGCAGCTGAGCCGTGCGGAAAGTAACAACGTAGACACTCTGCCCGACCCTAGTTCTAGACAGCATCAACCGCGTAGGTCATGAGAGAGAAGGGTGAGTGACCAGGGATGACAAGACAAAAACCATGATTGTCCGTTGTTTTGAGGCAGATTAGGTGTGCCATAGTACAAGGTGGACTGGAGGCGATCTTATCATGCTCGGACACTTGTCAAGGCTGCAGACGTATGGATAATATTGCGCATCGGGCGCGAGAAATCTCAGAGATCCTCAAGGCGGAGGTGTAGTTGGGAGGTCGTTGAGAGACCGGTGGTTCCGGCTGATCCCCAATGGGGCGGCGCCGAAGTTCTGCCGGAACGGCTTGCCCGGCCGAATCATCCGGCGATGCTTCCGCTCCGGAGCGCTCTCGTACGGATAGGGGATGCGGCGGCGGTGCTCCAGGGGATGCTAGCGCGACTGGGCTTGGTAACCTTGTCGTCTCCCCGCCGTAATCGAAAGCTAAACTGCCCTGGCGAGGCGCACAGCACAGGCACACAGGGTGATAGAAGTGGGCGCACAGCACCAGGGCGGCCCCACCGAGCTAGCTGCTGCGGTGCTCCAACCCAGCACGTCGTCGCGACCGCAGCTTTCGCGACGATTCCATGCGCAACGAACATTAGTAGCGTCCACCAACCACCCATCTTCCACAACCCATTGCCGCCAACTTTGTTAACAGACCCCTTTTATTATTCGGAATGGAACGGAACTCTTCGCGTGGCGACATCTCAAAGATACATAATTAGTCGCGAACGAACTTAACCGCTTCTCCGACCCCGGCGCCACCCTGCGAACGCCGCGGACCTTCTGCACGAACTCCAGCGTTCTGCTTGCGACTTCATAGCTGTGCATTGTTCGCATTTCTATATAGCGGAGCTTCAAAATGGATGACGATGATAGAGGTATGTTTCGGAGACTTGTGCTGTTTCCTCAAATCCCGCTGACCTGCCCTGGCAACCTAGACTCAAACGCGAGCTCCGACAATGATCAGAACGACCAGAATGACCAGGACGAGGTCATGGAGGATGTAGACGATGCAGAGGGAGACATGGAGAACGAGGAGGAAGACAACGACGACGATCAAGAGGATAACGACCGCGAGGAGACAGGCGATGATGCGCAAGAGAAGGGCGACGACGCAGCTGCAAGAGATGCAAGAGTGCCTTCTAGAGCTGGTTCGGCTGGCGCGGGAGGGTCGCCGGGGATAAAGAGCGGATCACCACTGCTGTCCTCAAGTCTATTCCCAAGCGTCCGACCCGAAGCCGTGAATGCTCGACTGTACGATATTGTGCCTACGATGGCTGCGCCGCAGGCAACGAGTGTGAACGCAGTCGCCATCACGCCCGATCTTCGCTTCTGGATGACAGGAGGCTCCGACGGCTATATCCGAAAGTACGACGGGCCTGGTACAATAAACGGCAAACAACTCCTCACAGTGGCGCAAAGACACCCCTTTGTCGATAGTGTCGTCAAGGCGGGCATTTTGATGTCATACTGGGAGAATGAGGAACCCGGACCGCCGAACCCAAGAGGGAACGAGGAACACATCCTATCGCCCGTTTACTCATTGGCTGTCCACTCGCAGGCGCTATGGCTACTTTCAGGTCTCGAATCTGGTGGCATCAATCTCCAAAGCGTAAGGCACGATGAAGGAAAGCGCATAACATGCCTGCAACAACACACTAATGCTGTGAGCGTGTTGACACTGGCACAAGACGAGAAGAGCGTCCTAAGTGGCAGCTGGGACAAGAACATTTTCGACTGGGATCTCAACACTGGCGCTGTCAAACGTTCTTACGACGGCAGCGGAGGTCAAACTTCTGCTATCGAGCTTCGTCCAGTAAATGGTGCACCAATTCCTGCCGAGGCAATGGAGGAAGAAATCAAACCTGACCCAACCTTTACCTCGAATAACAGCAAACCTCCTCAAAACGGCACCGTAGACGATACCAACGGCATCGAAGCCCCGCCTCCTGCGATGGCTGGCGAGGGCGCTGAGGGACAAGCGTCACCCGCACATGAGTCGCTCTTTGGTGGCAGTGACACTGGCTCACTCTTTGGCGATAACGTCGCAGGCAATTATGGCGGCGATGACGATGACGAATTTTCGAGGGCGATGGGAGATATGGGAATGCCCACTCTCCATGATGGCTCAGGGCAGGACGGCGGTATGGATCACTCTGCCGATATCGATATGACAAATGCCTTCAACGCCGATGCCACCTCTGCGCCAGCAGTCCAGGCACCAGGAAGCAGCAGTCCCGAAGCCGCAAGAAATCAGCCCCCAGCACCAGCTGTAGATACGACTGCGACAGATGGTCCCTCGGCGTTAGACGGCGCGGGCGATGCTACGGCGCAGCTGCCTGTCCCCGACTTTCCAGAAATTCCTCCTCTACCCGATACGCAGACAGATGACGCGAACCCCGGATCACCCTCCATGATTTTCGCCTCGGATCCTCCTCCCCCGGCCATGGACCCAACTCAGTCAGCGGACACGGTCTTCTTCTCCGCAGCCATTGATGGCAATATCAGAATATGGGACCGGCGTGTTCAAGACCCCGTCGCAAGGATAGGCAGTCAACGAGGCGTGCCGCCTTGGTGTATGGGTGCCTGCTGGAGTCCTGACGGCAACTGGATTTACGCCGGCAGGCGAAACGGAACGGTGGAGGAGTACAGCATCCACAAGGCCAGAAGTGGCTGGGCGCCAGAGAGGACTCTCAAGTTCCCGGCCGGAAGTGGAGCCGTAAGTGCGGTTCGAGCCATGCCGAATGGCCGTCATCTCGTCTGGTAAGTAATTAAAAGCCGGCATGAGAAGACGATTGTCAAGCTAACATACATGCAGTGCTTCCCATGATATTCTTCGCCTGTATGATCTCAAGGACATGCGGGCTTTCAAGCACTCCACCGTCCCCTTCCTGATTATTCCTGGCCCGCCTAGAGCTGGTGTCATTTCCTCACTCTACATTGATCGAACATGCCGCTTCATGATCTCGACTGCTGGAACGCGCGGTTGGGAAGGCACGAGCACCGAGGTTCTGATTGGATACGAGATCGGCGTCACCGAAGAAAAATAGAACTCTGCACTTTGACTCTTGGTTACTAGTCGAGGATTGGAATTCGAATCACGTACCGAAGACGTGAGAACGAGAGAGGTGCAGAGACGGAGTTTGGAGAAAATACCGACGCACAATTTGGAGTCTGGCGGTGACTCGTCTTAGAGTTGTAGCGTTCTCAAAGACCTTGGGATTCTCAAGGCCTAATATCAATACCCATCTATTAAATCCCCGCGGAGCCATATGATGTACGATGTGATACCCCTTTTAATGCATGCGCCTCAAGGCTTGCTACCTCATTTTCTTTCTTATATATACTCGGGATGATTACATAAGGTAATCAATCACCCTTGATTTTGACGACCGTTTCAGTTGAGGGATCAAATGGTTCACCGGTGAGCTCTCAACGGAGGTCTACCCGCGGCTGTTCAACTCAGAAGCTGGTTTTGTCAGTGACAAGGCTAAATGATGAAAACTCTCGACTTCTCATCATAACACAACGCTCTGAAAATCTCGACTTTCTAGAGAGATATTAGCTCACTCGTAGTTTCCTGTTTTCGTCCGCCCGTTCGCGACGAACACCTCCCCGCAACGATCTATGTCTCCTAAAGTCGTTATCCAAATCTTTGGTAATATAAACGCCAGGGCGTATATAGCAGGGTGAGTCATGATAGAAACTGTCGGAACAGCAAGGCTGATAAGGAGCAATGGGCAGGTATCGTGGGCTGGCTGGCGCCTGCCCTGGGCGAAGTGGGACAACTGGCTTAGTCACCACGGCCGGTTAAGGTGGGGCAACCACCCAGGCCGTCACCACCTACTTCGACCGACCCCTGCCCACAATGTAAAATAGGAAGTAACAAGAACAACAACAGCAATTATCACGGACATCGACGTGATTGTTGCCGAAGATACACCCTCATGAGGAAATGTATCACGCCTGTGATACCAACAGAAACACCATACTGGATCGGAATCAGGCGGTTGTGATTTCATCTCACACGGCTTCTTGAGGTGCAACAAGCGAGCTCTATGAGAAGCAGAGAGTTAAGTGTCTCATTGGTGATAAGACAAGGCTCATTCCAAAAGGGGCCAATGGTAAAGAAAGTTACAACCATTGCATCTTATATCGAACGCTAAATCACATCGGTTGGGGCTTTTCATTAAAGGTGGGGTGGTTATGAAACTTCATGATGAAAAGAGATGCAGGATCACCTCGACGTGATAGCAAGCCAGAAGAGGCTCTTCATTTTCGAGTCTACCTTGTGATATCTGTACCATCTTATCTTATTTTGAGGCAACCTCTCAACAGTGACAAGGTACGCAGAAGGTAGATCAGTGGTCAAATCAAGCTCGGGAGGAGGTCTCGGCTCTCTGTCACAAGGACTTCCCCGCCAACCTCGAAGCACCCGCAAGGGGGTCACTGCAACAACGGTTGGACCGCTATCTCCAACATCCCACAGCGGTCTAGCGTGAGCTGACCACATACCTCCCTGATAAGACCGGAAGGCGGCATATGCGCCCAGGCTTTTTACCCCGGATTGGCTCTCATTTGGGGCCTGGTAACTTCTATCAATCTTCAACACACCATAGGTACCTAGTCCGAATACCACCCAACCACCTCCCCCCCTCCCCTGTTGAGCCGGAGATTCTCATATCTCTCTACTCCGTAAACCTGCTGACCACTCCCTGCCCTGGATTCGAATCCCTTGGTTGATAGAGTCTGGCCATTCGGGGCTCACACCGGTCTTTGCCGGGGATGAGGGGTCCCGATACCGTGGTGCCCGCTCATTGAGACGTGAAGGCCGGCCGGGTCATCTGCATTACGGCTGCTACCATTGAGGAGGAAATAAGATCATTATGTCTCCCCCACACTCGCGCTCGTCCGTAACGGCTGCCGCACAAGACGACGAGATCCAGCCTCTTTTACGGGGAGCCGATACTTCATCCTATAGTAATAGTTCCGCGATGGCGTCCAAAGATGTCGAGACCATTGCCGTGGCTCCGGATGCGAAGCCCGGTGCCGATGACGCTGCCCTGGCCGAGGCTATTCGTCTCGAGCACAACTTGACGTTCTCTCAGGCCGTCAAGCTTTACCCCGCTGCCATTGGGTGGTCTGCTTTCGTGTCCATTGGGGTCATTATGTTGGCATTCGATCCTCAACTACTCGGAAACCTCTACGCTACGCCTCAGTTTCAGAGAGATTTTGGTTATGAATATGAGGGCTCCGTAAGCTGTCGTCTCCTCTTATACGTGAACCATATACTGACGTGCTACAGTACATCATTAGTATGTCTAAGACTTGAGTTCCCGTGCTGAAGCATCTCTCTTACTAACATGTGTCCAGCTGCCGCTTGGCAGACCGGACTCTCCATGGGCAATCCCGTCGGTCAAGTTGTCGGTGCCCTCTTCGCTGCGTACCCTATGGACTGGTACGGCCGGAAACTGACCTTTGCCGTGTGCGTGGTTCTCACCGCCGGCATCGTCTTCATCCAATTCTTCGCGCGCTCCTTGCCCGTCCTCCTGGTCGGCGAGCTCCTCGGTGGCCTCGTCTTGGGCATGTACGTGGTCATCGCACCAGCCTACGCCTCCGAGGTTTGCCCCACTGCTATCCGTGGCCATTTGACGTCCTACGTGAATCTCTGCTTCGTCATGGGCCAGCTCCTTGCCAACGGCGTCACAGCGGGGACTTCCAAGCTCGACACTCACTGGGCGTATTCTTTGCCCTTTGCACTGCAATGGTTCTGGATTCTTGTCATCCTCCCAGGATTGCTCTTTGTCCCCGAAAGCCCGTGGTGGCTGGTAAGAAAAGGTAGAATGGACGACGCGAGGAAGAGTCTGGGCCGTCTGGCCTCCAAAAAGGTCAACGTTGCCGCTTCTTTGGCCTTCATCGTAGAAACGGACAAACTTGAGCAAGAGCTTGAAGCCGGAAGCACCTATTCCGATTGCTTGAAGGGTGCCAATTTGAGGCGGACGGAAATATCTGTCGGTGTTTACTGCACTCAAGTCCTCAGCGGCATCTATCTCATCAACTACGGGACGTACTTCTTCCAGCAGGCCGGTCTGCCTACTGACAAGGCATTCGATATGGCCATTGGCTTCCTTGGTAAACAGCTGACCCTTTGTTTTCCCCTCGAGAATATGCGCCTTGGCTAACTTCATCAGCCGTCGGATTCCTTGGCACCGTTATCTCCTGGTACTTCCTGATCCACTACGGCAGACGAACCATCTACATCACCGGACTCGCCGCCTTGGTATTCCTGCAGCTCCTCATCGGCATCCTAGACTGCGTCCCCGGTCGTCCCTCTGGCGTGGCCTGGGCAGAGTCATCCCTCATGCTCATCTGGAACTTCGCCTACGACCTGTCCGTTGGACCCGTGTGCTTCGTCCTCATATCAGAGGCTTCAGCCACAAGAGTGCGCTCCAAGACGATTGCGCTCGCCACAGCTGCCCAGGGCGTCTTGGGAATCATCATGACCGTGGCGATCCCGTACATGATTAACCCGGACGAGGCCAATATGCAAGGGAAGCTCGGCTTTTTCTTCGGAGGGCTGGCTGGGTTGTGCTTCATCTGGGCTTGGTTCCGTGTTCCCGAGACAATGGGCCGCACGTACGAAGAGTTGGATATCCTGTTCGATAGACGAGTTCCGGCGCGTGATTTCAAGGAGTATGTTGTTGATGGTATGACTTCTGCCGATCATTAAGACGAGCAGCCCTCCCCGATGAGGCTTCGGGGTATGGTGCGGTCACTGCCGCTGGCTATTGCGATATCATTTTGAATTTTGATATTTTTAACGCATATTACATGTCCGGTGGACTTCCGGTTAAACACTCTTCGGTTGCAATGACTTCGTTCCTGTCGGAGTTGAGGAAGTCACCAGACTGGCTGGCATGATAGTCAGCCAGCCATGCCAAGCAGCAAGCACTATGCGCCCAATTCAATTTGTCTACTTCGGACCCTCTCGGTATCCTTCGGAGACGCGAAATTTGGGCTCGTCTGGCCACTGGCATCATTGCACTACAGCTGCAACTACACGTGCCCTAGAAGCGAGTAGATGGCAGCGGCCATGCGTTCTCCGTGACAAAGTCAGAGACCTCCGCGGCCTCCCCAAAAGCTTCCGCAGGTGAGATCTGGGGAATGTTGCCCAAAACTCTTAGTATGTCTTTCCTTGATTGAAGACCGCTGCGCCACCCGGACGACGCCCCGTCACAAAACGGCGACGCCAAACAATTCCGTCAGACTGAGTGCTCTGCCTGCGAGAGATTAGTATAAGAACCCAATGGCAGCAAACACCGAGTCATTAAATTGTATGTACACATCGATGTAGAAACCTGTAGGTTGATTCAGTGAAGCTGCTTCATACCTGGGTATCGCAACGATCTTGGCCGTTGCTCATTATTCCCATCAGCCAACATCGGAGAATCCAGGACCACGATCAGACAAGAAACGTTCCGTTACTAGAAAAGCTCGCCATCATGGCTACCGAAAGCGCTCGAACGCTCTTCTTCCCGGCTCCGGACCCCCCAACACCCCTCGCCCGCTACCGCATCCTCTCCCCCAACGCCGCGATCCGCGTCTCACCCCTCCAGATGGGCACAATGTCCCTAGGGACGGCCTGGTCAGACGGCATGGGCCCCGTCGGGAAGAACGCCGCCTTCAGCCTGCTGGACGCCTACCTCGACGCCGGCGGCAACTTCTTCGACTGCTCCAACGGCTACCAGCACGAACAATCCGAGGCCTGGCTCGGCGAGTGGATGGACGTCCGCGGCGTCCGGGACCGCTGCGTTGTCGCGACAAAGTTCTCGGCCGACTACCGTATGCACGCCCTCGGTAAAGGCCGCTGCCCGAACGCGGGCGGCAACTCGCGCGCCTCGATGCACATGAGCCTCCGCGACTCGCTGGCGAAGCTGCGCACCGATTGGATCGACGTCTTTTACATTCAGTGGTGGGATTATACCGCTTCCATCGAGGAGGTCATGAACGCGCTGCATAACCTCGTCGAGCAAGGGAAAGTGCACTACCTCGGGATATCAAACTGCCCGGCCTGGGTCGTCAGCGCGGCCAACACGTACGCGCGCGCGCACGGCAAGACGCCCTTTTCCATCTACCAGGGCTACTACAGCGTCATCATGCGCGACATGGAGCGGGACATCATCCCGATGGCGCGACAGTTCGGCATGGCCATTGCGCCGTACGGCGCCGCGGGCATGGGCAAGTTCAAGACGCGGGAGATGATTGAGGCGCGCCGGCGGAGCGGCGACGAAGGGCAGGCGTTCCGGCACCTGGCGGACCAGACGGAGACGGAGATGCGCGTGAGCAAAGCGCTGGCCGCGGTGGCGGAGGAAGTTGGCGTGTCGTCCATCACGGCCGTGGCGCTGGCGTACGTCATGGCAAAAGTGCCGTACGTGTTCCCCGTCGTCGGGGGCCGCAAGGTCGAGCAGATGCTGGACAACATCGACGCGCTCACGATCCAGTTGTCGGAGGCGCAGATTGCCTATCTCGAGAGCGTGGAGACGTGGGAGCCTGGGTGGCCGTACGATGTCATGGGGTGGGATCCTCATGTGTCGGGGACGCCGGCCCCGATCATTGCTGCGTCAGCCAAGGTTGATTTCGTGAGGCGGCCGAAAGCTATTGGGTATGATTGATGAAGGGGAATTTGTTTCGGTGCGTTCTAGCCTCGGTATTGGGGTTTCTTTGGGGGTTAGGGGGCGTTCCGTTCTGATTCCGTCCGTTGACGGAGGCTTGGTGTGACTTGAGAATATGGCGGAACAAGCCTGCTGCAACAAATGAGTACTAAGATCATGTTGTACTTACCAAGTTCCAAGGCGTAGCATCATTCTGATACCACTTTTCATGTTCAGAGTGAAGAGTATGGTGATAATGTTCATTCATACGATAGTGGAAGCCTTGAAGACGTAGATTCGAAACATCAGGCACGGATACAAAGTGCACCAAATCTCCGAATGAGATATAAGAGCTGTGAATGGGCACCATGCTATTCAAACAAATACTGTTGATTCGTCAAATACCTCACGTAGACTGCCTGGCCACAATGGCCAACCCAATCCGCAGTCGACAACTCTGGCACCATCGCGTTAGTTATATACCTACTGCAACCCCATATTAGCGCGATCCAGACCACCTTAATCCGCAGTGGCGGGACCCCAGGTCTCAGATTGCCGAAATAAACTAAACAAGGAGAGATCAAAACCGTTGAAAACGACTCACCTGTATCGCACATTCCCGGATGTTTCTCAGGGGCCGCGGTGGCAACGGCCGCGGCAACGCCAGCGACTTCGCCACCGCCATCATCACCTCCACCACCAGTCTCGAAGACCCCACACGGCGTCCAAGGATCGTCGGCATCGCGTAGCCAGCGCCGAAGGGAGTACCCATTGCGGGCCGGACCCGTGCCCGAGATCGCGGATGCGGCTGCGGCTGAGCGTGCTTCGGCCCGCTTGCCGACCACAGTCGCCGCCGTTGGCTTGGTCGCCGAGAGTCTGGGGACTTTGGCCATGGTGTAAATGTTATCGAGCTTGATAAAAGCTGCGACCCTGTTCAGCATGTGTTTCCTCCAAACAGAGCTTTTCCAAACCTCATCGTCCACCTCTTCCTCCCTCCCTCCCTCCCTACTTTTCTTTCTCATTCTCCCCTCGAAAACAAGCAAACAAAGGACAGGGTCCGGGCCGCTGGATAACATACGAGTAACCATAAGGTGGTTGCCGGGGTGCGCCTCGGCTCGCAGCGTTGATATCAAGGGCGAAATGAGTTGGCAAGCAATGCTTGCCTGGAGAAAGCTTGGGTATAGCCCATAAGAATGAGCAATAGTCTCGATAAACCGTGAAAGTAGCCGTCGAGGCCCAGGTTGAACAATCTGTCAATGTCAAGTCTGTCATCTAGGAATCACGTTCGTCCAAGCAATGCGCTTTAAGTATAAGCACAAAGTACCTTGGTTCATCCATGGACATAGGCGCCCGCACTCTCATTTCCAACCTCATGCCGCTTCCCGAAGAGGTGCCATGGGCAGCTCAATTTTGATACCATACGATTCGAACCGGCGTTATGTGTGAACGACAAACGACTTCTGTCAGGTTGCACGGCTTCCAAATAGTTTGCCAAATAGTTTGACGTGCGCTGCAGCTTCCCACCGGGCCAGAGTTGACAGGACCGAACCGAACTCTCATGTGGCAGTGGAAAGCGACGGCCGAAAAAAGTGTTTGCTTTGCACCGAAGTCGACCACCCATCATCCATGCCAAGTGCAGAGCAAAAGTTCCGGATGATTTGATGTCGAGGTGGAATGCACAATGAGCGGGAACCCGTCCCGGATGCTGCTGCTGCTGCTGCTGCTGCTGCTGCTGCTGCGAGGTGATAACTTTGCAGTTCGCTAGAACCAGAACCAGCACCAGTGATGGATGGTCGCAGGTCGAGTACCTTGTGTGTATTTGTTGCCAATATGCAAGGCGCTGTATGTCTCTCAGCGCAGCGCGCTACTCCTCATCAGTCAATAGTCGAAGAGTGGAGGGCACGGGAGGGGAGGTGGACGCCAGGGTTGCAGTGCAATGAGCTTGATTTGATTCTATCCATCGCATTTTGATATTCGCCATCAGCCGTAATGGAACACCTCTTTCGTGAGCGACGCCTTCCTCCTCTTTTTGGCCTCCCTTTGCCAATTCGTATTCCCATCCGATACCTGGTCCGTTCCGTTTTCGCCCGAATCCGTGGCCTAAAGAAATCTTGAATCGAATTTTTTCGAGTCTGGTCCCCCACAAGGTGATTACCATTATATACTATATTGTTTCGCCAGCGGGCATCGCTAGCTGCAATACATGTGACATGTTACAAAGGAAAATGACTTTTATCTGTTTCGCAAGAAAAATGAAAGTGTTCATTCATGGCCCTACAGGGGCATTGTAATATTGTACAGGCACCAGCGGCCAATCTGTTGTCATTGGCGTGGGTTGTGGTGCATTCTCGTCGACGACTGTGCTGGAGAAACTCTCCCAGTCCTCAAATGTGACCATATTTTCAGGCATAAATTGGAAATTCATCGGTTGATTTTCTTGTGGCGGCGGCGGAAGCTCTCTGTCAAGTGATGCTCGACGCAGAGGTTCCGTGTGCGCGCGCGGCTGTTGAGGGTGGAACAAAGGCTGCGGCATCATTGACTGAGCCCTCATTTGTTCCATGTACGGCGAGGGTGATGAATCCTGTGACGCCAGAACTGGAGGTTGAGGTGATTGTGTCGGAAGAGTTTGGGAAGGTATCGAAGGAGGAAGAAGAGGCTGAGGGGGGTATTGTTGAGGGAGAGCAGCAGGAGGTGCGTAGCATTGAGAATACTGCATTGGCGGCGAGGCCGGAACAGGAAGGTAGACGAGATCCGCCAGCTTGTAGGCAATCAGGACAATAGACTCGGCCTCAGAGCTGGACCCAGAGAAGAATTCGAGCAAATCTTGAAGTTGGCCTGGGCTCTCGTTCTCCATGAAACCCTGCGCTCGACCAGTCTGGGTAGGATTCCAGCTGAAGTTAGGCTGACGTCCCTGGAACTCGTTGGCCTTGGACATGAGCACATCTTTCCAAGCCTCGTGGATCAGAGGCTGATGCAAGAGGCCGTAGATAACTCTTGAGTGCATCCAATCCGACTTCGTCTTTCCTGATTCGAAGTGTCTGGCGACGTGCTCGACATGACGTTCTCTCGAAGGGTGCAGGGCCGAGCAAAAGCCGCAAGCCCAGTACTTTCTCCTCTTCAGATACTTGACAACCTTTTCGGAGTGCGGGCAAGACTTGCAGCCGTGCGAAGCCTTGTGGTGCTGGTTGAAGGTGTTGGCTCCCCAGAAGCTCCTGTTGCAGCCAGGCTCGGGGCAAGGGTACTTCTTCCAACGCTCATGGAACTCCTCCTCGTGACGCTTCCAGTCGTACTTGCGCTTAAATCTCGTTTCGCATGAGGTACACCAGTAAAAGTTGAAGCGTCCGGGACCCCATCCTGTCTGAGCGCTTGCTACCTGGGGCACGCCTCCGGGAGCTGCGGGCGCGCACTGCTGGGTGGAAGGGGTCTGCGAAGCTTGGGAGTAATGTGTCGAGACGGTGGCATTGGAGGCAGCGGAGCCCATGGACCAGATACTCGCATGGCCGGAAGAGCCCGAGCTCGTCGATGATACGGAGATGCGTGGCTTATGACCTATTTGGCCATGGCATATCGCTGAAGGAACAAGAGGGAAGTTAGCAGGGGTGTCCTGTCTCCCACAAAGGTCAGATTTGGGGGAATGATGGAACAAACCTCGTGTAGAAGCATCCTCCATCGCGACATCCTGTGGGGCATGCTGTTGGTGTTGCTGCTGCTGTTGTTGGTGCTGAAGCTGAAGCTGCATCTGTTGTTGCTGTTGCTGTTGCTGAGCCGCCTTGTCGCCAGCTTCCCACATCTGCAATAGTGCTTCACGGGAAACTCCAGAGCTCTTCAGAGCCTCGAGGGTACGTCTAGCATCCGCCAGCACGTCGGCTGCGGCATCCTGCATGGGGTGATCCATCTCGACGGCGTTCCGCTCTCCACCCTCGCTCGATGTAGTCGAATTGGGAGCTTCGCCGGCGTTCTCGGGTTGGCGCTCTTCAGTGCTGTAGTTCAACGGAGCAAGCCTTTCCAAGGCGATTCGTCGCGAAAGTAAGGGCGAACGTATACGATGGAGGTTTATCTCGACGTCGGTAATTATGGTGGTCGTAGTAGACTATGGTGTAGAGAAGTTGTTGGCGTAGTAAGTGGTTGATTGGCGTACAGGTAAGAGCGAGAGACTGGCGGAAGCTAATCAGATGAGGTGCAGGGCAAGCCTGGGTTAATGATGCGAGAAGCAAAATGAATAAAAAAAAGAACAAGATCGAGAGAAGGAGGTTGGTCGAAAGTTGGTGAGGTGTCTCTCGGAGATATAATAATAGGAAACGAGTGTGGATGTGGATTAAAAGGGTGTTGTGGTTGGCGTGTGATGAGGTCGGAAAGGTGAATTGAGGTGAGGTGAGAGGTAGGTGCGGGAGGTGCGAGGTTAAAGATCAGATCCCGGACGGGAAAAGAAGTTGGTGTTGGAGTTCGGACGCTTTGGTGGGAAGCGAGAGGAGGCGGAGGAGCCAGGAAGGAGGGGAGGCGTGTGCTTTGGGATCCCAGAGAGAGCCCACACTGCCTGCACAGAGCCAGCGCCAGAGAGGAGCAAGAGCAAGAATCAGAGCCAAGGCCCAAAAGCCAGCACGGAAGCTTGGGCAAGTTAGTCAGGGACCTAGCGCGGAGAGATAGAGCGAGAGGGAAGAGCTAAGGGGTCGGGTACCTTGGAGGAGAAGAAGACGAAGAAGAAGAAGAAGGAGGAGGCGTGAGATTGGAGAAGTGTGAGGCGTGCGGAGAGTGAACAACGAGGTTGCTGCTAGGAAGGAGGCGCGAGGAAAAGCGGGAGGGAAGGGGAGGGGAGGAAGGGAGGAACGATGAGATGGAAACAGAGGGAGGGAAACGAGTTTGAAAATAAAAATAAAATAAAATAAAATAAAAAAGCAGGTGCTAGGGTCGCGGGAGTTTGAGTAGGAGGGATGGAGGGAAGGTACTGTACGGAGTACTTGGTGTACAGCAGTCGGAATGATCCCTGCTCGTACGTTGCGTGTTGATTCTGGTGCGCTTCTTGCTCTTCTCTTGCTGCCCTGCTCTACCTATCTGTACAGTCACTACTCACCACACCCTCCCCTGCTTCCCACTGATGATGCCTGACCTCACCTTACGAATACATCTCCCAAGCTGAGTGTATCCTATGTAATGTTCCAGGACCAGTACAAGTTGACGATTGGAGCGAGATCTGGTTCATCCATCTACCTTATCTTGTTCGATGGTAGTCAGCTGGGTTGGGCTTTGGGCGGCCCTGGTATCCATACGTACCTAGTATACGCCTATAAACTACTAAAGACGAGCACGATTGGTGGGACTGAAGACCGCAAGAGAGAGGCAGATGCAGAGGCAGATGCAGAAGCAGAAAGAGGCGCCGAGCGAGGTGGAGTGGGCTACATGCCATGTTTTCGAGCCAGGTTGTGTACGTGCGTTTTGCGTGTGCGCTTCCAATGTCTGTGAAGTGCGAAGCCGCTCTCGGCATATGCAGGCATACACACCAGACAATGGAAAGGCAGTCTGACCTCTGAAGTCACTATTGCAGTATTTCGATGCTTGGATACCCCAATGGCACTTGTCAATCCCATCCGATGTTTGAGCCCCAGAAAGCCCAGTCGAGGATGCGGCACAGAGATGATGACAGCAAGCAATACGGAGTAGAAGACGCAGAGAAAAGAACAGAGATTTTCCTGGCCCCCGTTGGTTTCCTGCCCCCGGTGCGCGTCCCTTTTTCGCATCCTCATACGGGGGGTCCATGGTGCTCTGTATCCGTACGAAGTATCGTTGTGCAGAGGGTACTCCGAGATAATACTCCGTAATAAAAATGGTACAGAGACGCCGACCAGTCCGTTCGTAGAGTACTTTGTGAATTACCCGCTGACTGTGCCCGCTGGCAGCTCCAACGGGCATGTTTCACTCCCTTCTGGACGATGGGCTGGCTTTGGAACGCGAGGCCCGTAGGGCGTTGAATCAGGTAAAGTGCTGTGATGCTCCGTCTGTGCAGGTCTTGAAAGTAGAGGGGGGGGCGTAGAAACAAGGGGAGGAACTAAGGGGGTACATATCGTGACTGAATTGTAGCGTAAGAGGACCTGAGCTGCGAGCATGGAGCAGGGTCGATCCCGCCATGAAACGAACCTCTAGGCTCTCAGCGCGTCATCGTTTGCCGACTACAGACCAACATCTTGTCACCAACGACATGCTCGGCTCGTACTTTACACCATCATCGTGAAATAGACAGTGAGTGTCGCGCGTTTGATGCGCCTATTGAGACGACGGATTCTCTCACTTCATCTGGATACGCTCGGTTCAGTCCATTCTCATGCTAGCCTTTTTTTTTGTCTTGGGGTGGAGGGGAGGGGCAGGGGTGTGAACGAAAAAGCGGCAGGTTGTTGGCTTATCAAGGGACGAACGTCTGTTTGTCGAAAGAGGATCAATCAAGAGACCAGACGGGAATAGTAGGGACGAACATCAGAAACCAAGAATGGTCCGAACGGTTGGAGAGACACTTCAGCCTCGCTGGGATCAGGGGACTAAATCCATCTCATCCCGTCCCCTTCGCAATTCAGAATTCAGGCACATCCGTGCCATAGGAAGGTGGTAGGCAATTGGGCGATGAAAGCTCTATCCGTCAGCTATGGGGGCGAAAGAGCAGAAATACGCCACTAGAACCAAGGAAAAAGAAGGGAAAAAGATGTGAACGGGGTGGAGGGAGCTGAGCAGGGGGTGTGAGTGATGATGTGATGCAATGGGACGGGACCTACGAAGAGTTGGGCCGTGGGTGCCAGATGGAATGGAATGCAAGGAATAGGGACGGGAACGGGAGCGAAAGAAAAGGCGACGAAGAAGAGAAACAATGGACAATAGGAGAGAGAGCCGAGGGATCTACGAAGTACCTGGCCCCAAGAGACGGACTGGGATCATGGCCGACAAGGTGAAAGAAAGGAACGGGGATACGGAGAAATGGGGGGGTAAGATGATCATAAAAAATTAATCAAGTCGGCACGTCAAAGCTCGAGCCAATCTCACCTTGGAACCTTGGGTCCAAGTCACCTTAGTACGTGCTTAGGTAAGGAACCTACCAATAGGTAGAGTACTTTGGGGATGTCACTCAACTTGAGGAAGGTTCGGTCCCAAGATTCAATGGTTGTCAAGTTTGAGGTCGTCACATGATGACAACTCAAATCACAAACGTGAGTCGTGACTGCGTGGGGTTGATATCTCAGCTTGTTGATTTGACGGCAACTTGTAACAGATTGTGACTGCCAATGGGCACTGTTGTTACCTCAATGAGAAGCAATCATTGAATGCAAGCAACGGATCCAGGTCCAATTCCGCTGCCCGCTAGCAATAAAACGGCAAGGCACGTACGGGTATCCATCCGTACCTTACCTTGCTCCGTACGCGCAAATATCCCGTCAAGCTGCTGCTGCTTTCCAGCCTCCAACCGCTAGAGGCACGCGCTAGGAAGCAAGCGAAAGACAAGCGAGAGATGCAATGGAAGAAGAAGCAACGAGCAACGTATGGAAGGCAAGGGTCGGAAGAGCAAGGGGGGATGATGGCAATCAGCAAGTTGCAATTCGCAACTGCCCTCTGTTTTTGCGGTGTCGGAGGTTGGTATTGGCAGCACCTTCGAATGCACTTCCTTCCTCCCGTCGATTTTGGGAACTTGGGAAGTTGACTTACATAAGGAGTCTTAGGTAAGGGAACCTACACCAAGGTAAGTCTCGAAACCCCCCCCTTCTCCCCGCTTTTCCATCGAGGCTAATGCCAAAGAGACATGATGGAGGCATCGTGCACTCCGCGCCAGAGGCCAATAGAGTCTGGGGTCACAATTCTACCGCCATTTTCCTTTGCTTTCCCACGTTTAGTCGGCCGGTGATTTTCATCCATCTCATCCGCAATGAATTTAGGTTGTCCATGGTGGCGCAATGCACGCTGCATCGTCGGGTAACGGGCACCTTCCCAACGGCAAATTACCAGCCCCTCCCCTACTCCTTTTTTTTCTTCTTCTTCTTTTCTAACCTACGGATACGGATATTGTCTATTGCCTAAGGTACCTGATCCAACCCTCAAGTTCTCTTTTGGTCCAGTTTCTCTCAATACTTACCGACCCCGGCCCCCTTCATCGACACTACTCAGCACCGCTGCATCAGTGCCGATGCTGCACAGCTGAACGATGATGGCGCAGCATCAGGCTCATCAGCGCGGGGGCCAGAGAAACGACAGTGTGTGTGCGAGCCTGCGAGTGTCTGGTCTGCCGATGCTTCACAGACAGCCGCGAATAAACTGGCCAAACCAAGAGAATTCACGGGAGCCAACTCGGACGTTGACGATTGCCTCGCCATGATTGGTCAAGTTATCACCTGAAACAAATTCAGGACTGCTCACCGATACGCCACGGGGCGGCCCAGCGTTTCGAAACAAGAGCAGAGAAGGAAACAGAAGCAGGCAATCCCATGGGCCACGGAGGTGCTGGCAGGCTGCGGCAGCTGCTACTGCAGAGTGCAGCACACCGCACCGCACTGAGGTGTACTGTACCGATACCTGTACTGAGCCCAGGTGCCTACCTACTCCGTAGGCAGTCAGTGTGCTCGGTGGCATGGGAATGGATGGGATGGCAGGCCGCATGCCTAGAGTTTGTTTTGTTCCTGGCCCCAGACTCCTACGGACCTACGGATACCCTCGGTGAATAGGGGCCTCTTCTTCCTCTCTCGTGGACGAAGGGGTGTATCTGTTCGGGGTCTTGGGGCCAAGCAGCCAAGCAGCCATGCTCGAAAGAGCTTCTTTTCGCTCGGAGTCGCCTCCCCACGGCCTGGCACTTCCCTTTCTACCATCGCCCACTGCTCAGGCACCCGTCGTCCCGCCCAAGCACATGGCAGGGATCACCCAGTGAGCCTCGGAGACCATGAGATGATGTGCAAGGGGAGCCACAGGAAGCGACAGGGGTCGATGGCAGGGGCCCATTGCCGATTTGAGCCAGCTTTAATAACATGACGGGATAAGGATGGGAAGGATGAGGGGAAACAATTAGCCACAAACTTGGGTCTGATTGGATGATGAGTTTGATTGGACGGGGTGCTGGTCACCATGACTATCGACCCCAAGAGCCAAAAAGACTCCAAACTCCAAAGGGCAAGACACGACACAAACCTACGATTACTTACATACGAATACCTACACAGTATCGGTACGGATACATCAGAGGTTCACGCCCTCACATGCAAGTTGCAACTACCTCTGCTGTGGGGCCATTCACGGCGACAGCTTCCTCAGGGACGTTTCAACACTACTGTGTGCAACCACGAATACGTCAGCCCGTCGTCCATTTGAGACTTGCCCAAGCTAAGGTACGGAGTACGGATACAGAGCACAGAGTCGCCAATCATCAATGTACCTCGCAAAGGATACATGTTTCTTTTCTTTTGGTCAGCGGTCACCGACTCTTGCTGATACGGGACACAAGATCCAATACGATGCGCATTGGCCGACTATCTTTTGCCTCAACAGAGGATAATGTCTCTCGCCGTACCACGCCTTGCAAGTTGCGCCATCCATCTTCTGCTACATTACCACCCCAACGTCCCTTTTTGCTGAGGTACCTGCGTCGCCGTTGCTAGCCCACAGCACCTTCGCCAACGTCTGCCTCATCGTGCTTCTTACATGAATCTCCCAGCGGCACATCAGCTCCCGATCGGAGCTAGCGGCGCGTCTCACATTATCAAGTCGCGCTTGAAAGTTGGCAGAGACGCGGGTGTGGAGAAGACCTTGGTCTTGGTCTAAAAGAGACTAAGGTAGTGGGCACTGGGTGTGAAATGTGAATGTGATTGTCGACGTCGGATGGGGAAGTGGACGCGGACGGGACGGTACCATTCGATTCGTTGCCAGGAACCGGCTCTTCTCATCGGCTCGTCTCGTCTTTTTTTGGACCTTCAACTCCTGTCAGCCATACGTATACCCTCAACGCACTACTCTACTTGGAGCGTCCATCTAGATCCGTAAACCTGGGCTGGGCACGGCCTACGTGATGTGGAATCCAGAATCGAGAATAGAAGACACGAAGAAGACGAGGAGCGAATGCGAGTAAACAGCCACTAGGCCGACCAAGCAAGCCATGCTCGATTACTTAGTTGGATGGCGCGCGCAATCTCCCCCAACACGCCCACGAAGCCAACAGCTCTCGAATTAGCAGCACATCTGTGACAACAAGCACACGTCTCGAGCTACGATTATAATTACAGCAAACTCGTGATGACTGTGACGAGCGTCGAGTTTGAAATCGGGCTATCAACGCTATCAACCGGGCTCCGAGAAAGTCCTTTCCTCTTTAGGCCGCGCACGTACACACAGATACGCGGTAGACATATGCAGACTTTCAGTCTCTGGTTTTCTATCGAAAGCGCCGGTGCCCCACCCCGCGCCGCCCTCATGTGTCATGTCATGCCATCTCACGGCAACCACTCTCGCAAAGGAATCGCTCAAGTCTGCTGGGCGCGCTCGCTGCGTGATCCGACCGCGCTTGCTTGTACGGAGCACCTTGCAGTCGGCCCTCGGAAAGCTGTCTAAGGGCAAGAGGCCCCGTTGCGGACCCTCTGTAACGGATCCATGGATCTCTGTGCCCTTTTGTCGGTTCCTCTCTTCCACTATTTTCTGGGTCCCAGACTAGGTGTGCTGCTGGCTACTCTGAGGCTCGAGGCTGCAGCTGGTCTTTCTCTCTGCCGTCGCCGTCATGTTTCAATTGAATTGGGCTCTTCCCTTTTCGCGCACTGCTTTCTATCTTTTCAGAATGCTATGTTGGGATGATGCCATGCAAAGTGGATGTAATATGCAGGCACCTCGTGTGCCTTGCGTACGCACGTATGTATTGAGTCCTGTCGCCAAAATGGCAGATGACTCGAGTCTCACATGAATGATCAGGGTCCGCACCGGCGTTACCCCCTCGGGCCTTGGGAAGACATCGATTGACGCGATGCACAGACAGCCAGTGGCAACACCATGGTGCAAACATTGGACATCACTCGCCCGCGGCCCCGTATAGCCTTGATGGGGCATTGGGGCTTGCTCAAGGGCGAGGCTCGACCAACAACGTTTGCGCTACCTGATGTCGCTTTTTTGGTTCGTTGCTGACAGTTATTTAGATTGGCAAGGGAAGTCGGATGGTGCCTATCGTGAACCAGTGGAGGTATGCTACGGAGAACAGATAGGAGAGCTCCTCCCCAAGTACTTACTCAAGGTGTTCGTACCTTTTGAGTAGGTAAGTAAGGCAAGGTACGTGGGTGACTTGCAAGCCGGGGACGGCTGCGAATACAAAGTACGAAGTCCATTGTATGTCCAGGTAAGGCGTGGTCCGGGCAAACCGCAATTACCTTAGCTGTCGACATCGCGAGGCTCGGCGACGGGTATACGTCGATGGACCTTATTCGCACCTTACCTTACCGTAGTGTAGGTAAGGTAGGTCATGGATGGGAGAAGCAGGAACGAGGACGGCATGGGCGGAAGGTTGATTGGAAGGTCCCTTGCTTGTTCTTGCTGTACCGGATCCCGTGGGCGGGCGCTCGCCCAGCTGGTCGGATCCGAAGCGCCGCCCCGTTATGCCTGCCTGCCTCCACTGCGCCTGTGCCGTTGCCGTCCAATCCATGTCCAGCCACAGACAGCCTCCAAGGGCAGATACGAAGTACGGATACTTTGCAAGGTACCTTTCTAGACTGACGCAGGAGGAAAAGGTACTTTGTACCTTACGCGTCTCGATGCAGGTGCGATTCGCCTCCACGTCGCTCCGCTGCTTCCCTGATAATATTTCCATCCACACGGGAGCACTACTGCGTACAAGCCCCCGGTTGTCCTCGCCTCTTCAGACGAACCGCTCAACCTCCTGCAGCACATCTCGAACCCCCTCACCCTTTCAGTTGCTCGTCTTCTCTCCTCACCATTGATCCCGGCATGTTTCAAATGCATTTCCCTTTTGGGACGTTTGTTCGTTTTCTTCTCGCCAAACTCGCCATGGACATGCTATTCATCGAACGACGCATGAAAACCAGATGACTGAGCTGATTTCATCCGAATTTTGTGCCCTGGCATAATACTACTTGCTAGTCACTACATCGTGTCAAAACCGCAGAGGTGCACAACGCAAAACGGTGCCAAGTTCCGACGACCGACAAAGCTCCGTCCACGGTACGGATACCTCTATGAAGCCATTTGCCTGACGAACCAACCAGGCCGATTCATTGTCATCCCAGCACTCGCTCGCAAAAGAGCATGGGGGGGCCTTGGGAACAAATGGGGCCGAGCATCAGGGTCCCGCTGCCGAGTGGGCAATATTTAAATGTCTGCTCTTCTCCGACGGGACAAACGCGCCTGTTCCAGCACTCGAGGTCGAGGAACAGATACCAACCTCTCCCAATCGTCCCATCACAAAAGTAAGGCGACTCAGCGAGTTAGGGGTCCGGATAAGCCACACAAGCTTGTTTGCAACTTTACGGATGGATGGATGGATACCTGACAAAGTACCTTCCTTTACGCAGTACGTAGTACTTTACGAGTACGAAGACTGCTTGCCATCGTCGTCCGTGGTCGCTTCATGCTGCTGATATTGCGGGAACGCTATGAAAAACCCCCACAGACGCCATCGTCGTCCACCCTTTCTCGCGCCCTGCTGGATGCGAACCCTATCACCGGGTCGTTTATTACTGATCACTCGTTGTTGACGCGGGTGTCGGGACACTCCACCAACCCCTATTCGGGTTCTATCCGCCGGGCCGCCTTCTTCGACAGACTGGAGCCGCCAGCAATAGCCTTTCGGCGAGACTGGCTCAGCTCCCGCAAGGCCCGGCGCGTCTTGTACGGCGCGCTGGCTTGAGAGATCCAACCGCCTTGGGGACAGTATGGGTATGTATGCGCACAAAAGGCTCCAAATCGCTTGGTGGTTAGCGCCAATGACAAACACGCCCTCCCCCTTGGAAGTTAAACCGAGAAAATACGCATGCAAATTAAAATAAAAAGGGCACGGCCCAGGGCTCGAGGCCACCAACAAGACGAGCCTGGGGGATTCGAATCGCGAGGGAGCCAAGTTCTAACCGCGGCGAGCTCGGCGGTGCACAAAATACCAGAGAAAATCAAAAAGGGGAGGGGACCGACGCGCAGACTTTGAGGGTCCGAGAGCACTCAATCAGAGATCCCATGTTTGATGAGCCTGTGGGCTGGCGGCGCTCACAAACGGTTTAGCTGCAGCTGTTGGTGCCTCGACAAGCTCGTGCCTCTGAAATCCGTCCAACCGCCGTCAGCACATCAAATGATCTTTTGACGATCGTCCCTTGCCGAGACCTTGACTGTTGCGTCGAAGCTGGCTTCTGCAACGTTTGACCTTGATTGTCTACGGCAGTTGATGGATCTAATGGAACCCACGACCGACACGTCTGGCAGTCTGCTTGCTTAATGGCGCCAGAGACCCGGAATGCCTCTGATTAACCCCGGCCTCCGTGGTTCGTCTCTCTCTTTCCAGTGTATCTAATTGACTATGTGACAGTACGGACAGGCCATCATGTACAGCGCCCGGCGCCATACATCACATTGCCGTGATATTATCCATCCGTTTTCATCCACTACGTCGCTCCGAGCCGGACGAAGAGCCGATTAAGCCTCTCCCAAGTTTCCCCATCCTCCGTGCTACCCTCGTGCGTTTTTCTGCTCCGTCACTGTCGATGACTCCCGTCACTCTCTGGCGGTCTCGCACGCGCTCATCCACATACGATGAACTATCTGCATACTACCACGACGCGAATCTCTCCCCACCACAGACGTCTGTTTCTCTCAGACTAACACCGTCGTCTTCTGTCATCAAGTCGGCCGGACTTTTTCTCATATCCGAAGAAAAAGAACGGTGGCTTGCCACATCAGCACCAACCAACACGCTTCCTCTTTGGCTTGCAACTAGCACAAGCAGTATGTACCAGCTCCCGCAGCGGCAACGCCCTCAAAGTTCCAACCCGGAGGCTTGGCTCCTCTGGCGACTTCTTTGAGAAAACGCAGCCCTTGAATTGGCTTAGTCCAGAGTCAATGCCAGTGCGTATGTTTCAACAACGGGACGGGCTGCTCAAACACGAGGCTACGAGCAAGACCGACGCCTCTCTGCTCACTCTGCGGCCCGTGTATGCCCGTTTGAGGAAATTGGCCCTGCAGCTAATCCCGAGGGCGTGGCCGTCAGCTCCGAACGGGGATTGGCACACCGGCATGCAAGCAACACGCCCGAACCCGGCTCGGCTTCGCTCGATTCGGACACCTCGCGACGCCTCATGAAGTCTGCGAGTCACACAACCCGCCAACGCCGTCCAAACCTGACCTCTTTCCGCACATTGACCAACCATGGCCTTTGCCTGTCTGTTAGGCTTGAAAGCCCACTCGACGCCTCTGGCGGGCTGCTCGAGAAGGTGCGTTGGACACGCACTACTTACACTTGTATCCAACGACAACGACAACCACAACCACACCCGCAACCACAACACACAGGCGTGACAGGCACAACGCCGACTCCTCGTTGAAAACCGCCATATCGGCCGCCGGTTATTTGATAACTGTCTAAGCAACGCATTACCCCATCTTGATTGTGGCACAGAAAGACAATGGCTTGGACAATGGCTTGATGGAAGACGCCTCCAGCTATGCGCTCCTATCAATCCGTCCATCCAAGTTCTCGTCTTCGGCTCGCGGCGGGGAAACTCCTGTTTCTCGTCTAGATCGTGCGGGTTTCCTTTTCCGAGGCTGAGCTATCCATCGAGTCCCGGCCACCGAGCGCAACGGAGCTTAGACGGACTGCCTATGCTCTAAGCTCACGGTCCACGGTCCATGGCCTCTGCCATCCCATCATGATCCCAGAAACCGAGTTTCCCTCGAGCTAAGACGCGAACAGATGCCCTATTTCAGGAACGCGCATGTTTAAGGCCCGTTGTCTGCAGAGGTTTCATCAACGCGTCGAGACCAGTCGACGCCATCGTGACTTGACAACGTGGCGAGGTCAATTCGACGACTCCATCGCGACACACAGCCCACTTGATCGCCTTAGTCTCCGAGATCTGCGGCAAGGGCCATTCCCCGCAGACTCTTCTCAAGGACGCATCTCGAACGCTCATGCCTACGACGCCGCGTTACGGGTTCCGCACAGCTTCCGCGACATCTCTAGGTTTCGACGGCCTCTGCCATCGCGTTGAGGTTCTTGCCAGGGCAGAGGCCGCCCTCTTGATTCCTGGGCCGCATTGACGCAACCTTGGTGGTTGACAGACACACGGGCATGAGAGCTTCATTTCCGAAGAAGACGCCTTCTTCCCAAATCAGGTTGATGAAACACTGGGAAACTGTCATTCAGCTCCAGAGGGACAGTCCCGACTCCCGCCAAGGCCAAGGGACCAGCTGAGATCGTATGCGAGGAATCGCGCTTCCCTCCGAGACCATCGGCCGTTCAGTATGTTCAGCAACTCTATTTACAGCCTTGAAGGGTTACGATGTGCCGATTAGCCGCCGAACGTTCGACCCTCTATCGACGCGACGTGATCTAGGCTCTAGGCCCATCTCAGCGAACACAAGCGAGGCATCAAGAGTCTTTCGTATGCGGTCTTGTTATCTTGTTCTCTTTCACTCGCTGAAATTCGCATGTCCTGAATGGGGTCACGATTTTCCGATACTGCAGCCTGGAAAGGGGCCCGAGTGAATGCTGCTCGTGTTGTGGGCCAGAGGGAGTCATGTGCTTTGGGCAGTCCGGAGACTCCAAGATGATCCCCCCTCCCTCACCCTCAAAGGAGGAACAGAACGACAACGAATCAATGTTATGGAGCCTCAGGGGTAACGATCGCCCGTGCTTTGCTGATCTCTTTCCAGGCTCGGGTATTCCCTCACTCGATCAATCGCAGACCGCGAAAACTGTAGATGCGGATTGCCCGGTGGCAAAAAGCAAGCATCAAAACAGATCAGCAAGTGCTTCTGCATCTCTTCTTTCCCCAGGGTTTCTGCCTAGTTTCTAGTCGGAGTGGTCGGGTCTAGTGTCTCCTCGCACGAATGGAATGGGAGCATGGCAACGGCGATCTACTCGTCTACAAGGCTCGTTCCCGCCCACAGATCTGACTTGTCGGGCTTGGCTCGAGCCCTTTTGGCAGCTCTGACACCACGCGGCTCGCATGTTGATGTTCAGAATGTGACCCTTTCATCAATTGATGAGTTTCGGTTCTGGTTACTTTTGCCACGTAAACCTTGCCTAGCATCACTTTGCGAAACATCCCACGATATGTCAAGAGTCAACTTTCGGAGCATGACGTCAAGAAGGTGAATAGCCTGGGAAGCGTTCCCGGCGGTCCACTTCTACGGATAGAGGCGGAGACTCCTCTCTCCCCTTGAGCTTTGATCGAATTTTTCAGAAGTCGATCCCCCAAAAAGTTTCGAGTCGGAGTCCATGGGCCCGTGAATGTGATCGGGGATCTGATGTAGATCATGATGCGTTTTTCGCCGAAAGCTGAAGTCGCATCACATGTGTGCTTTTTGCCCAAACCCTAATCCGAATCTTTCCAGCACAACTGTAGATCGAAATTGAGGATTGTGGTACCTGTATCACATGATTATCGCTGATCTGGGGTAGATCCCGGCCTTGGCGGTTGCGAGGGTCGAATACGCTGTTTGTGCAAAACTGTTGGAGGGTGGTGATGGAGCATGAAGTCGGATTGTGTAGTCAGAACAGATGGTATTTTTAATTGAAGATTGTATCAATCTCAAATCTTGTAGATCGTAGACTCGGAGTCGACTTATGGCATGCGTGAACGGCTGGCTTGATGATTGGATGAGGTTGAACACTGACAGGTTGGGGAGTTTCCATGATCCTTGCGAGCAGTGCTGCTCAATCAGTTCTCAGGTAATCTCGCTAGTATTGAAGTATTGGATATGCCCAGAGAAATTCCTGGTCTCATGGAACGATCTGTGGATGAATCGCAGAGTTGATGAGAGATTCGATATCGTCAGGGAAGATAGCCTTTGATAACTGTTGTGATGATTAAAAGGTACTTACTTGAGGTTGGGTCTGGGTGATATGACAGGATAATATCCACTATGACGACCTCTAGCTACTAACTAATGCCCATAGACTATGTATTTGTTTTGTCGGCCATGTTTCTACTAACTCTCAACAGTGGCTACACCCTCTAAAGCCTTTTGGTTAATCCGAATCTGCTGCAACGAGACGGGCCGAATGACCTGGCTTGAAAGCCCCAAGTGCTGTATTGCATCTCCGTGGGATCTGATAATAGCTCCATACAGCCGTTCTACAACCACATCGAGTCTCGAAATATCATACTGCTTCGTCACAACTTGCCAGGCCTGAATTACAGCTGGTTCCATGGCCAAGTCCAACGTGCCTCTCCAAGTGAGGACAGCTTCCCCTTCGTTGCGGAACACCTGATACCTGAAAAGCGCAGCCAACCCCTTTCGCCCGTTCCAGATATCCATGGTTTCTAATCGGGGCATCTTCTCGGCCGCTGCCGCCGCTGCCAGGAGCAGGGCTCCGATCCCGGTTGAGTCGACTTTATCGGGCGTGAGTATCTTTGCAGTGAGAGTCAGCGATTTGAGGTTCGGCCACGCCCACTCGGATCGGATCTCGAAGAAGTGGCTCGTGTCTGTGATGTAGGATGCTGCAAGGTGCTCAAGTTTGAGGCTGGCGAGCGCAATCATCTGGCCGACAGCTCGGACGGGCTCGCGAAAGGCGTGAGTTCCCGCAAGGAACCCGCCGTAGTTTCCGTAAGGACGCATGTTGGCTGGGTACTGTTGGCTGGGTACTGTTGGTTAAAGTTCTCAAAGGCTACGAGTTTCCTTAGGCTTTTGTTGGAACGTTGGATTGACTCGAAGAGATGCTTATATTCTAGAAGACAGGAAAATGCGGGATCTGTTTCAGTAATTGTGTACTTGCAGAGAGGGCAACAACTCGAATTATCCAGTCAGCCCGGGGGGTCGTGCAGCAATACTCACCTCTATCTGTAGGGTCCTGCGTCCAATCCTCCCATTCCCTCCACGGTTCGTAGTGGAGTTCCTGGAGTCTTGGGAACTGGGCAAACATGTGTGCCAGCGATACCGGTTTCCATCTCCGGCGGTTCTGTTGACGAAGAAGTAAACTCGTCACAGCTGGAACTGACGGAAGTTGATCCCACCAGTCGAGTTCTCCTTGATCACTATCATGCGGTCCCTGTTCCATGATGAGATGGAACAGTTTCCTGAGGGCCCACGGAGGCGAGGCGAGGTGCCTAGAGCCGTTTAACCAGCCATGTTTAGGGTCGTGATACTTGCGACTTGCCTTCTCGATAGCATGACCAACTGGCATGTTCGGGGGGGTATCGGGCAGGAAGGTTAGATATGGGAACCAATGTCCGAGTCGCTGGTTGAGTATAGACTAATATCGAGTGTCAAATCGCCGTGAGGTTCCCATTCGCCGAGAACCGAGAAAAGGTCCTGGAACGACGCGGTGATGGGACATTTATCTGTGCCGCTGATCTCACATCCCTCTGTGAACTCATCTGAAGTACTCGCTCCAGGGGGGGGGCGCACGCGGTGCAATCGTACTCGTCGAGTTCTAAGCAGAACCAGATGTAGCCGACGAGACCCCGAGTTCTCTGGATCATAGCACGAAAACTAGCAAGGCGTGACGGCGTCAGTCTAATCCAGGCAAAGTTGTGTCGCTCGATGTCCGTTTGCATTTCTCGAGATACCGTGGCCAAGGGAGCAAGCGGACATCCGTCTTGTATCAGGTATTGTGTGATGAGAAGTCGGATTTTCCTGGGAAGGCCGTCCCATCTTGGATCCCATTGCTTCTTGCTGTGTGATGTTGAAGACATGGTGTGACAGACCGAGCGGTTGGGGTTGCTCCGGTTATGGAGCGATGTAGGTCGGAAATTTTTGGATGAGAACAGATACGATAGTTGTGGGATGGAAGCGGATTCCCATCTCGTTCAGGAAGTACTTGGCTACCTAGAGCCATCGACATATCATTACTGTTGAAGTTTTCTCACCTTGGGACCATTGAGGTTGACTGTGAACCTGGATGAAGAGATTCAAGACCCTGAGATCTTGACGTTCATCTCACGGTGTATACTAGCAATTGTTCCGCGAGGCTAGCACGAGTTCGTTACAAATATACACTGATTCGGCAGCACTGTGGTGATGATTCCCAATCAATAAGCCATACCGTATAGTCTTCTGATGGGAGTTTTGAGGGCGGTGCTGATGGTAGCGATGGTGGCATTATGTGCCTCAGACCAGCCCGTAAGCTCGGGCATGGCGAGGTAGTATAGTTCAGGCCATCCAAGGGTGTTACCGTAAAGGTACGCCACTCCGATGGTGTCGCTAGGATTACATACCCGCAACGCAGGGCGTCAGAGTGGTCTACATAGCCTCGGTGTCGTCTCTGCGTCGACTGGGTTTTCTCCAAGTAAGTCGTGGCTCCTTTTCATTAAGGCACGCTCTTGTGCCGCCGTCTTGCTATCGATCTCACGGAAGTCGGTACTCTTGTGAAATGGGTGGGCGTTCTAGGCGTTCTGCTCGCGCTCCGGATCTGAGTCCCGCCATGCCCAAAGTATTCGGCGATGTATACCCCACGGAGGTTGAGGCCCGAGAAGGACAGAAGCGGAAGCGGCAGCAGCAACAATAGCGGTGACTGTAGTAGTAATGGGAGTGTTATTAACGATGGTAACAGTTATATTTAATGTTACTTTATTAAAGATAAGTTCCCAAACCTCCCAATACTCTATTGAGGATAAAGGGAGTGCCGGTATTTTCTAGATTACAGTGTTCACGTTTTCTCTATAACTTATTTTTAAAACTTGTGTTTTACAATTCAAGTTTGAGTAAACGCATTGAAGAGTTGGACGAGTCATAGTTACTTATATATACCATTCTACACCATATTACCACCACGACACGCTCTATCTAGCCTCTTGGGGCAAAAATAACAATATCATCAAAAATGAGAACATACAACACGAGGTATTCGCTGGTCGTCACCGACCCAACTACTAATCCGGCCCTCACCTCACAAGGCTTATCTATGGGCACTCGGTATCGTAAAGTTGGTGTAGGTTTCCATCACTGGGTAACGAAGGATAGCCCAGAGTACGGAACAAGGACTATGCGTTCCTAAACGGTCAGGTACCGTTTTGGCCTGAGCAGCTCCGTTACTCGACGGTTAGTACTAATCGAAGACTTAAATACCCTAAGCGAAGCATACCACCACTATCACTACCCAGCCCGCCTATAACCTGCTTCTAACTTTTAAGAAGTAACTTTCGAACTCTCTAATGAGGGTGAGACTATATACCCTAACATACCTGGGCTCCTAGGTAATAAGATCATAAAGATGGTTCTTTACGGACCATTAAAGATACTGATATAGGTATAGAAGCTTAGAAAAAACTGAAAGATTGTTACGAGCTGGACAAACCAACTGTGGCACAAAGCAAAATCTTCGATAATGATGACTCCGGCATCACTGTCCCTTGTTCTGCATTATATAGCTACGCGCCCACAGTGACAAGTTGCGGCGGGCGTAACAGTCCGGCCGGCTGACTGATGAACCACGTTAATGTTACGGCCAGCTAGTCGTAGGGGTAGTTTGCAGAAGTTGAGGCTGCGGAACTGGTAACAGTAATCGTAGTCGGGGATAGCTTCAGGGAAGCTATGTCTGTCAATCGTAAGGGTAGGTAAGGCTTCGATGATCAATCGTAGTCTTGTCAAGGTAGTAGCTGAAAGCGGATGTTAATCCTGATACGAAGTTAATTGCTGAAGAAGCTATGGGAAGTCTGTCCTAGAGTCCGGCTCAAGTCCATCCTTATATACAAGTCCTGATTCTGAACATGTCCTTTGTGCTGGACAGTGTCCTTGTTTGGATATGTTGGATAGCTCATATCCTGGTTATCCAAGGATCGCTTGGATAACTCATATCCAACATATCCTTATCCTTATCCTTATCCTTATCTCTTATCATCACGTGACTTGTACCATAGTTCTTCCGTTCCGTGAGAGGGTGCCTAGTGTTCCTTGTCCTCTGCATACATGGTGCGCTGTAGCCGCCGCGAACCTGCGGGGCAGAGCCTGCGGGGCAGACCTTGTTCTTGGTCATGCATGTTGGGTCGTAACAGTTAATCTCTTTATTAATAATAATTATTATTTTTATTATTATAACTAACTTATAGCTTTATATAAGAGGAAATATAAAAATGAGTCTATGATAAGGCTAAATTTCTATATAGGAGTTTTAGAGGTATGTATAATTTTTATAATATTATGTTTCATAATAGAACCCTTATCAAAGCTCATTTGAAAAGGCTTCTATATTTTAATCTTATATCTGATTTTTAATAAATAGTTAAAAATCGACCTTTAAGATGTGATAAGGGTGTTACGACCCAACATGCACGACCAAGAACAGGGCCTGCCCCGCAGGCTTACGACGGTTACGATACGCCATACATGCACAGGACAAGGGGACACAAGGCACCCTCTCACGGAACGGAAGAACTATGGTACAAGTCACGTGATGATAAGATAAGGATCATTTGGGATCAATATGATCCAACACGACTTGGGGGCTAAACGATCATTCTGGATCAGAATGACCCAAGACGACCCAAGGGACAAGGGACATGTTCAGGATCAGGACTTGTATATAAGGATGGACTTGAGCTGGACTCTAGGACAGACTTCCATAGCTCTTCAGCAATTAACTTCGTATCAGGATTAACATCCGCTTTCAGCTACTACCTTGACAAGACTACGATTGATCACCGAAGCCTTACCTACCCTTACGATTGACAGACATAGTTTCCTTGAAACTATTCCACGACTACGATTACCGTTACCAGTTCCGCAGCCTCAACTTCTGCAAACTACCCCTACGACTAGCTGGCCGTAACAAAGGGAGTGGCCCACTCGCTTGTGTGGCTCACTCGCTTGTGAACTACGTTAGTTTTTCCGTTCTTAAGTGAGTCTCTGCTGTTCCCGTGATCGTGTAGTACAAGTATCTTGTTATAGCCGCCTAACGCCTAAGTGGGTCGGTCAACTGTTATCCTTGCATACGGGTCGTAACACTAAGCTATAGTTCAGGCTCTATCCTCAGTAGGCACAGGCTCTGTTGACAAGACGTAGCTCGAGAGGCTACGCTGCATGATTTCGGACAGACTATCCCATCGAGTGCCAATTGGCAACAGGTACATGCCCTTGAGGGGAACTGACCACTCAGGAGACAGCCAAGACTTCTTCTAGCCAACCAAAAAGCCTAGATTATGGATACTTCTGTTGTCTATATACTCTGACTATGAAAGAGGTACCAGCAATCATCCGAGTTACAAAGCGCTACTCCACACTGCAGGCACCCTGACCTCGTCTTTTTTCTGTGGGATCGTGAGTGTTGTTGAACAGGGCCTCGTACTGCGGCTTCATTGGTCCACTGTACCCACGATTCAACCAGCCTCAAAGGCACATACTGCTGAAAAAGCTCTAAAGGGGTAGTAGATAGACCCCGTACTGTTGCGGCGCGGTAGGGCACGTCGAGGGGGTTGAATTGGCCCGTTGTGCCCCTTTCTAGCGGAGGCGATTCGTGTGGGCGTACAGTTGCGTTATCACACCTCTCGGGCCTACATTGAGCTGTACAGGCGCTATCAAGGTCTTCGGGAAGTACTGCGACGGTGATATGTGAAAGCGCTGACGAATCAGACGCATCAGAGTCGCTTGAGGACATCGCGACAGTTGCCCATCTGTAGAAATGTTAGTTGTGGTGGTGAACGCAGCTGGGAAAATATAGGGGTTGATGACGTACCGTCATGTATTCCCGCGGTGAGGGGGCAAAAGTGGGTCAAAACTGGGCATAATGTACCTGTTGCCAATTGGCACTCGATGGGATAGGTTTTGACAATGTAGGCTTACATAACCGGAGCCTAGCCTTATAGGGCTAGGCTCGCTGGGACGGAGCAGGGTATGTCCACGCAGGGCCGTGACAGTCTTTTAACTTCTCCCCTCGCTTGATGTGTCCCAACGTTTCTTTAACATCTTCTTAAGTAAACTCCGACACTTTGACCGATCAAACCGATCCTCGGCGGGCCAACCACATTCCCTATAGATATCCTGAGCTTCCTAAATCCATAAGATCAGCAAAAAAGCCCCTAATAACCACCAGCCGACTGAAAAACTTACATGAACCCAGTGGCGGTGTTCCTCTCCAAAGTCCTCCAGCCGCCAGATTTTCCAGTCTCCCCCGGGCATGTGCGTCGGTATCGGAATCATCTCGAGTAAGATCAGGCTCTCTCTGAGTTCTTTGAAGTACTCTGCAGCCGGCCGTGGCTTAGCCGTCCGCCAGGGCTCGTCCTCGGGTATCTCTTCGTCCGGCACGTGTGTGTACGCATCATGAGGAGTGACCTCGCCTATAGTCAGCACATTCAATCAGCCTCAGATAGCTCTCACAAGGCCACATCATTATTACCGGTGCGGGTGTCGAGCAGCCACCACATAGCTAAGCCCCCGTCCGCCTGCCCTGAAAGGGCGACGATTCCCTCTTGAATCTTCTCGCCTTCGAACGGCCAGAGCTCAAGCACAAGTGGCTGCTTGGTCCTGAATTCGCCTTCGGGTTCTGAGAAGAGATACGAGTCTTTGAGGTAGCTGATGCTCTGCGTGGATGGGTAGACCGGCTTCTCGCTCTCCACATATGGCAAGTGGCGTACTTTTTTCGACGACTCCATCAGTTTCGATCAGGAATAAAGAGAGATCGAGATATACTCACAAAGGTCAACTACCCTCTCATTGAACCCGAGGATCCGGAACTTCTCAAGGGGAAGTTCGTCATCGCTCCATCCGTTCTTAGGGGGGCTCTTTATGCACTCGGGTCTGAACGAGACCATTCGTGAAAGCAGCTCGAAATACTGCTTGATACTTTCGATGATGACATTACGGTCGTAAAGAGGACCAGATGGAACCGAAATGGGCGTGTGTGTCGACATTGGGGCGATTTATGACTGCGGTTGTCGTGAAAGTGGAACCTGCAAGGTAAGTGTGAGTTGGGGAGACTAGGGGTGCTTAAATACTTTATTTATGTGGGTACCCCACAGCAAGACACCAGTCTAGTGGTCACATCTGGTCGCTCCCCTACTTCTGTCTCTGAGCTGCACAGGCACAGAGATTCGTGGGTGTTGTTTTGCTTTTGTTGTAGGCAGATTGTTTCCTAGGGTCTGGCATATTTATCTACGTAGTCGACGTTTTGGATTCTCATTGTCCCATAGTGATCTGTTGTGATGAATATATTATTCGGAAACTGCTACTACGTACGGTGGAGTTCGGCGCAGCCAGCCTCTTCCATACTTCACGAACCACAGCTAGTTTTTAATGCGGCCATGTCTGAGGAACAGAACTGTGATATCGCTTGTATCTAAGGTTGAAGAACAGACGGAAATTTACAAATTTTTGGCAACCTTTAAAGTCATTCAGCTCCCTCGACGAGAACCAAGCTGGTCCTTGACATTCATCTCCTCACACCTCAACTCCCACGGCCATGGTCCATGGAAAGACGTGTTCGGCCTTATTAAATGGTGGGGTTATGCCTTGGCGCAGGAGTGATGATGGACCTCGCAGCGTCCGTCACGTCAGCGGAGACTCCCAGCGCGTGTCTCAAGGAAGTAGGCAGCTCCATGTCGCTGGCCTCGGCGAAACTCGTCGTGACCGCAGTAACAGTGGCCGGCGAGGTGGCAGTAGCCACGATCCCGTGCTCGACCGGGAGCGACGCGTAGCCGAGCTCCTCCATTTCGCTCTGGCAGTGCTGGTCCTCGCACTTGATGAGTCCGAAGTCTTCGAGCAGCTCCTCGGCGGTGGGCCGGCGGGTAGAGTTGCCCTCGTCGATGATGAGATCGTTGGGCGACCTGTTGCCGCTGTGGATCTCATCCACCGCGCGGCGACGACTTCCGGGGTAGTCCTCGTCATCTGAGTCGTCGTCCGGGTAGTCGGGCATGTCGGTATCGGAGTCGCTGTCGGGCTGGGTTGGTGGCTTAGGGTTGGTCGACTTCTTCTTGGTGAAGCCGTACCCGGGTCGGTTTTGTTTGCCGTTGGTGAACTGTGCGAGAGGAGCTGCGGCATAGTACTGCGTGTAAGCACGGTTGGCCGCCTTGTTGGCGTACCACGGGTCATCGGTCAGGAGCGCGAAGCCAGGGTCCGGAACGAGGGTCGAGGGCCAGCACGGGTTGGCGGTGATTCCCCAGTCAGGGGGCATGTTTTCCATATTGGCAAAGTTGATGTCGATGACGGTCTCCATCTTGCGCAGCGTCCTAACCCACCACTCTGTACTTTTGCCATTGCAATCGACGGTCTCGCTGGTCTTATGCTCACCTACTAGCTCATCGACTTCTCTGTCTGGGCATCCCCTGAACAACGCATTCGCCGCAGCGTTGTCAGCTCGGGGAATCAGACGAATCCAGACGCTCTTGTCGCGTGCACGCCAGACGGCTGCTCCAGGGTACTCGTCTCGCTGACACTCGATGGGCTCTTGCATCCAACCACTACTCCAGTCCTTATGGTGCTGATTGTGATACTCGTCTCGTACTTCGCGATCAGCACCGCCGTGAACGTTACCACAAGTGAGAGATTTGAGATCCGGACGCCGGTTGATGACGGAACTGTAGTGGTAGCAAGCCTGAGAGGCCCTGTCGCCATAGCAAGTACGCCTCAATACGTGACGACCTGCGGGCGCGGCCCAAACCTCATCCCATGCAGTAGCAGGCCTGATTGCGACTCTCTTGGCTAGATTCTTCTTCTTGCAAGTCTGTGGGCGCTCTTTCGCTTTAGTAGGTGACTGGATCGCGGGACGGTTGCCCTTGGTAGTCAGCGGCTTGTCTAGCTTGACATCGTAGTCCTTGCCCTTAAACTTGAAGACGGACTTGCCGGCCTTTGCGACACCCTTGGCGCACACACTCACCAAAGCGGGCATGGCGATCTGGAGGGCAATGGAAGCGATCCAACCGACAATAGGGATCAGGCGGAGGCGAAGCGTTGCGGCCATGATAGCCACGCGGCAGAAGGCCTTGGCTGCGATTTCAAGAGCAAGAGTCTCGGCGGCTTCAAGAGCCAGATCCGCCACCTCGTCTTCGAACTTCTCCTGGATCTGTTCTCTCGAAATCGGAGGCTTGAAGCCAGCACAGCAATAGCTCTGAGTGCCACCTGTGCAAGTCTGGTCTTCGTCCTTGCTCTGGTGGTTGGTGTTGATTGTGAGCTCTGTCTCCCCTTGACCGCAACCACCAGTGCAGGAGAGGCCCATACCTCGGAAGCCGCGCCACTTGCAAGTGCCCATAGTAGTCCCCTTGATACAACAGAGGCGGCGTACTTGGTCTTTGGGGCAGCGGGACATTGTTGACAATGTCCCGGGCTGTCCTCTCATTTGTGAAGCCTCGTGGTCGCCGTTGCGACACTTCTCGTCGCACATAGTGGTGTAGCAGACACCCCTCGCAGCATCGTCTTGGTACATGCTCTCGGCCTCCTCGAGCTCTTCCGGCGTCAGGCCTCCGGCGAACCCCTCTGACTCCTGGTCTATCTGATCCAGAGCCCAGATCATCATCCCCCCGAGGCAACGAGAGGCAGCAAACTCGCGTTTTTGCATGAGAGTGTCAGCGTCATCATAGGACACCCATTGATCGTTGCCCCAATGAATCCACTTAACCCCGGCCTTTTCATCGTGAGTTGGTTTGAGCTTTTTGTCATCGATTATGTCCATGATCTCTTGCAGATTGAGAATGCCTGATGCCTTGGAACAAGGACCTGCCTCGGCGCCGCCGGCGAACTGGCATACGCCATTAGGCGTATTGCAGTTGGGGTCTTTTAGGGTGAAGGAACGGCCGTACACTTGACCATCTTAGTCAGTATGCAAACATTTGGGAGCAGGCATGGGGATATGAAACTCACGTCCCTGGCCTAGAACAATATTTCCAGGCTTTACTCCAGCTCTCCAAAGCAGGTCCAGACCGAGATCAATTTCGGTGAGGTTGGTGTGGGTTGCCAAATATGGTCCCACGAACTTTGAGGCTGCATCCCATGTGCCGTGAAGGTCGTACGACATGAGGTTGAACCAATCGACATGAGGTTGGAGCTTGGCCAAGTCGAAGTGCTGCAGGTACCAGTAGGAGGCGGGTGTCAGAGCCCTCCCGGATAGGGGCTAGTAAGAGGTAGTAAGGAGTCCAAGCAACAAAGGAACAGCTCAGATATATATACAGCGCAGGGAGTACACGTCGAGGGAGGAGCAGACTTCAGTAATTCATCATTCTACCCCTAACTGCAGTTGGCCTCTGAGAGCTTCCACCCTGCGTCAACATCCCAACTTGACAGCGGGTAGGGTGAGGGAATAGCCATATTTCTTCTTGGCGAAAGCCTCTTTGATGTCTTTGGAGAGCAGCACGAAGCTGTTCTTGTCCTCAGGCTTGCCGCCACGGTCATCTGGAGGCGCAATGTGAGTAATATGCATAACTATTGATTGATGATTTGAAACTCAGAACTTACCTGCTGTCGGATACTCCCAGTCCATGTCCATACCTGTCGGAGTCAGTGACGTTCATGGCGTGCGATTACAAAACATTTACCATCAAACCCGTATGTCTCCATGAACTTGATGAGGTTGTCGATGAACTTCTTACGGTTCGCAGCTGTACTGGACATAATACTGAAGGCTTGCTGGTACTTGCCCGCTAGTATGACACTGTTAGCAATCATGGCCTCTTCAAATCGCAGAAGCAGTTCTTACGATCGTTAAAGGACCATCCTCCAACACTGACCCACGTTTCCAGGCCTGGCTTCCTCTCCTTAATTTTCGTAAACCGGCTCAGGAGCGAACCGGCATTCTTGTCCATCGGCGTGAGCTTAAATGTGTCGGGCTCGAAGAACATGAAGGCAAAATTGACATGTGTGAGGCCTTGAAGGTTGAGGTCCTCGGGGGCAACAGCGCTGCATGAGCGCGTGTTTGCCCATGTCTCGTAGTAGCCAATGGACCGCTTATTGACTGTACATCTGGAAATTAGCAATAACCAACTTGAACAAGCGGCTGGTTCGGGACACTACGTACTACTCGTGCCGTCCTTGCTACAAGAAGGGCGTTTTGGAGGACCGCAGCCTCCAAATGCCTTCTGGCAACCTTCATCCGCGTTGCAGAACTCGTCGGTGGAACCACAGAAGCTGATCACCAATTCAGAAATGTGTTATGCATTCAACAACAGACGCAGGCTTACCCAAACTTGGAGCAGCAGACTCCCAAAGGGCAAGTTTGCTTTCCCGGTGTTCCGTATTCGCCGCACTCGGCTTTGGCGTCACAGTTGGAGGTACAACTGCCGACGCCGCACTCAGCCAGGGAGTACCCGCACAGCCCGGAGATCTATGTGTCAAAATCAAGTCAGCATGTCAAACCAAGCAACTCTAACCAACATTGTCGACTTACACCGCTGCAGCAGGCACCGTTGACGCAAGGCGTCTCCGCGTCGCAGGTGCCGACTGGAAGCTCGAGCAATTCAGCCGGGGCATCGACGCCGAGGATGGAAAATGCCGAGTTAAGTCGAAAGTTGGGTTCGACATTAGACCGGGCCTTGAAGATCTCAATTGCCTCGCTGGCATTGTAGTTATCGGTGTGATTTGATGCAATGAGCGAAGAGTTTGAGCCAGCCGCCCAAGAGAGCGTGCCGTAGGCCAGGAGGCCAAGTAAGTTGATGAGCATGGCTCCGGACTATGGATGCCCGTGACTCATCGAGATGGGAAAAGACTGGATAGTGACTTTGTGTCGCACTAGAGGCTTGCAAAGAGGGTGAGTGATGCACCGCTGAAGGGCAGGGTGATTAAGAACGGATAGTGAAGAGATGATATGCTCTGAGAAGGAGATAGGCGGCGTCGTGGGAAAGCTTATCAGGCGGCAGCATCGCAATGCCTGTCAGACATTCGGACCGGTAAACTGAGGCCAGACGCTATTGTCGACAACTTCCTCCCATGGCGGCTTGGAACCGTTCGGTCCAGACATGCCTCGAGCCCGCTAGACCTCGTGCCTTTCCCTTTGCATTCGGTCGGGTAGCCTCCGAAGTTCTTGGTGAAGCTTGTCTCGGCGCAGTGTAATCTCCGGCTTTGCATTGTGATATCGATTATGCGTCTACATAGCGTCTGAGAGCTTGTGCCCCCTTAGAGTAACACAACGTTGTCTCTGCAGGGTGATAACGGGCCGCTAATGCATTTATTGAACGATTTTTAACGACATGGTAGCATTGTCTGACTTAGCCAAGGAGGCTCGATGCGGCGGTCGTCGAATAGCTGAAGATTTTACCGTACGTCGTAGTAGGAAATGCGCAAAAGCGGGTGCGGTTCGGGCGGCGCCGGCAGGGTTAAACAACCTATCGCCATGGATATATAAATTTAAGATATTTGGGGATTTGCTACGCTCCGAGAACACTCTCGCTCCTACGGACAAGATCCCGACTAAGATGTTGCTAGCATGTGCCAAGGAAGAGGCTGGAGAGAAAAGGGCAGGAGGCACCGAAAGAGTTGACCTACAATACTTTTAGATATCCATGGATGTTAATTAGATAAGCTTACCTGGAACATAAATACTCACCTACCAACATACTTGGCAGGGATTCCCACTCTCGTCTTACGCCCCTTTCATCCCATCCGCAAGTTGCTCAGCCGCTGGCAACCGCTTAAACAACCCGTTGGACCGGTAGGGCAGAGTAAGGCTCTCTCCGTACGCCACTGAGGTGCCCTTCAGGGGGTCTGCAACAAGGGCGGGTGGTTGTACCCTTACCGCCGTGGCGTTCTTACGGTCCACATCCCAAATCGGGCCATTCCCGATGAATCCGGGCGTACCTTGCAGCTTGGGATACAGATAGATCTTCGTTCCTTGAATCGAAATGGACGCGGCTTTTTATTTTGGAGACTTGGTAATGAACATGATCCTAGCCGACAACTAACGCTGGCGATGGTCGACGCTCACTCATGTGATAGACCCTTCGAGACCTTGTTCCTCGAGCAAGAGGGGCTCGAACATCTCAAGCTATGCGATATTAGTTGAGGTTACCCTTGGACGTTACGCTTGAAGCTGGGCTTTCTCCTTTTCCCTCTCCCATAACCGCTTCTACGGTCTTGAATCTTCATCTTTCGCCCTCGGGCTGTCTGTCTCTACCTTTGACTGATTCGCAGTCATGTCGTTCTTTACAAAGGTCTCCACGGCCTTGGCCTTGTTGGTCACATGTTCCTCTGCCTTCGTCTTGTGGCCTCTCGTCGATACGGAAGGGCTCTCCAATGTCCTCAATATCACTGCGACTTGCGTCACTGCGTTGTAAGCCCGTACCAGCGTACAACACTCGCAAGGCATCTAGCTAACCTCCATTTCGAGAAACGCAACCCTGGACTGCGACCAGGACCTCTACCAATGGACCGTCAAAGCAGACAGCGTCTGGTGGACTGCAGAAAACACCACTCAGCTCTGCACTGAGAGCTGCCTGGCCTCCAGCCGGCAGTGGAAGGAGGACGTCGCCGACGTATGCGTCGGCGAATGGCTCCGCTCCGGCCGCAGCTACGTTGAGGCAGATACTCTCTCCGGCCGCTTCGCCGAGGGTCTAGAGCTCGCGTGCACTCGCTCCTCAGCCGACGAGTGGTGCTTTGTCGAGTCGCAGACCTGGACCGGCTCCGACGTCGTTCGCCCGGACTGCGCCGCTACTCCGGCCGACCCCTGGTGCTCCAACCCGGGAAACGTGACGGCCGAGAATAGTCGCATGGCCAACCTTTACGACGATGACCTGCTGTGTTCCGAGTGCTTCCTGAAGCTTCTGCACACCCGCATCGAGTCCGAATACCTCCCTGACGAGGACCACTCGGACTACCTCGTCGAGCAGTTCCAGGACATCCAAATTGTCTGTCAGACGACGCTGGCCGCCGACATCTCAACGCGCAAGATGCCCGCCTACCCGACGGCCTACGTTCCCACGCCAACGTATGGAGCTGGGCCGGGCACTGTCACGGACACGAACCTGCCGAGGGACCCTACCGAGCTGGCCTGTTATGCCGAGGAGAATATCCTCGACGTGCTGGTAACGACAAAAAGCGACGACTTCGAAGCTTGTAACGACGTCGCGCTGTATAACGGTGTGGCAACGGGCTCTATCCTTGTTACGACGGGTAACTCTGCGTGCTGGGTTGAGTCGGGAGAGGTGTGTGGCCCTGAGCCCTGCCAGCTCCTCCGTGTGCACGAGGGTCAGACTTGGTGAGATGGGTCTCCTATTTTGCTTCTTTACTAGAAACCTTCAGCTTACACAATATTCCCAGCGAATCCATCGCCACTGCTGTCTCAAATGCGACGGACCCCGTCAACGGAGCCCAACTAGCAACCTGGAACCCAAACATACTTGGCGCCTGCGACCACCTCGTCCCAGACCAGTACATCTGCATATCGTAAGCCCTCCCGTCAACTTAATCCCTCATAACCAGAGACTAACATATATGCAGGCGCCCTGGCGGCTCCTGGATCCCCCCAGCAATCGAATCCCTCCCCGACAGCTCCGAAGGCCCCGTCCGCGGCGGCCCGGGCAGCACTCCGACCCTTGAAATCATCGACAACCCATTGATCCCCATCGACCCCTGGCTGTTCCAGGAGGGCATAGCCGCTGACTGCACGCGCTACGTCCTCGCGAGCGCCGGCGCCAACTGCTGGAAGATTGCAAACGATGCGGGCGTGGAGCAATCCCGCCTCTTCGAGCTCAACCCCATCCTCGGCGCCAGCGGCGAGTTCTGCGACACAAAAGTGTGGCGGGACTACTACTACTGCGTCGGCGTCAACGGCGAGGGGAGCCCAACGACCACGAGCGCCCCGCCCGCCGCCATTACGACCTCGGCTGTCCCGAGGCCGACGAACACGCAGGCGGGACAGCCCTCTGAATGCAACAAATGGGTTGAGGCCCAGTCCGGCGACGGATGCTGGGCCATGTACACGGCGGCCGGCATCGAAGCGTCGCAGTTCTACGCGTGGAACCCAGTCCTCGGCGCCGCGGGCGAGAACTGCGGGACGCAGATCTGGCCGACATATTTCTACTGCATCGGCACCAGCTCGACGTCTTCGCTGGCCCCGACGACGACAAAGGCAGCGGACCCGGCTAAGCCGACGGCGACGCACGCTGGGACCGCCGCTGACTGCACCGAATTCGTGCAGGCCAAGGCTGGCGACGGGTGCTGGTTCATGTTCACAGCGGCCGGGATCTCGGCGGAGTTGTTTTACAAGTTAAATCCCGTGCTGGGGGTCGCGGGAGAGAACTGTGGGACATATGTGTGGCCGGACTACTACTACTGCATCGCGGCGTCCGGCTCCGGGACAGTCCCACTACCGACGACAACTACAGCCGGCCCCGCCAAGCCGACTACGACGCAGGCGGGTATCGATGCCAACTGCAACAAGTTCATGGAGGCTTTTAGCGGCGATGGGTGCTGGAAGTTGGCTAATGATGCTGGTATCGAGTTGTCTTTGTTTTATCAGTGGAATACGGTGGTTGGTGCTAACGGGGAGAACTGCGGCACACAGATATGGCCCCAGTACTTTTACTGCATCGGGGTGAGTAGTTAAGTAGGAGGGGTTAGCGTCGCCTCGTGTTCTCAATTCTCACTAATTAGAATTGTGATTAATTAACGTGGTTTACCACTCAGCCGCGGATATCAGTCAGCCGCGCACTTTCTTTATGACTCGCTTTGTTTCCAACCACTTTAACTTTTGACGCGTAACAACCCAACAACCACAATGCCAATTTACACCTAAAAAGACAAAATTATTCTCGCTATTGAGACGATCCGAACGATATACGCTATTAGTTATAAATCAAATATATAAAATTATAAAGACCTATAGTATCCTTAAAAGTACTTTAACTTAGAATATTTACTAAAATTCTAAAACTTATAACGTGGTTTACCAGTCAGCCGCGCATATCAGTCAGCCGCGCATTTCCTTATCGTATACTAAGTCGCCTAGATTATATAATTAATATCTTTTTCATTGTTGGTTATATAACGTTCAAATTTTTTCATTAGTCTTTGATAAGAGTCACGAAACTAAATAAAAAGTTTTGAAAATTAATTTCTATTTAGAGATATGTTACGCCCGCCGCAACTTGTCACTGTGGGCGCGTAGCTATATAATGCAGAACAAGGGACAATGATGCCGGAGTCATCATTATCGAAGCTTTTGCTTTGTGCCACAGTTGGTTGCCTTGTCCAGCTCGTAACAAGATAGTTACTGAAATATTTTTAATTAACTAGTTATTATTCAAAGAAATTAGGTAAATATGCAATTTAGTATGCGATAAGGAAATGCGCGGCTGACTGGTAAACCACGTTAAGTTACTTAATTAGTACTATAAGAGTTACGTACTTAAGAAGTTACATGGTAATAAGAGGCTCAATGTTACGCCCGCCGCAACTTGTCACTGTGATGTTACGGCCAGCTAGTCGTAGTGAGGTATGTTTGCAGAAGTTGAGGCTGCGGAACTGGTAACAGTAATCGTAGTCGTGGATAGCTTCAGGGAAGCTATGTCTGTAAGTCGTAAGGTAAGGGAAGGCTGCGGTGATCAATCGTAGTCTTATCAAAGAGGTTCTCAGGAAAGATAGCTGAAAGCGATCATAAGATCTGATACGAAGTTAATTGCTGAAGAGCTATGGAAAGTCTGTCCTAGAGTCCGGCTCGAGTCCATCCTATATACAAGTCCTGGTCCTGAACATATCCCTTGTCAATGATCAGTTCCTCTGATCGGGTGAGCGCTCATTGTTCGGCATGAGCGCTCATGGCCCCACCATGGCCGCTCATGTCTTATCTTATCATCACGTGACTTGTACCATAGTTCTTCCGTTCCGTGAGAGGGTGCCTAGTGTCCCTTATCTCCTGCATATGTGGTGTATTATAACCGCCGCGAGCCTGCGGGGCAGGCCCTGTTCTTGGTCATGCATGTTGGGTCGTAACATGTGAGCGCGTAGCCACATAACGCAGAACAAGGGAAAATGATACGGAGTCATCATTATCGAAGCTTTTGCTTTGTGCCACAGTTGGTTGCCTTGACCTGCTCGTAACACTCAACCGAAGTACGTATCTACTGAGATACAACGCTTTGTACGCATGTACAGCCCGAACGTAAATACGCTTTACATATACATGTTAAAGCGCCGACAGGCACATATGCCTGTATAAACTTAATAATAAATGCTCGGACTTAAGCATTACATGTGATTACATGTGATTACATATGATTACATGTGATATTTGTATTATATATAGACTACACTTTCCCACCATATCATAGAATAATCATCAATACAATCGATTCTCTGATTATCCCAACTCGTACCTCAACTTATTTACCTTTTCTCTTTTTGCCTACCTCTAACCTCTTAGTCTTTATATAACTAAACAATTAATTAATTATATTATGATTATATCTAACTTTAACAATATAAACTCGATTGGACTAAGGAGAAAATATTTTTAACTCATATATTATTAAACAAGACTTCAAAGAATTTCTTTTATAATTCGTTTATATAGAAAATATAATTAATCTTTTATTTTAAATATAAAATAAAAGACCCGTTAAAATGTTAACTCAAAAGGTGTTGAAAAGATAAATCTTTTACCTTAGTATTTGCCTTATTATTCATATTACGTAAGTATATTATATATCATATTAATCTATAAGAGGTATAGATTAATATAGATATTGATTACGTAAGCAAGATTGGTTATGTAAGCTTACGTGAGCGAAAGAAGGCACCGGAAGGTAATAAAATGCACTGGAATTTACTTGAAAGGTATTACGTATTACAATTACGCATTCACTTACGTATATGCTTATTAATTATGATATAATTAATAAGCAATGGAATATTCTAGTCGGAGGATCTTATGCCTATATAAGGGCATCTTTTTACCTACTTAGACCTTTCGTTAAGCAAGCAACTTCTTGTCACAGACCCGCTGTCCTAGACCCCAACCTTGAGGTTGGTGTTGAGTAACCCGGTGGCCGGGTTACGTAAGCCTGAGGCTGGATAAAACTCTGCATCCTGTATTCTGTCGCGCATGTCCAGAAACGTAGCTCCTTGAGCTACGTCTTGTCAACAGAGCCTGTACCTGCTTAGGATAGAGCCTGCCCGTAGCAATAGATTGTCTGATCCGCCTGCCCAGCATCCACCTGCCAAGCAACCTGCCTGCTACCGTGACACTTCTCATATAGTAATCTAACTATATACTCTCTTTACATTTATCAACCTCTTTTATATACGCTTAACTACCCCTATATTCATATATTCTTGCTTCTATATGAATATTCACCATTTAATACTCTTGTATAAGAGTCTTATCACTTACCTCTTAAAGCTATCGTGCCAGAAAAGGTTTAACTATTGACTTATAGCTAATTTAAAAAACCAAGTTTAATTATTTATATATAAAGGGCTGGCCCCTAGGCTTGTTTAACGTAGAGGTGCCGTCGATTGACTATTCTAAGTTAAGGAGGAAAAGGAGGAATTATAAGGATTCGTATATAGCTATAGTATAATGTGCCCGGGCTCGGCGGTATACTGCGGTAGAATAGTAGCTCTAGTAAAGCCGGACATCTTGACCGGCTCCGGCCTGCAGCATAACCGGATGTAATAATCCAATGTAATAATCGGTTATTACAGGTCGCGGTCGGACAGCTTCCCAGCAGAGGGGTGTGTGTGCGGCTCCGGCAAGGCCGGAGATCTCAACCGGGCTCCAGCCCGTGACATGCGGGAATTGAACTTATAACCCCTCTATATAGAGTAGAGTCATTATTGTGTTACGAGTAGGTTAAGGTAACTAACTATAATATAAAGCAAAAGCTTTAATAATAATGACTCCGGCATCATTATCCCTTGTTCTGTATTATATAGCTACGCGCCCATAGTGACCAACTATAGCGGACGTAATACTAGCCTATACTTTATAGAATATAAAATATAATAAAGAAGTAATAACGTAATAGGTAGTAGTAAGGCGACGTCTAGAGGGCCAGGGAGGAAAATAGCGGGGGTATAAAAGAAAGCTGATTTTATCGGGGCGGGTAGGCAGATTAAAGTAGTTTACGGATAGAGGACGGTACGGCGGCGCCAAGGGCGAGGCGTAGCCGGGCACCGTTTTGTAGGCTAAGTCATCCGGGATCCCGCTCTTCTAGATGAGCCTGCCCTCATTGGCTTATCTATGGGAGAGCGGACGGGATCCCGATTTTTCCATTAGGTATGGTCGTATGTGACAAAGTGACGCCGCGAGGCTGTCCATTTTCCAAACCTGCGACGAATACCGTCGATGCTTTGGTGATTATGGCTGCTCTATCCGTCTGCTCTCCTCATCGAGGGCGAAGACGAACCGTTACCATTTCTAGAGATTTAAGATCCACAGTTGCCAGTATCCACAACCGGCCCCGTTCTCTGGCGCCGATGGCTAACTTCGCCCCTCCCAGTTGATGCAGGACGAAAAGCTCATGGGAATCGGAGAGCGCCATCGTCGCCGAGGTCGTTGAAGTTAATATTCTCGAGAACAGCCAACGAGTCTTCGTTGCCTAGAAAACTCATATCGAGCCAATCCATTGGGTTTAGAGAAGCCGCGTCGACAGCCCGTGACCAGTCAGTCATTCCTAACAGGCTTGTGTACAATAGTGGAAAGCCACTTACTTGGACGATTTCCGTCATGGCGTGGGCAACCATTACAAACTAGTTGTTGTGCCACCCTAATCCAATGTCGCTGACCGTTTGGTCATGCAATACGAGATCTAGAAGTTGACGTGCAGTTTCAAACGCCTTGCTATCAACCGTGACAATAGTCAAGGCTGTTGACCCCCCGAGTCTCTTTAACTCCCTTGCAGCCTGCGCATTGAGAATCATGAGACTGTGTTTCATGTAGAAGGCTAGGATAGGCAACGAGGGTGTAGACGACCCGTCATTTTCGTAGCATCTGATCTTGCAAGTTCGATCAAGAACTTTGTAGTTTTTCGTATGCCAATTCTAAATGGATGCAGCGGTCTTCTTCATCCGCTCTAATTGTTTCAAGGACTCGAGCTGTGGATGCCAGTTTTCGGCATTATACTCCGACTGTTTGACACGGACACTGAATCAAAGCGAGAGAGATAGGAGAGGTGGTATTCAGAAAGATGCTTTCACTCACTAACTGCACCCTGATCTCAATGATGCCACTAATCATACGATCAAGAGGTGTTGTCATCGACTTTCTCCACCATTGACAAGGGCAAGGCGGGAGCTCTTTCCACGCCACAATTGGGGAGCGGCCCATGACGATGCCGAAGCTCTTGTCGGCTATGAACACATATAGCCAGGTCCTTTCAAGATTGCGTGAGAATCGCTCTCTCATCTCGATAGTCTCGTCGGGGGATAAAGCTTTGACAAGCTCAGTGATTGTGGCAGGCTTGTTGATTCCGAGTTCTTTTGCGAGTTGTACAGCCTGGGGAAGAAACATGGTGTTGTCAACTCAGTGATCTCCTTGGGTTTGATCTCAGACTTCTTGGTGAGCTCACATGACTGATGTGAAGCCAGTGAGGATCGTCCCCCTGTCTCTGATACATCGGTGCCCAGTACTTCATTGCGAGAATGGCTTGGATCGTCTCCAGCGATCTCACTGGCACCGCGATAGACCATGCGAGATTAGCTTCAGCCAAGGAGAGCAGAGTCGGGTACAGGATTCGATCCCGCGGACGTGTCGAAATGGCGCACCCGAGAGCGCAAATGACAGAAAAGAGGGTGAAAGATGCATGGCGGACGTATTTAGGGGTATGTAGGTCTGTGTCTAATAGCCCTAGATGCGGGTTGCGCGTCTGGAAGAACCTGAATGTAAGGTTTCTTGGTAAGTAAAACACTAGTCAGGGTCCCCTTATACGAACAGCTGAAAGTACAATGACACATCGTCTTGATCCGCCAGGCGAGCAGTTACAGGGTCACAAGCGGTGGTCTCCAACTTCAGTGTGCTGTTGATAGACTGAGACGCTAGGACTTGCCAATCCGTATCATGCGTCAGACGAGGTGCTAGATCGTGATTAGTCGATACACAACAGACGATCAGAACGAAACTTTCGAGTTGGTGTCCACTTACTGAAATACTCCATCAGCCGTTTGTTGATAGAGCTCTGGTTGCCGCGGCGTCCAACTGCATCGAATGGCAGGTGTGGCACGGCTGCGTCGACGTTCTGATTTGCGGAACTCGTGTCTTTTGTTGTAAAAGCTGCTGCCATGATGTGTAGGGGAGACACAACAGAGCTCTCATTTTTCAGCTTTAAACACGGACAAGGGAAAAGAGTAGAGTCCGGTGGGCCATCGCAGTCTGACTCTTCACTTTGCTCGACAAGAGCAGGAGAAGAGGTTTCCCTTGCTCCTGGCGCATCCGATTGAGCTGGTACACTGTCTCTTAAACTCGAAAATGAGTTTAGAGCTGAGACGTTTGGATCTGACTGGGCTTTAGATGAGTTGATGATGGCTGCAATGACTTGGTCCCGGACAGGACTCTCGTTGATGCGGTCTAACAGCTTTTGAACGGTGTCTGGCTTGCTGTTTCTCCGTCAGCGGACTCTTCGGGAGACCATTGGACGGATTCAATATCACTTACTTGGTGCTTCCTTCCTTCCGACCTCGGTTGGATCTAAGCGGGTAGCAACAAGCGTGTTCCTGAATGGCGCATCGTGAGCTACATGCGACGTCAGCGACAGCTTACTTCACCTATGTGCGCCAAGAGAGCGTGGAGAGAGAACCCACCAAGGAGTTTTGCCTGTCGCACTTTTGTCTAGCCGCGCGGCACGTAAAACAAGCAGTGCGATGCTGGCCATTATTATCTGGAACTGGAGCATTCCTGTTTCTGCGTTGGTTTGCACGCATCCCCGTGCGTGGCTGTGGGCCATCCCCATGTTTATCTTGGTGCTCTTGTCCAAGTTCGTCCATTGTTGTCGAAAGTTGTGGGCGTAACTTATACTGGTAGTATGTAGCTTGATGATCTGAATAATGTTGCAAGTCCCTGGGAGTCGCAAATTTGTCTGAATGGGAGCAGAACTATGTTGTTAGTTCCCCGCTGTCCTGCTCTGACGTCGTAAACCCTGAGTCGTGACTCAGCAGCATCTTGCTGCAAAGCGGGATTCGTCTTGGTCCAAATCACCTCACAGTGTCGCTTTAATTCATCATGTACTTCAGTCAGACATTCTCAGCTATCTACTTGTGTAAGTACTTACAATAGACCACTCACCTGTGTAAGGTACCTAGTCCCCACCCCTCACCTCAAATCAGCTTTGGCTCTGCCTCCTCGACATGCTCACCCGGCGGCAAGCCAACCTCAACCCAACACCCGGCCTGACATCCGTGACAATCGGGGTCTCTTTCAGCAGCGTGTTCTGAGCAATATCTGGGGCCGCGCGGCCGGCAAGGCGGGGCTTTCTGACGGATCTCCGGCCCTAAGGGTGGGGCTTCGGTTAATGGTCCCGAATGAACGGGGCCGGCGATGTTCTTACCCTTGCCATTTTGTGTTCCCGAACCCTCATTCTCGTGGGATTGACTTGCCTTTGAACCATTTACTTCCATTAGCATCATAGGGCGAGGGCGAGGCTTAGAAAGTTTTACTTTCTCGAATGGTATATTGAGACCAGCAATCGTGAGGGGAGAAAGTGGGGGGATATCTGGCAATCTCACGTTGCTGGCTGAAAGACGGTCCCTTTCTGAAGTTGAGGATTCGTCTCCAGTGACATCACTCAAGTAAAGTGTTATGTGTGCGTCGATTGTGTCGCTTCGTTCGTCCGAATTCTCCTCTTTAATGTCGCCTATCTCGCCGTAGTATGAGTGCAGGTTTACGCTATTTTCTGGCTTCACTATCGCAGCTTGACGCAATTCGAGCACATCTTGTATCTTTTTGGTACCACCTGCCAGAGCTGCATAAGCATTTTCATCGTAGCGAAGAGGATATGAGGTGGAGCTGCTCTCGCCAAATTCATCATCGTCGATCAATGGGGTCTCGCAATGAAGACCACTAAAGCTCGGGAAGGCATTCGCGATGTCATCCGAAGGAAAGGGTGAAGGAGGTGAATTAGTTGAGATACCCGAGCTAGAAGAAGCGGTGACGCCAGTAGCATCATCAGAGGCTGCTATCGCTTTCCTGAACTCCTCCTCTGCTCTGATCTCAAGCTCTGCTTGCTCCTTGAGCCTTTCAATATCCTTCTCGTGGCCGGCCGCGAGCTCAGCAAACAATATCTGCCGTTCCTGGAATTCAATCTCACGGCGCTCATGGATGTTCAGGCGGCGCGACGGAGGGCTCTCGGAGCCAAGCGGCTGTGAGATGAAAGCGACTCGCGGTGGTGTCCGAGCCTCTTCAGAGGAGAGCACCGATTCATCTCCATAATCACCACAGTTTGCATTTTCTGCTTTGCTGGTGTGGCTCAGCACATGAGAGACTTCGTACGTCTTGAAGATGTCCCCAGCATTGGCGAGACGTGTAGCCCAGCTAACAGTCGCCCTCTGTCCACCAACTGCCATCCGACAGACATCCGTGCGATGTTTCCTCCGGCACAAATCGCAAGAAGGGTGTGTGATGGGCTCGCCAAGGGCATGGACCAGTGACTGCACGGAAGTAGCCATTACCATGTCTTTTCCTAGTTCCTTTTCATTTCGTGCGAAGGTGTACCACGATGAGGAAAGCTCCATGCTCGCTTCTGTAAGCGCCGAGGCGGGGATCATAAGAGGATCGACGGGGTGGTGCCATTTCTGTACGGCCTTGAATTTCCAGTAATTTTCGAGCAGCTCCGAGGCACTGACAGAGGAGACGTCGACGTCTTTGTAGACTACCTCGCAGTGATGGCAGAAGCCGAGGACTGTGGCCAGGGCCTGGGTGTGTTGGCAGAGAGGTACGATGCAGGCATTGCGGTCAGTCTTGTCGCTTTTTGCGAGAAACTTTTTGCACTCGATTAGCTCTACGGCGGAATGGGCACATACTGTGTGGATGGTCTTCTGGGTGAAGCACATGATGTTTAGTTTCGAATGTTGCTCCAATAAGAACCTTATCTTGGAGTTGATCTGTAGCGGGTTTCGTTGTGGTCTTCGGTTTCGTTGAAGGGCCCCCCAACTTGGAAATGGCGAACCAGAGGCTATGTAGAAATATAATACCGTCAATACATCTTAGGCTTCCCTTGTAAGATAAGACTCATCATATGTTCATGTTCAGGCAGCGGAGATGTTTCATCTCGGAGGATTAATGGTCGAAGTCTGGCTTTGTGATACTTGGACGGAGCTATTGTTCTACCAGAAACAGCAGAGCTACTACAAAGGGCTGAATCGAAGAACCTAGGTGCGTGGAAGCATAACCCTTAGTTGGGTAATTTCTTCAATTGCCTATACAATGGCTTTGTTCCCAGCAGGCGAGGTGTTCGTGGTCATTGTTCTCGAATCTGCAAGCTACACAGCATGCAGCTACCTGGTAGGCCGACGACAGATTGGTCAAATTCTAGAAAGTGGCCCAAGCATCATAGTCGACGAGGAGACGGGTGTATACATGGGCTGTAATCGTTAAAGTCGTGACTTCGTAGGTATTACTAGGTAGTTACAATTCTCAAAGGCCCATTCCAGGGTCCTTTTCCAAATGTGTTGTGCTGAGTACCACCACTCATCAAGTCCACTTTGTCTAGCTGCCATTTCCAGGCCGCCTTCTTCATGAACCCGAGCGGAGTGCAGATTCCATCCCCTGTGAGATGCTCGACTGAAGGATCGAAGAATTTACAGGCCGTACTTCTTGTCCTTGTCCTCAATGGGGATATCCTTGCCGGTGGTGTTCTTGTACTGGCCACGGATGAAATCGCTGATCTGTTCGTCTTTGGCCTGCTCGGCGGCGCTCTCGTTGTTTTGAGGACCTTGACCGAGGAACTTTTCTTGGACGAAGTCGACAGCTATGGGTGATGTTAGTCTTGTAACTGGGTGTTTTAGAGAGTAGCCCACGCACCTTTGTCAAGGCCGTCTTCCTGCTTCTCGCTCTCACGGCCACCACCAGCCATGCCGTTGATCTTGTCCATGAAGCCGCCAGACTCCTTCTTCTCGGGCTGGTCAGCAGAAGAGGCTGCGTTGTTGTTGTTGTTGTTGTTGTTGTTGTTGCCTCCAGCAAGGTTCTTGACGAAGTCCATGATGAATGATGGTTTGTTTTGACTTGTTGGAATAGTTGTAGTGGTCAATATTATGAATCAGAGCAATCGGTCTTCGAGGGGTTGGATTGAGTTGAGGAGAAAAGTCAGGTCAGAATGGGAAGAATGACGGGACAGCTTGGCTACTTGTAATTCGACTAAGGTTGCACGAGGAACAGAGACAGGGAACCGTCACCAGAGCGGGGAGGGGAGGGGAGACCATCGGGAGACGATAGTGGCTTAGACCAGAGGTAGCAGAGTACCTATCTTAGCTGCATCCAGCAGGCGGGCACCATCTTCTTGCCTGTCCTCCCTGGTCTTGGCAAAGGCTAGTCGAGGTGCAGCAAGGAGACATAAAATTGGGAGTCGCGATACACCTCGCAGTTTCCTGCACCGTTGGTGGAGTTACATCATCAGCTGGCCAGGGGTGCACTGACGCAGGCCAAGTTTCTGCCAGCACGGCTTGCAAGTTGCGCCATATAATATACCTTAGACAGACGATGACGGTGGTACAAGTACCGACACTCGACCTCAATGTGCAACAAGGTCGCAGAGGAGGAACAAGATAAGCCTGTAAGCCAGGTAAGACAGTCCATACAATGCAGCCCAGGGCGCTTCTTCAGTTTGCCAAGAAATCCAAACAAGCACTTCAGCCAAGGAGTGTTGGCACACTCATGGTCCACGGAGCTAATCCACGCTTGGTGACGTGATGGTCGCCAACCTACTGTCACTTCAGCTGCCTTCGTCCTTGCCCCCTGTTCAACCCCGCCAAGCTTGTCCTGATGTGTTCGTACCGCGCTCCGTAGCATCACGTGGGTGGCTGTCAACGCTGTGTCAGATGGACCCACCAAGAGCGTCAAGCCACATATCGCGGGGCTTTGTGGCGGCCACCCGCTCGAACTCCTGTGGCTTGCGTGCTCTAAGATTCGCCGGCTGAGTCATCTCCGAAAGCCAGCTCTTCGTCATCAGTCGGATGCAGTGCCCCGCCATACCGAGCTTTAAGTCATTGCGACGGCGCAAAACGAGGACCAACATTGGCCCATCAATTCCTCATTCTACAATCAACAACTGGAGCCGCCGTGAGGGCTTGTCGGACAGCTCAAAATGGCTTCGAAAAATACATCAGATCTTCTCAAGCGGCCTCTCTACGGTTCGTCTTCTCTGCAACTACTACCCCGCCATCGTCAACTAACGCAGTCGCAGTCTATGATCTTCCCCAAGAAGTCCTGACAACACTCTCCCTTAAGCCCGACGCCTCCATACCCGAACAGGCCCCTCCGTCGCCTCCCTCGAAAGACACATCTTCCTCCGATCTCGTCGGCTCACAGGCCTGCTCCCTTTGCGGAGTTACCTTTCCCACTGCCATCGATCAGCGAAGCCATCAGAAATCCGATTGGCACCACTACAATCTGAAGCAGAAGCTGCGCAGCGCAAAGCCGGTATCTGAGAATGAATTCGAAAAGCTGATCGGCGACCTTGATGAGAGTCTATCGGGCTCAGATTCGGAAGAGTCTGAGGATGAAGATGGCAAGGAATCCACACTCACAGCACTGCTGAAGAAGCAGGCGACGCTCGCCGACAAGTACGCATCGCCAACCGCAGATTACAATGACGGAGACGAAGACACGATACGACGTAGAGGGAAGGGCAATCCGCCTCTGATTTGGTTCAGCTCGCCAGTTCTCCCGTCGAATACATACTTTGGCCTCTACAGGGCTATCCTCAGTCCCGAAGAGCAGCGCGACGAGACGAAGCTGGTGGAAGTCGTCAGAAAGAAGCAGTTGGACCCAATAGCCGCTCCCAAGGTCTCTAAAGACGGCGCAGCACCGCCACCAGCGGCGTACAAAGGGCCTCACTTCTTCTTGTGCATGATTGGTGGTGGCCATTTCGCTGCCATGGTCGTAGCATTGCCGCCACGACAGAACAAGTCTTCAGCAGGCGCAATGAATCGCGAAGCAACTGTGCTTGCTCACAAAACATTCCATCGATACACGACTAGACGAAAGCAGGGTGGTTCGCAATCAGCCAACGACAACTCCAAGGGAAATGCCCACTCGGCCGGTGCTAGTATTCGTCGGTACAACGAACAGGCTTTGGTGGATGATGTACGCAATCTTCTCCAGGAATGGAAAGGATTGCTTGATACGTCTGAGCTTCTCTTCATTCGAGCAACGGGGGCAACGAATCGAAGAACGCTGTTCGGACCGTACGATGGACAAATATTGAAACACAACGATGCTAGGATACGAGGGTTTCCGTTCAGCACGCGGAGAGCGACACAGAACGAGTTGATGAGATCATTCATTGAGCTCACGAGACTGAAAGTCAGAGAAATCAATCCCGAGGACGAGATTAAACCGAAATCCGAGACCCATACTCCTGCGAAGACTGCCGCTCCAAAGCCCACGAAGCCGAAGCTCACAGAAGAAGAGGAGACTGCGCTATTACACACATCACAAATCCAGGCGTTCATCCGACGCTCGAAACTTCCAGCCCTACTGTCCTACCTCAAGACAAATGATGTGTCTCCCGACTTCCAGTTTCAGCCGTCAGACCAAAATCACCACTCACCAACACCCCTACACTTGGCTTCTAATCAAAATGCTGCGCCTCTAGTTCTCGGCCTCATTACACGTGGCTGTGCATCGCCTCTGATCACCAACAAAGATGGCAAGACTGCGTTTGAACTTGCAGGAGACAGGGCCACAAGAGACGCCTTCCGGGTGGCACGATCAGAGCTCGGCGAGGACAAGTGGAATTGGGAAACCGCGCGCGTGCCAGCACCTCTTAGTAAGGCAGATGCTGAAAAGCGCGACGAGAGAGATAGGACAGAGAAGGATGAACAGGAGACAGCAAGACGGCGTGCTGAGGAAGAGAGGTTACGGGTCGAAGGGCCCAAGGCTGATGGCAGGAAGCCAAAGTCTGGTGGTCTGGCGGCTATAGCGTCTACGAAGACCGCACAAGAGAAGCGGGTGGAAGAAGCTAGGGGCCTTACTCCTGAGATGCGGATGAAGCTCGATCGGGAGAGAAGAGCGAGGGCCGCCGAGGAGCGTCTCAAGCGCATGCAGAATAGTTCCTAGTCGTGTGTCGGCTGAGTGTGCTGTCACCGACCTCTACTCTATTCAGGAGAGTCAGGAGAGTCAGGAGCGATCTGGACATGTTGTGCATATCCTGAATAGAGATAATAATGACACAGATGAGCCAAGTGTCTCTCTCTGGCTTTTGATGATGGATGTTGGGGAACTGTGTTATGGAGGTGTTCGCCCAAACATGGGAATGCAGTGATTCATATGTTCTCATTCGAAGTCTTTTTGATCAAATGCAGATATTAAAACTAGCGTTTTGTGGCAACCGGTAAACTCGCTTCGAGAAGACGAAATCTTCGAGTTGGTGAACTTATATTCACACCCATTTTCATGTATTTTCTCCAAGGTTTGCGTCAGTACCCGTGACGAGGAGGCAACCTAACCTGATCCCGAGAGATACGATGCCACGATCTTGATATTCTCTCTCCTGGAAGCTTCCAAGTTCAAAAGCGACGACATACGTCGGTACGGTTTTTGGTCTTCCGGGGCTGAGTCGTTTCTGCGTCGATTCCTTGACCGGGAAGGTCAGAATGTCGCCGACGAAGAAGCTGGCATCTGAGGACACTTGAACTACCTTACGAAAAGTTTGCGGCGTGCAGGAATCTTCATCCTGAGCATTATTACACAGTCTGCTGCACCTTGGATCGTGTGGCACGGCACCGACGTATGCTCGCTTGCTCTCTTGCGCAAGGCGATAGCAAACAGGCAGCAGTTGTTCCAGCCTCAACTAACATTTACCCTAGGCCTAGATACCGATCAATTAGAGGATTTATAACAAATCTGTCGTTATGGGCTCTCATAAGGTTCTTTCGAATTTCAAAAATTCTTTTTTTACTAGTTATTATAATTTAGATTTACCAAAAGGAAGAACTCGAATATTGCCAACTAGCTACCATAATAAATAATTCGCCCTCCTCGCCTAGAGATGTACAACAATTATGGGTTATATGATGTGATCCCTCTCAAGGGAAATATACTGCCGTGTCATCCAGATCTGACACGAATTGAAGCTATGCTATCGACAACCAACATCATCACCACTAGCCCCGGAAACATCCGTCACGATGTATCAAAGAAGCCAGCCAATATGTCAAGCAAAATCCAAGACCGTCATGCCAGAACTGCACTCTGCCGAGGAGACAAGTCACATGTTGAAGTTGAGTCACCTGATGACGATATTCCGAGGTGTGTGATTCAGTCTCGTCAGCCAGGCTGAGTGGTTTCTAACACCGCCGTCATCGACGTTCAAGACACAACCAATGCAGATTAACCGTCTGGGAAGTAAGTACAACCTGCTTTTGAGCTGTGAATATCATTGAGGCCCTTCACTCGAGGCGATATGCGGGCACACCGCGGCAAGACTCGCCAACATGGACTGCAAACCTCAACTCTCTACATACTCAACGCAACGACAGACTCTGAGAGTCAGCTGCTATCACAAAATCACTCTCTAGACTAACCCGCACTGTATTCTCCAACAATATCCCGTGAGTGTCATGCCATAGCTACCTCGTTTCATGAAGCCGTCGCCGTGATTACCAATGTTCCACTTGACGCCAAACAACTCGAGACAAGTTTTCGATTTGCAAAGCCACCGGTCTGGAACTAAACCGCCCGTCTTCCAAGCCGCACGCCATTTACGCAATGGGTATCAAGCAAGTCTAAGACTCTCTCAGACGGGCCTTTCAAGTTGCCAAACAAACCATCAGTTACCTAACCCCGAACGGTCTGAAGCTGCATACCAAGTATTCCTATTCTCTATCAAGTAGGCAGACTAAACTCCTCAAGCATATCTCTACCCCCCCGAAACACACCTTATCCCACAAGCAGAGTCCATCGCGAGAGATACCACGGAAGAAAACAAAACACGCAACTTCACCTCGTATCCTATCCAAGTCACCTTTTCGAGTCTCTACCGCTTATACGACCTTGTCTTACAGTTACACACCGAACCGCACGCCTCTCCACAAAACGTCAACGTCAATGCATCAAAGACAGGCGCACCCACAATCAACCACACATTTTTGCTTTTCCTCAACTTACGAGGTCGTAATCCGTCGTTGCTTATTCCCCTGGGACAAGACCCTACATCCTATCTACCTTTACGATCCCGATTTTGCCGAGGAATCACACTTTTTGCTCCCGAAAGGATCTCAAAGGGTACCCACAAACGGTCGGGTACCTGCATGAGAATACCAAAGAAGACAAGTCAACCAAGGCCCTTCCAAAATGACTCCAACTTGACGGGAACGTTGTTACCTGCGAGGCATGTGATGGATGCAACGGCAACGCAGCGAGACCGAGTTCACCGATTCTACAACCCTCCCTCCCCGCGGCCTCCGTAGCTTGATATCTTGACATACACTCACATGCAGCTCTTACGTCAAAGTAAAGCCGAGAACCAAAGCGAGCTCGCCTGACAGGCTGACATGCCCGTAAACATAGCATAGACTCGTCCAACAAGCATTAACGATACCGAAAGCCATCTTGACCTGAAATCCCATCCAACCCACCACAAACACAGCCTTCCCCCCTTCTCCAGGAGTCCAGTCTACTATTCGTACACAGGGCAGTGACGGGCACCTCGAAAAGCCGGGACCACGGGGCATCCGTACCCGCCTTCATTACGGCAGATCGCCATGGTCGAGTTGGCGATCACACTTGGCCAAACTAGCAAGAGCAAAATAAACAGCGTTCCGTTTCACAGCCACCTCCTCGAGCCCCGCGAAGGTAGTGTATCCGTAGAGCCTTCTTGCTAGAGACAGGACCTAGGAGGGATGGGAAAAAAACTAGATTGATGCCCCTGTCTGCCGAAGCGAAGCCGCGAGCGAGAGAGCTGGCCAGCAGGAGGAGGGATACCGCGACCAACACCATCGAGCCTCGTGTCATGAAACCGAACCATCCCCGCCCCCACTGGCCGGCTCTTCCATCGCTACCACAGCTCGCTCAGTCTCTCTGCTAAACCCATGATATCCATCTCGATATCCCTATCCCTCCCCACAACGGGAGAGAGGGGATAAGCGCCGGGAGGGGAGTCAAAAAACAAGACCCGTCAGTCAACCAACATTTTGCCGTCTGCATCGCGTTTGTGCGGAACTGCCGGGGAATTTCCTCTCTCGACGAACCAGCTTCACAGCCACCCTATACGTCACGGCAGGGCCTTGCATAAAGAACGCGATGCTGAGTTCGGATTGTCCATTATGCATGTTTGGCGGGGTATGACATCGAAACAATTAGGGATCGGAGGCCTAGGAGATTTTTCTTCTGCGCCCCTTTGCAAGAGTTCGGATGAAGAGGTCAAGAGCTTGGCATCAGCTGAATGGGATGAATGGGATATCCCCGACTGCCACGACTGCCACTGGCAGAGAGGAGGGTGTTAAACGCGGCTATTGAGCAGGATCTTGACTCGCGAAAGAACAGGACGATAGACTTCGCGGGAGTTACGCTGACCTTGCCTCCCGCTTACATCGCAGGGTGGTGTTGAAAGATCGATTGACTTGGCAGTCAACCGACTTAACTTCTGACGGGAGGAGCCCAATCAGTATATAAAACATGGTTCTTTCAAAACTTGGGGTTCGTAAATAATGGCCCAACGCATGCTGCTGTTGTAAACCGAAGACCAACCAGTGGCTGAAGGTGAGCCGCGCTGGCACAAACGGTTTCGACAGCTGTCCACAGGAGAGTCTCGGGGATTTGGTAACCCTTATGCAGGGGTCGGGCCCTCTTTGGGATTTCAGCGACGACCCCGGCCATCACCGTCAGGGTTGCGCCGTGGAAGACATCCGTTGGGGCATAGGACATCGGACGGGGTGGTCCCTGTTACGCACCTGGCCTGTCTTCCGGTAGGTCCCTGGGCAACGAGGGAAGCGAACAGCAGGCCATCCATCGCGGAGTCGCGGGTGTTGCTGAATTTTCGGAGTGGGCTGACTGTCCGCCGCGAAAGGGGCGCCGGTGCTTGTTGAACAGAGGCAAGCCCGGCAACGGAGGACCAACATCGCTCGAAAGCGAAGACGGCCGTCCCTTGCTCCCAACTATCTTGTTTGGAAGATCCTCAAAGTGCCGAGGAAACAAATGCAACCTTGACAAGAGAGGTCGCTGAGAATAGAAGCTCAGGCGGGGGCCTTGGGAAATGAGAAAAGGGAAGAAACCCAGTGAACCATATGGCTAGAGACAAGACTCCAGGTCATGCCAACGGAACCAGGCGATCTCATGATCGGGACCGAGCCGTGATTGCGTTCTCTCTCGCAACCCCCCGTTTTGGATGGTCTGATTTCCTCTTTCGTCCAGCCAGGTATTGAACCAATCTGCGGGATCAATGATCGACGGCGAAGACGGGGCAGATAGTGTGCGTTCTGGGGAAGGCCGCGAAAGCTCCGGTTCACGGATACAGTTGTCGATAATTGATTGAACTTTCAATGTTTCATCTCGATAGCAACCACAGCGTTGACAACGAGATGAGCGCGGTCTTCATCCTCTTCTCGGATACCGGCCTGAGGAGGAAGATGAAAACTCAATACTTGAAATTTGGGTATTGAGTTCTGTGAGGTCTCGGACGATTCATGACGGCGGTGCTGGCTGATCTTCAAGCAAACCCAGCGCAGGGTCCAACGATAGACAGCTGGTCGCAATATCCAGGGACGCCTGTCGGGAGCGGTCGGAGTTCAGGCAGGGGACCACTGCGGTCAGTTATGTCATCCAATCTCACCCGGTCAGGTCAGACCGTCAGGGCCAGGCTCACGGTCCTCGGGCGGTATCGGCTCAAGACACGCCGCTCGAGCCTCACAACTTGTCTTGGGGTTGCCCGTCAGAAATAAACAGTCATACGGATATGGCTGTCGAAAAAGTTGACAGCTCTGAAGCAAGAAAGAGTGTTGTTTCAGCCATACGCGAGTGGAAATTGGAGGATATCTTGAGGACCTAAAACGGAGGAAAGACGGTCGTATTGCTGGCGACTTTTGGCATGGCTCGTGTTCTCAGATTCAGGTGAGCGTGCTCGATTAGGCAAAGCCCCCCGGCTGACTCGGCTCTTTCTGGCCTGGTGGGCATTCGATAGGGCAATCGGCCGACGTCATGCTGGCAAAATCAGTCACTCTTCCGTAGGGTCGGTTGCGAATAGATGATGAATTGGGCGCCAGAGCAACCTAGAGTTGTATATGTCGAGGCTTTTGTCGATGATCGAAGATTGTGCCTCGAATAATGGCTGCAAGGCGAAGAATTTGGATGGACTACTCCGTACACTGTAGACTAAACAGCTAGGCTTGTAATTGCATCTGGGCATAGCCGCCTGGCTCTCAACAGCTGGCGACGTTGCCCTTAGCCATTGACGAGTTGTCTCAGGTAGAGAGGCTGCTTGTGAAAGGTGAAAGACTCGACAGGTTGTGGTGAAAAGCGGTGTTTCGGTAAGGCGCCTGGCATCCCGCATTCATCACATAGTGCCGCGCGGTCTGGCCAGCGCTTCTCGATAGATTGCAGACTGCATGGCCTCTTAGTCAGGCCCGATACGGGTCCAGCCATCGTGCAGCGGTTCGGCCACCCACCGGAGAGAAAACCTCTGCTTAAATCTAAAACGAAATCTAAACCGAGAAAAGGTTGTAGTTCGGCGATCCACACACTTGAGGGGAGCCTAGAAGCTGTGGCTGTGAATCGAGAGCGAAACCACCGCTGGCGTTACGTTGTCGCCGAGGTTGCAATAAGCCGCTGTGTCGCCCTGATCATTGGGTCCAACTTCCACAAAGAGGTAGACTGATAGTCCACATTCGGATTCGTTGGTTTCGGGTGGCTGACCTGGTGAAACAAACCGTTTCCTCGGAACGATTTCTTGGGATGGCAATTAGGCCAAGGCACTGTGGATGACTCTTTGGCCTGTTATTCTGGCCCGGTCGATGGCCAAGCATCGTGACGTCTATTGACGTGTGGGTTTGCAGTTGACCCGAGGTTGGACAGCCGCACAGCGGGTTGAGGCCATTCAAAGGGTTTGCGAGGCTCGTGGCGATGGCCAGTACAGGTATCCGTATATGCTAGGCCAAAATGAAACTGGCGAGCAGGCCTTTTTCGGAAGCAAATAGAGGTCCAGACGGATCAGTCAACATTTCCGATTACTACTGACGGGCCGTTTATTTTGGTTGATCTGGGCCGGTTGACCGAGCCGCGATATCTTGGCAATAAGTTGGAATTGAATAACTATACCCAGCACGATATAATATCGCTTGACAGGCGTGGCAACCAGACTGGGTCCTAGATCGAACGATTTGAACCGAGCCTATTTTTCTCGGAAGAGGGTAGGCGGCGTGGCAGCGCAGGGAGCAAAAGCGAGGGAGGGAGGGAGGTGAATCGAAAGGAAGCGAACAACGCTCAGAGCTATCGTGGAGCTTCTGGCCAGGAGGGTCTGAGCATCGTCTACTAGGATGGGAACCAGTGCCGATGGATTTGGGCAACAGGGCTGACAGGTCGCGTCATGATAGGGTAAAGCGTACCTCGAGGATCTAGGACCCCCGGGTTCCCAGGTATTCCTATTCTTCTCTGAAGGGCATAGCCTCTCGAGATTCCGGCGTGCCCTTGCTGACAGACTTTTTCTTCGGGAGCAAGGGGTCTAGGGTAGCAGGATGGAGAAGGACTGCGATCGAGGTGGACTTTGGATGCGAGTGTATGGCCATTTGGATGTGGGTTGATGCTTTTTCCTTGCAGAGTTGGGGGTGATGGAGTCGAGCCTCGAGGTGAATGGATGTTGAACTGTGAACCAGGGGGAAAGAAGAGGCGGAAGGACCACGTCGTGAACAAGGCGCCAGGGGCACGAAGTGAAAACTTGTGGAGTGGGTGACCCCGGGAGAGCAGGGGGGAAGGAAGGAACAGGGGAGAGGAAGACTCCCCTCCTTTTGGCAAGGCAAGGCAAGGCAAGAAGCAGGGGGAGGGGGAAAGTGGCAGGGATGTGAGGTAATGTCCTGGGTTGCCCTTTCCCAAGAGGTTTCCTTTCCGCTGGTCAATGATTGGCTCCGAGGTGCTGTTCCTGCATTAGCGCAACGGAGAAGCTGGCGCTGTGGCTGAGCGTTTCAACTTGGACTGGGCAAGGAGCCCCTCGCTTGGTGGGAGAAGACTCGGAAGAGAGAATGCAGAAGACTCGAGAGGCTAGGAACAGCTTGAAGGAAGAGACAGGCGGCAAGGAGTCCGGATGCAAAGCGAAGAGTGTCACTGACAAGCAGAAAGCAGCCCAAAGCAACCCTCTGGCTCTCAAAGGAGCCGTTGTTCGGAGCATGACTGGACAAAAAAGGTCATGGGCGGCAGGGAACCAGGAAGTTGAGTTGATTCGTCGAGTAAGTGTCTTGACTCCTTGAGGCTTGAGTTCAGGTAGGTGCGAACAAATTGTCTGCTGTCTCTTTGGGAGCGCAACTTCAGATGATCTGGCAGCTGTCATTGGCTGGCCCCTTTCCACCGCCATGAGCTTCTTTCGTCCAATGCTTCCGTCCTTCAGGTGGGAGTACCGACGGGAGGTACACCAATGGGCCCAGGTGTCTATACACGGGTACGCAGAGTGGTCCGCGTATTATCAACTTCCATCTATCTGGAGTGGCTAGGATAGGATGGACCAAGAATCGATTTTGCAGATGACAAAAATTGCCAATTGAATGTTGGCCGTCTCCGTCTCTGACTGTGTACGGAGGTTTTATCGGTCTGCACTGCTGTCACAAGATACCGTGTGAGAGACACACTCCATAGAGTGAGGCTGAGATGGATACGGATGCAGGCTGGAACACGGTTAACAGCATCAACCTTTCAAATTAACTTTGGCGACCTACTGCTAGGCCGAAAATACACACGGGTAATGATTACGTGCAGCATCGAAGGCCTCCATACGTGCCTTACCGCCGTGTTGATCTCCAAAAGAGCCCCAAAGCGCTGGGTAGGCTGACGTCAGGCGCGGAGGCCAGCGTATCGAGGCATCCTGGGGCATCCCATCCATCCCGTTTATTGGAGGGCGAAAGGCGGCGGCGAGTCTGTTTGAGACGTCCAGATTCGCCGTAGTTCAACCCCAGAGACTCCAGTCCGTAATAATCCACGATTGGCTGGACGTGATGGAGCGGGGTCTTTGGATAGATGGTTGGATGGCGGGGCGGGTACCTGACGACCGACGTACCTGGGCTGCTCCATCTTTTTTCTCCTTCTGCCCCTGACTAAGAATCATCGAGGGGGAAAAAATGGTACACCCTTGGGGTTACAATGTCCAGAGTGGAGAGTCGCAACTGACAACCAAAGTGTGTGAAGTTGCAGAACGATTACCAAATAGACTGGCTAACAATCAGCCATTCCCAAATGCGGGATATGGTGCTGTTGCAGCGAGTCGCAGATGACAAGCCACGGGGTCACTTAGATCGGGGTAGGCGCCCGTTGTCCCCTCAAAAGATCCAAGAGGCGTCTTTTCTGCTTGAGGAGATTCAGATTCACCGTGGCGTCCAGCCCAGATTTCAGACCAAGCCCGGCGAGAAAGAAAAAAAAAAAAAAGCAAGCCTCTGGGGAAACAGAACCTAGCGCAAACGGCCAGCCTAGAACTGCAATCCAGACTCTCTCGTCTCTCATCTTTACCGTGTATCCGACGCACCCTACCACAGAATGAAGACTCGAAAAAGTGCATCCGTCTTTTTTGGCAGTCGATAGTCGACACTCGACACTCGACAGTCTGCAGGGGGCTTGGAGAGAGGCAGCTCGCAGCTTGGGCCTTCTCACGTCGTCGGCGACGGGGTCTCTTTAGGCAATCCCTGTCCCTGCTCCTTCCTGTTCCTGAACAAGACAAGATGGCAAGGGGGAGGTCACCAACGGTACGTACCTGACGACTTACCGCCCGAGCGTCACGGCGGCGGCAAAACAAAGCGCAGAACTGGCAGATGGCAACTTTGCAGTCTGCATCCTTCACCACTGTCCACGATCCATGGCCTACGGTTCCTGTTCGGATACAGCATGCACAGAAGCAGTCAGCCAGACTACTGTCTAAGACATGTAGACAACCTGCCGCTCCTCGCTCCCTCCAGTCATCCGAAAGTTGCAGACGGCGGTACCAATGCGTACGCACCGACCTCACCTCATCTCCATCTCGCAACTCACAGACTCGACTCAACATCTCACCATCACCAAGCCCAGTCCACCGACGCTGTCTGGCTTGTCTTGCATTCGCTTCCCGTCCTTTCCGGCCGCCCATGGCTTTGACGGATCGTCGACACCTTCATCTTGAGCATAACAGGCGGTGCTCTTTAGTCTCGGTCCTGCATCAAGCACCATCTCCACATGGCGTCTGTTGCTATTCATGAACACACTTCTCGATCTCGCCCTCGGCCGTAACATATCGTCATTGTTCACCGAACAGCCATCCCCATCGTCCCCCTAATCTGACTAAACCCTACGGCACCGCCCAAGCAACTGCGGATCTCTCCCATTAAGCACCATCACACGGTTATGCATGAGCATGAAACTCAGCCTGACCTGCGAGCATGAGCATTGCCTTTGTTCCGGAAGGCTGAGCACACTCAATCTCAACATCCATCACTTACAATTCGTCAACCATGTGCCGTAAGCTCCATGTAGTCTATGGAGGGTCTCCGGGACTTGAGCGAGGAGACCACTGTCCAACCATATGGATAGAGAGAGAGAGAGAGAGAGACACACACACAGAGAGAACCATCGGGCTCCAGCGAGTCCCGTCTTCATGCTCAAGGATCAAAGGGGTCGTCCTGGGGCTGCAATGCCCAAATGCCCCTTCTCCGTCTGTTCCTGGCTCCGATCCAAGCAAGAAGTCGCTCGAACAGGAACCGTTCAACCGCTCAGGTGCCGGATGGGAAGAAGGCAGTGCTGTTTCTGGCCCCATCCTGCAATTCCCCATCTCCCAGCCCAGTCTTCAGTTGCAGCACCATCAAGCAGTTTTGTTGGAGAACGACCCCCTGTTGGCGGATGGGATGGCCTTCAGAGCAGGCCGGCATCAAACCCGGCTTCGCTTTGCCTTGCTTGCCATGCCCTCCGGCGACCTCTCCTCCTTTAGCCTCCATGATCCATCCGCCCATCCCATATCCACATCTGCGCCCACCACTGCACCACGGGCATCCATTAGCTAGTCCACAGGCCCCCATGCCTAGTGCAAGTGCTGTCCACATCCATGGCCATGCCACGGGTCCGCTGTACCTAGTCCGTACAGCACGGCCTTGCACTTGCACTTCCTTCCTGCCTGGATCCACCCCGTCTCCGTCCCTCATCCCCGTTCGGTCCTCTCTCTCAGTCTGTTCAGTCACTCAGTCAGTCTGTCTGTCTGTCTGTCTCCCACCCCCCCTGGCAAGTCGCCTCCTCAGGTGAGGGTGAGGACTAGGAACCTCACACCCAACCATCCCCAGTGATAGGAGTCGTCGTTCTTGTATATAGACTCTTCTTCTTCCCGCCCATGTTCACTGTTTCGTTTCTCATCCTCATCGAACATTCTTTCCTACTTTCGTTCTATCAAACAACAGTCCATTCGCTTTCTGAGTGTAAAGTCATTCGCTTCTTTACTCTCAACTTAATACAAACTTAGTTTTTTGTTTCCTCTACTTTCACTAGAACAAAGTATCACTCTCACTCAAAAGAAAGAATCCTCGTCCATCATTCAAAATGAAGAACAGCGTTGCTATCCTGGCCCTTGCCGCCGGCGTCAGCCAGGTCACTGCTACCGTAAGTTCTCACATGTTCAACTCCACAGTCGGATCTCACATGAGATCTCGACTACTTTTCTAGTCGGTGATCACTAACAAGCTTCACAGGGCTGGAACAAGTTCCCTTCCTTCAACTGCCCCGAGAACACCGACAACAAGTGTGACGACAAGCAGAAGGATGGTTTCTCCTGGGGTGACTTGAACACTGGATCGTTCAGCAACTATGGCGGTTTCGACTTCAAGGGCTGGACCTGCGGAAGCGATTTCTCCAAGCGCGATTCTCTCGCTCCCCGCACCTTCGGCAAGGGCAAGGTCATTGAGGGCTCTTGCGGAAGCAAGAAGGAGACCTCTCCCTCCTTCGGCTGCGGCACCGGCACCAGCTCCCCTGATAAGTTCTCCATTGTCCACTTCGACGTCTCCGTCGAGTTCGACTGCGACCTCGAGTTCCACTACGACATGCCCGATGGCTCCAGCTGCAAGCACCGCTCTGCTTGCTCCAAGTCTGGAACCACTGTCAAGAACTCCCAGTGCGGTGGTGCCAAGAACGTCACCATTGTCTACCCCGAGCAGCCCTCTAAGCCCAAGACCACCTGCGGTGTTGGCATCCACACCATCAGCTTCGACTGCAGCCCTCCCCAGACTGCCGTCCCCCCCAAGACCAAGACCAGCTCTTTCGCCATTGCCACCACCCTGAGCACCAAGACCCACGACAAGCCCGTCAAGACCACCTCCGAGGCTGAGGCCACCTCCACCGCCGTTGTCCCCTCCGTCTCCAAGCCCTCCAAGCCCGTTGAGGAGACCACGGAGGCCACCAAGCCTGCCACCACCGGCCCCTCCAAGGACACTGAGACCGCTCCCGTTCCCACCAACGGCGAGACCGCCTCTTCTGCTCTCCCCTCCATCTCCATCCCCGCGGAGTCGACCACTGCTGATGTTCCCTCCGTTACCAAGCCTGCCGAGACCCCCATTGTCTCCAAGCCTACTGAGGAGACCACCGGCGGCGTTGTTCCCTCCGTCTCCAAGCCTGTCGAGTCCGTCCCCGTTGTGTCTGTCACCAAGCCCGTCGGCGGTGAGACCACCTCTGCTGCCCTCCCCAGCGCTTCCGTTCCCACCGTCCCCATCAACGGCACCCAGCCCGCTGAGACCGTCCCCGCGACCGTTCCCGTTCCTGAGACCAAGACCACTGTCTACGACACCACCTCCACCGTCTACACCACCCGCGTCGAGACTGTCACCTCCTGCGCTCCCGAGGTCACCAACTGCCCCGCCAAGTCCCACGCTGTTGTCACCGTCACCGTCCCCGTCTCTACCACCATCTGCCCCGTCACCGAGACCTTCGTCCACACCCCCGGTGTTCCCTCCAAGCCCGCTGCTACCCAGCCCGCTGGTGTTCCTTCCCAGGGTGTCTCTTCCCAGAAGCCCGTCGCCTCGGTCACTGTTCCCGCTGGCCCCGTTGAGACTCTTCCCTGCCCCGATGTCGTTCCCCAGTGCTTGAGCACCTGGATGTTCTCGTCCGGCTGCACTGACAACTCCGACATCCACTGCTTCTGCCCCGACTCCAAGTTCGTCGAGAACGTCTTCTCTTGCATCTACTCCTACGGTGCCAGCGACGAGATCATCTCCAAGGCCACTCAGTTCTTCCAGGGTATCTGCGCTGCTCACATCCCTGAGAACCCTGCCATCGTCACCGCCCCTGCCACCATCACCACCGCCATCACCGTCTCGGCCACCAAGCCCGCTGCCACCAACCCTGCCGAGTACACCACCGTCACCGTTGACAAGACCATCGTCGTCCCCTGCGTCACCTCCGGCACCACCGTTCCCGGCTCTTCCACCACCGCCATCATCAAGACCACCCTCGAGGTTCCCCACGTCTCCTTCGCCACCAACTCCGCTTCGGTTGTTGTTCCCGTCCCGGCTCCCTCTGCCCCGGCTGGAACTCCCGTTGCTCCCGGTGCGACTGCCTCTTCCCAGGCCCCGGTTGCTCCCTACCCTACCACCCCCGCCGTTGGCGCCAGCAAGACCATTCCCGTCGGCACTGGCGGTGCTGCCGTCCCTACCACCACTGGCGTCGTCGTCGCCGGTGCTGGCAAGACCACCTTCGGCCTTGGTGTCGTCGTTGCCATTGCTGCCCTCGCTGCCTTCTAAGCTGGGTAACATGGCTGCTTTCTCTGCCCTTCTCTACTAAGATGAAACTTACTTGAGCGCGGAGGAGAGATGCCAACCCCAAGATTTTCTTACTGTATCAAGTCGCTGTACGCACACACAAATCTGTAATCTACAAGCCCGCAATTTTACATATTATTCTTACGATCCTTACGAAACAAACACATTGCTTAGGTGGTTTTTATAGGTCTGGAAAACATTCGGTGTTATCACATAGGCTTATATCCCACATTTACCTCCATTTGGCCGCGATTCTTTTTATAGAGCGCATCAGAAACAAAAAAGGGTGTTGGAAGATTTTTTTATACCCCTTGGCTTGTTGGTTTAATACTTAATTAGCTAGTTCCTTTCGAGAGGAATACAAATGCGCTCTCCAATGACTTCTCTGTCCTCTTGCCTTGTGATGTGTCCCCTTTTCAAGAGTGACAAGTCTTATCGATCCATCAAAAACTTTAGTCTGAAATATTATTGAGTATCGTAAGTAAGCATGCGCCCGTTGCGCGTGCCATTGAGCGTGCGAGGTTACAGCGAGTCATGTGACGTTGTAGTTGAGACGACCCCGGAAATGAGCTGTTGTAATGCACCTAGTCTCCTATCTCATAACATAGAGGAAGCAGGGAAAGAATCTTCGGCTTCGCATGATTTTCCGTCTTGAAGCGATCTTCATCAACTTGATCAAAGCCCAACCAAAGTATGTTGACCCAAAAGTCATGCACATTGGCCGGTTGTCTGAATGTTCACGGGCTCACCGGTGTGCATGGAGCCCCCTCCTCCTCCCCTTATTCACAAAAACAGGACTGCGGTCATCCATCCATCTTGGGGTTCTCAGGTCCTTGATTACGTGATTATTCGCCTTCGTTCATCCGCCTGGCTTGAGGGTTGTTGTTCTTTAGGCATCATCATTGCTTGGTTAGCTTGAAGTCGGGCCCGAGACGGGCATGGTTCTACAATGGCGCCTTTGGATTGTTACATGGTTTTGACTACCTTGGACTACTGTAGAGTTGGCAATCTGTGGGGCCATTTTGGAATGTTCATTTCTATGTCATACGCTATCAACGCCATTTGAGAATCTTGCTTGTCGATGAAGAAGGGGGATCGTTGCTGCGGAAGACGGGGTCTGGCTCCTCTGTAGAGAGTTGGTATCCTCCTTCAACTTTGTGGGTAGAGCGAGTGAAGATCGGCTGATCTGACTCTCTTATTCAGCTTCACGACTTGTCTGCGGCTGAACTAAACGGTACGCATGTTGGCGATGAACTTGTCAGCCTCTTGCTGAGGATGCAATGAGCTGATGTTCTGCCTGCCTAAAGATGCCTAGAGTGACATCGGAACAAGCGCAGTAACCTGATCATGGCTGGACGCTCACTAATTCTGAGGATATGGGGTTAAGAACTTGAGAATGTCTTCTTTGTTCTGATAAAAACAGGTGTTTCCATGATGGATTAGTATCTTATTGGACCAGGCATTGATCCAGCTGGTAACTTTTCTCCCACGCAGAATCATCGAGCTTTAGGTCGGAATTTCAGGCGCAGGCTCTCAGCTACCTAGATGGGCACTGTCGTTCTCGGCTTTCGTGAATCACTTGAGATCTCTTGATTTTCACTCGAATCGAGTTGTCTCAGCAAATTGACGCCGATTCTAACGGAAACGAGTTGGCAATAGACTGTTTGGGTCAAGAGATGAAGCTTGATTACCTGGTAATGTGGCAGAGGCACTCGGCGCTTTGGAAGACTTGAAACCATCGCCATGTCTTACTCTATGCTCTTGATGATCCACAGGATAATATGAAATCTGCATCTCTACCTTATGGTAAGGTCAATTGTACTGCGGCATTCATTCTGCCTAGCTACATGACTCCGGGCCGGCATCAACAGGCCGTTTTCGAACCAGACTGCTGCACACTATTGTCTGTAAGTAAGAAAATCCATACGTTGTCTTCTCGTCATGACAAAACCTCAAGAGCGGCCAAGTCTTTCTTTACCTTTTCTCAGCATTTTTTACATAGCCTCGCACGTTTGTTCCTTAGCCCGTCGGCGCCTACCCGATAATTCGGAAGTGGCCCCACTTTTGCGGTGCCTCGGTCCCGGCTTCGGAGACTACGGCGTTCAACGTCTTGTGTGTGTGTGCCTCGGAACCACTCCTCACCCCTCCTCCTCCTCCTCCTCCTCCTCCAGTGGGACCGCCCACCAAAAATTTTCGGATCCTCCCCATCGTGATGGATATTTCAACCAGGCACATAGAGTCAACTCAGATTGTGCCTGTGAAAGCGTCAAGCGTTTTGCTACAGATCCTATCACGTCTTGTCTTTGATGTTCTTGATCATATCCACATGCAATCAATCCAAAAGCCTACCGAGGCCGCCTCTGGGCCGACGCCTTGAGTTTGACTCGTTAGCGAAAACGAGGATATCCAGTCGGCACTGGCGAACGGGGTGGAACCCTCTCCGATAACCAGCGCCGGAGCCCTGGGAGACTAGGACATGATCAATAATCCATCTTTTGAAATCTGGAGTCTGTCCAATACTTGATCTTAAGGTATCCTGTGCTGTTTATCGATGAGTTCAGTTGACACCAAGTCATCTGATGATGCCGTGACGCCGGTCAGGCTTTGGCAAGCCAGCTCATGCCGGCGGGATCGGTGTCTCAGGGAGGGGGTCGCGTATCCACTTTGGTCCCATTCCGAGTCATCGGATTTCGGTGGAGGGGGGGATATTGAAGGACAGAGTATTTTGTTTGATTCAGCTTGTACTACGGCGATGGTGGGGTTTCTGGCGGAGGACTTGGTGTGTCTAGCTGAACGACATCGTTAGTTACTAGGGACCTGTTGCTGTGCACTTGTCTAGGTGAAACAGAAGACTCATGTCTAGGTGTAGCATCATCGAGGTATAAAATGTTGCAAGGGCATTGGATGTTAGAGCGAATCTGATAGTTCATTGACGCTAGAACGCTATGTATCTCTATTTCCAAGCCTCATCTCATACTATTCATACACCCTCATCGCTGGCTTTGCAATCTCTCATGCTTATATCGCTCCCGCTCTTGTATCGTACACTCATCCATTCGAAGGAAGGCTCTCTAATTCTAATTCGTGGCACAAGCAGTGTACTTCTTCGCGGCGTCGGTTGAGCTGATACCATGTTAGCAATGTTCCTATCAACCGTTTGTCGTGTAGAAGCGACTTACCAAGCAGTGATGCAAGCGGCGTCCTTGTTGCACTTGTCTATGCAAGAGACTTGGTCAGCAGCTACCTGCGTCTCGCAGGCGGCAATGGCACCGGGGTCCTTTCTGGCCTCAAGAGTTGAGTCGATGGGAGAGGTGGGTGCGGCGGCGACCATGGTGGCGGCGAAGATGGCGAAGACGGTAGAAAACTGCATGTTGATGGTATTGATTTGTGTATTGGATGTTTAAGATTGGTGTGTTGGGTGATCTATTCTCCGTTCAAGCTTAAGGCGTAGTAGTTGATTCTCGGCTTGTGGTTGCTTTCTGGTGATTTGAAGGAAGCTTGTGTGTGTGACTTGTAGAATAGTCTCAATGTTTAATGGTATAGTTGTTTGTTGATTGTTTGATGGTTTGGATTAATGAAAAGGACCTGAGTCGGGCGGGAATTCTAGCCAGCTAAATACATTGTCACAAACCTCCCCGTCACCCAACATCCTTCCAATCCGTCACCGCGATCGACTCCCGTCCAGGAGACGCCAGGCTCGCAACCCTGCCTCAACAAGACGCATAGTCCATGCCCAGACCACCGCAGGGCTCAGCCGAATGCGTGGGTGTGTGTGTGTGTGTGTGTGTGTGTGTGTGTGCCAGACGTCACTTCACGGGAGACAGGGATATCTGACAGCAATGACAACCGCAATGATGTAATGCCCCGGGCTCCCACTCCCTCTCTCACTCTCAACCTCTACGCAGTAAGCTTCGAGATCGCGGTGGGGACCGATTACCTTCACCTCTCCGTATTCGGGTCAGCTACAGTCATCCGGGTCTTCCCTTGGAAAAGTCTCCCGATCTACGCCCTCCGACTCCGCAGGGTCCGAATCAATGACCTGCGGTTCCCTCCTACGTAGTAATAAGCAATACCTTCTCGCGATCGGCTTCCGCATTAGGCAACCAGAAGGAAGTCAGTTGTGAGTAAACACGCTGTCCGGCAGTCCGTGCATAGCCTCGATTACCTACGCCTGTTCATGCAAAGAAGAAAACATCAGACGACACACTGCGGCTGGCACCTCGGCATATCTTTCTTACTGCGGGTAGGGGGTACCGGTCTGTGACGTCGCGTAGCCTAGTAGAGTTATACTTGAGACGAGAAAAACGGCCGACTAAAGCAACTAAAGCAGGTTCCAGAATCATAATCGTTGGGCTTTACTTCCTTGGGCATAGTAAACCACTGCCTCGGGATCTTCTCGTGCGAACAGCTGAAAGTGGGAATCTCCCGATTCATGTGCTTCCCTATCCTGGGTTAGGTGACGTTTAGGAGAGAGAGAGAGAGAGAAAGAGACCGTTCAGATGAGTTTTCTCCGTCGTTTCCTCCCCCGTCATTGCGGCCTCTAGACCGGACCCGTTGCGAACGGCTACGTCGTGGAGTTGTGAGGCTTGCGGTGGCGGGACGGTGATGTTTTGGTGAACTTTGTCGGAGGGCTGTACTGGGATATTTTCGTCGAGGAGCTGAGGATTAGGGGATCTGGACCGGCGCCGACGATGCCTCGGCCGTGACGGTCTTGCGGTTGGTAGCGTTTGTTACCCTACTCCGTGGAATCCGAGGAGACAGGAGCACTCGCTCTCACTGAGAATCTCATTATGTCCAATCATGCCTCCTCGAGCCAGAAGCCACCTAGAGTCCATAATGGTCAGCTAATCAATCCCAAACTCGAACATCGTAAGTCAGACCACAGTCCGTCTTTACAGCCCACTGGCCTATACTAAGTCAGGTAATCACTTGTAAAGATCTCTAAACTAGTGGTTTCCAGAAGTGACGATGAGTAGGGCGGGCACTACCTTGGGGTTAGTCTTCCGATCCAAAGAAAATACGAATAACGTTTAGAGTTGCCGGGGACGATTCCCGAGTCTTCCACGGCCCATATACGTTTCAATGCGCCCCGTCTACGCCCCTCCGAGGTGCCGAAAATTTGTGGGTCGACTTCGGGGTACATGTGATTGCCCGCTTCGTCCGGGGCCATGTAGTCAAAGGTCATACGGTAGTACGGAGGGACGGCAATGACGTAGAGGTATGATGTGTAGGACAAGGGTTGGCTTGACGACGTTGGACATAACGACGACCACAAACCCAGCCTTTTGGAAATCCGAACAGGTCCGGGTACTATGAGTAGTGATCAATCTGATGAGCTGTTCCGACCATTGCCAGCGAGATGATAAACTGACGTTGTCAAGAGACTTGCACTAGTAGCTATAGAGTTGAAAACGACAGCCCGTGATCGTAAGTCGAGATCTTGCTTGCTATGACTTGGACTGACCTACTTCTCAGCCAGATGACCATAAACCCACAAACTTAGTCCAAAAAACTGCTTCCGGCTGCGCAATACCCTCAGGGGTTGTCGGGAAAGCTCAGAGAAACCCTCGCAGCTTGCCTGACACCTCTCACACGAAGAAAGAATGGAGACCCGATGCATTTGGTTATAATATTTGTAATGTTTGCTGACAATCCAGGGCCGATCTGTAACGACAGGCCAGCCGAGCTATGATTGATAACATTAAACTGGTAAGTATGTGGTAAAAATAAAATGGTATATGCCGATTAATTGGCCACCAAGCCGGTGTGATATCTTTCAATCTCGCATCCCCATATCGCAAATGCTCTGCCATCAAGCGTCGTAAATGCCAGAATATACCGCGCCGCCTGCCCGCACAACGCCCAAAAACCTGGAAGAATCAACCACGTCTACCTTCGCTCCTTTTATGAATGTAATGTTGATGTTTGTTTTTCTTATTGTCTTCTTCACCTAGTCACGACCTGATTCGCGCCCAGAGTCCGAGGCGTAGTCGTCGACAAGGCCCTGCATCTCAACGTCGTGTATTCTGCGATTCTGAATGCGCTTCTCCATGGGCTCTGGTTGCTCAAGAGAACCACGGCGACCCCAGTTGCGAGGTTGACGCTTCAGGAAAGCACCGACGGAGCCTAGGTAGCCCTCGTGACGGAGGAAGTAGGCTTGCTTCTTGCCTTGAGACCAGAACTTGATGGCGTAGCTGAGGGTGTTGATCGTTTGTCTGTGTCCACGGATGAAAGATCCTCCAAAGTAGATGTGGTCCAGGTTGTGGATCTGCGATTGGAGGAAGGCGATCTGGCCAATATTGTTGGATATCGCATATAGCAGCGAACGCGACACATCTGCTCCAGAGAAGGGCTCTTCTGAAGAGTGCTCTGCTGTTTCATGGGGGCCGTCTTCAGCTGACGCTTCCGGAGACGGAGATGTGTTCTTGTTATCGCCGTTGTGTAGTCCCCCATGGTCTTCTGCTTCGTTCTCGGCCGTGCGCTTCATGCGGAAGACCTTACCGAACGAAGATGCGATCGTGGTGCTCTTGAGGCCAATCTTGCCATAATCTCCACCGTAGATGTCGCCGACGAGCATGTCGACTTTGGCATTATCCCCCCGCTCGGACAAGTCGAGCATCTCGTCAAAGGTGCGGGCGCCCGTGAGGAGCGAAAGGAGACCCCATAGCGTACCACCGCCAAGTGAGGTTCCGCCTACACGTTGGTATTGGCGGGGTCCCGAGACCTTTAGCATCGAGACGCCGGAGCCTATGTTGACGAGAAGGTAGGGGTAGATGTTTTCTGAAGGCGAGACAAAGTGCATGGGGTCGGTTTCGCTGTAAGTGAAGACTTCGCGGGGTATCTCGGTAATGAAGAAGTCGAGGCCTGGAGGTAGGTTAGCAACCATCGAGCATGCGCCGAGAGATTTCCGGGGACTGACCAATTATCAAACATTCCATCTCTTCCTCGCGCAACACATCTACGCCCAGGACATCCCGCATCTTGTCGTAGAACTTGAAGGCGCCGCCTCCCGTTGCCATAACGCTCAATTCGTTCGGCTGAGAGCCATTGAGGGCCTGCTGCTTGTCCTTGAGGTGGCGCATGAACTCAATGCAGTCATCGATGCGATCGGTCTCGAAATTGAGAAAATTGAGACGACCGCCGGGCTCGGTGGAGTGCGCCTCGCGCGTAAAGTAGACGAGCTTGATCAAGGAACCGCCGATCTGCGCAAACAAGGGGATTAGCAGCTAGACAAGAAGGCAGAGCCAATTACGGAGAGGGCAGTCGCATACGTCAACGGCGATATGGCTCACGACGGCATGGTGATTGGGCAGGCGAATATCGCTCGTCTCGTGGTGGGTCGGGGAACCTCGGCCATTGCTCCTCGGAGAACTCGAGTCCGGATCGACGATGAAGGCGCCCTTGACATTGATGCGGACTGAGCCCGGGCGGATTATGGTGTTGTCGATTTCCTCGGTGCTCGTCATTGTCCGGGCTCTCGTTCGGATATCGGCGCCGGCCAAGACTACAGGCTCGGAGGGGTTGTGTTCGCTGTCGATGGTGTTGTTGAGGGTGTTGTCGTCGTCTTCGAGTCGGGGGTCCTCTATGGCAGAGCCTCCATGATCAGGCGCGGGGCTCATGCTCGGTCTTTATTTGGATGTGTGTGTGTGTGTGTGTGTGGTCGTCCGGCGCGCGGAGACGGAGGAGAGGTCGAGTGGCTTGGGACGGCGCAAGTCATGAACTTGGGGAGGGTCCAAGAGCTATGTTCGTAGCCGTTCGCTGGTAGCACGGAGGACGGGCTGGGGAGGTTGCGTCGGACGGTGGTGCGGTTGTTCGGTGCTGGGCTGGTGTCGGCGCAGGGTTCGCCTTGCGCTGGGCGTCAGTTCGCTTCGGAGTTGAAGGAGGCGGGGAGAAGCTCGTCGGAGGACAGAGAGGAGTGAATGTCGAGGGCTTTGGGATTGTGGAACGCACTCGAAGATTTTCAGTTGAACGTGACTAGGACCCTGGACCGATAAACCTGCAATGCAAGTGATACCTCCCAATTTATTAGTACCTCGAGTTACCCCCCTCCTTTTCTCCCCTTCAGCGACAAAATGCGCGCGCGACCCCCGCGTCGTATCTCCGGAAGGTTCGTTATCGATAAGCGGCAGGTCAGATGTACTATTTCCTATCTGGGCAAGTGCCTAGGCACTTTCTGGGGATTCGGCTAAGGAAGCTAGGACCTAGGTACTTATCGTAGGGGCCTTACCAGGTCCACTCCCCTACTAAGATAGCCATCAACCTCTCAAGGTTGGGAGCTTCCAGGTCAGGTGGGTTGTTGAGGTCCCCAATGCCGCTGGACCGAGGCTTTCAGGGTAATCGCCAATGAACCTATCCCCTCATCATCGTGTA